TGCTTAGCAGTGCATTTCTCTGCCCCTTCAGTTACTGCAAAAAAAAATCTGATCCTTTTGGGAAGCAGGTTTGTTGGACAAGAGCTCTCAATAAACTTCATGAATTTGCCAGCCTGTGATTGAATCCCACCTGAAAATAACAGCCGTCTTGAAATGCCTCTCCTCTGGCTTCCCTGAAATAAACATCTTCCGGACTGAGGCCTTCATTTTCTTAAATAACAACCCTCTGTATAAATTTGGTCACAAATGGGAACTTCAACCTGTGGGTCCCCAGATGTTGTTGAACTACAACTCCCATCATCCCTAGCTAGCAAGGCCAGAGCTCAGGGATGATGGGAGTTGTAGTCCAACAACATTTGGGGACCCACAGGTTGAGAACCGCTGTTCCAGAGGAAGGCATATGTACTTACCTAAAATCCTTTTTAATTCTTTTATTCTGCTGTTATTCTGCTTTTTATTCTGCTCCCAACAGCCTCCCATCCAAAGGAATGACCAGCTCCACATCTGCTTAGCTTCAATAGTTCAGCAGCCTCCCATGCCCCAAGGCAACATCCAGGAGCCCTTGCCTTTTAAATTATTGTGGAACTTGGGAAATAAATTAATAAAACTTGTAGAGGCAGTAGAAACCTCAGCTGTATCAGTATTCTGCTCCATGCTATTTTGTCTGAAATGCCAGACCTCTCCCCTCCTTTCCCCTTAATTCTCGCTTCTGAGCTCACAGTAGAAAGGAGCTCCCTGTTTAAAGAGGTACTCAATTTAACTGAGTGTACAGTAGGCTGAGATACCAAAGCTATGGGCTGACCAGCCAACCATACAAGGGTAGGATCCAGCCCCCAAAGCACCTTTTTCTGCCCCCTCTCTCTTGGTAGCCCTATCAAATACATTCTGATCAACTTGGGGGTCAGATGTTTCTCCGTAGTTTCGCTTAGACGGCAGCGAAGCAATTGAATGTCCACCTAGCATTCTGCATAGATTCTCTTGGACTTGTTGCTTGCACATTCCATCCGCAGCCTGAATGACCATACATGGGCCATTTTAAAATATTTTGTTCAGCTTGGTCATCCACGGGGTGGCAGTGGTACTGAGTGTTCTGGCTCCCAGTGAATGCCTGCAGACTATGGTGACCCATAAGCTGGCCACCCCCTGGTTTACATAATCCTTTAGTCCATGCATGAGGTTCTCTAGGGTAAAAACCAAAATGGTACCTGAACAAATGCAGGGTAGCCAAGCGAATTGACCTTTTTTTCTTTTCTTAGTTTGAAGTCCTATATGTAGCATGCTGTGAACGTCTTACCTGGTCTCTGCAAAATAATCAGTATTGATGTTGCTTTAATTCTTTCGGCTTCTTTTTTTTTTACACCCCCACCCTCCTTTTAAACGTAGTGTCTTTCTAGAAGCTGTGATAGGCCTTTGTGGTCCTTGACTTTGTTACTGTAACTTCTTTTTTTAAATAAAAAAAAGTTTGTGAAATGTAGGGCTAACCCGAGTTGGATGGTCCAGTCCTCCAAGGTTGCCCATTTTCAGTTTGTTCATTCTACATTATGGCTGTACGTAGAATAAGCTTATCGATGATGCAATTTAGGATTCTCACAGCTTTTTTTTTTTTAACGTCCACGTGTATGCATTTTGTACGTGTGTACTGCAGGAGTGGGGAGAGAAAGGTGATGTGTTTTCTATAGGCTTAAGCTTTTTCGGTTTATTTCTTTTCCCTTTTGTAAAGTAACTGACTCGGTAAAATCCATAGCCACTTAGGACTGTCCATGCTGAACAGACCTTGCTGTAGAGGCAAGATCACGTTCTTTGTAAGTTTCGAATAGTGACCCCCACCCCCCCATACCTGGGGAAACAAGCTCATTTTGCACCACACGAGGGGAAAGGTTGTTTCGAAACTAAGTGAGTACAGTGCTAGCTCTTGAGTGGATGTGTTGAGGGGGAATGCAAAAGTCTTCGTGAATGGAGGCGATGGCCTCCCATGATCACCCAGGAAGAACCACCATAAAGGTCTAGACGGGCCAACAAGGCAGTCCTAACTAAGGCTGAACTCCATAAGAAGACGCCAGGTCCATTTCCCTTGCCATCAAGGGATGCAGTTAGCCAAAGACTATCCTGGGAGGGAAAAGGAGTAGGTCAGAAACTCCAAGGGTGGCAGCAACGGACCCGACATGTTTGTGAGAGCTTTCCTTGTGCAGAGAAGCTGACTAAAACAAATACACTATTTCCTTAAGAGTGTATGCAACTCATTCAGCTGACGGTTGCCTTGCCAAGCGACTATTGGTTGCCTATGGCTGGGCTATGCCATCTTGGCGACAAGGAATTTAATGGCACTGAAGGGTGGTGGGTTGAGAAGAGGCTACCAGCATATCTTTACTACAGCATATATGTCTAGGAGAACTCTTGTTATCTCAGGACAAGTGCAGGATAAAGCTCCTCTGGAGCAACAAAGCATTTCCTACACCCCAGAAATATTTAACTCCAGGAATAGCTGGAGCACTTGGGTGAACCCTAGATCTTGCCCACCCTAAAAGCACCACACCCTCGGGGTGCAAACCCATACACAAGATGGGAGTAATCCCCACTGAGCTCACTGGGGGCTTAGCTATGAGTAGACAGGTATAGAGTTGCACTGTGCGTGTGTCTCTTGCTGCAGTTGTGTCGATTTTAGGACTTCTTGCAGACAGAACCAAGAGTTCAGCTAGCATTTTTCTGACATCCGTGGTTATTGGACAAGCCTATCCAACTGGATCTGTTTGTGTGACTCTTTTTCTTTCTGTTAAGCTTTTAGTTAACGCAACTTGAATTGTATCTGAACAGATGCGGAAGGAACTTTTTAGCGAGCTGAGACAAAAAGAAAAAAAACACACCATATTTTTCAATAAAGGAATTTGTGTGTGCATATTATTAACCTGTTAACAGCAATTCATAAAATCTGCACTTTTTATGAGGTTTTGAAAAATTCTATTTATAGGTACGGAACAATGGGGTTTGTTTAAAAACTGTATAGCGTTTATACTTGCTGAAATTTCTTTCATTGTTATCGGTAGGAATTTTATTGGTTCAATAAAAACTGGCGAGAAACCCCACCCCTGTAATGTGGCGTGTCTTTCTTTCTTCAGTTGAGCGGCTCTCTTGGAAGGTGCTTTTGAAATTAATTTTATATATGGATTTGAGAACCGTCGCGCTGGATCAGAGCAAAGGTCCATATAGTCATGAGAACACGAGAAAAGCCTCGCAGGATCAGCCCAAAGGCCCATCTAACACACCATCCTATTCTCGAAGTGGTCAACCAGATAGGAAGCCCGTAAGCAGGCCATGACTGCAAAAGAATTGCTCCCATTAATGGTTTATCAGAGACATGCAGCCCCCAAAAGTGAAAGTAGAACATAGCCATCAGGACTCGTAGCTACTGCTAGCCTTATCCCCCATGAATTTGTCCAGTTCTCTTTTTAAAGCCATCCAAATTGGGGGCCATCATCACTACCTCTGATCCGGAGCAAATTCCATAGGTTTTATTATGCACGGTGCAAAGTAGTACTTTCTTTTGTCCTGAATTTTCCAACATTCAGCTTCATTAGATGTTCACAGGTTCTAGCCTTAGGAGGAAAACTGGAGTGTGCCTGATTTCACACATAAAAATTCAGTATTAAAACCCAGCTTTCCCCTCTCCAAGCAGGAAGCCAGTTGTGTGACATGAGAGGCTCAAAGGCAAGGTGTGGTGCAAGAGAGCCATCTACCCTTTTTGCCCCCCCCCCCCATTTGTGAATTAAAGGTAAACTGCCTCTAATCATGGAGGTTTTGTGTGGCTTGTCGTGACTAATAGCCATTAATAAGGCACATCTTCCGTGGGTCTTATCTTTCTTTTAAAAGATTCTGGCCACCATCACGTATTGTGGTAATGAGTTTGTGTAAATCCCATGCACCTGGTGTGTAGAAGTACTTCTTTTGCCCTGAAACTTATCTCCACACAGCTTAATTAGAATGTACCGTATTTTTTGCTCTATAAGACTCACTTTTTCCTCCTAAAAAAGTAAGGGGAAATGTGTGTGCGTCTTATGGAGCGAATGCAGGCTGCGCAGCTATCCCAGAAGCCAGAACAGCAAGAGGGATTGCTGCTTTCACTGCGCAGTGATCCCTCTTGCTGTTCTGGCTTCTGAGATTCAGAATATATTTTTTCTTGTTTTCCTCCTCCAAAAACTAGGTGCGTCTTGTGGTCTGGTGCGTCTTATGGAGCGAAAAATATGGTAATTAGCTTTCCAGAACTATCTTCCTAATGTTTCAACTTCTTGCTGTTACACGCTTAAAAAAAACCAAAATACACAGCTAACTTGATGTGTTTTGCCATGCCTACACCTTTCAAAAAGAGGGATTCCACATTTTAATCCATGGGGTGTGATTAAAAATCCTTAACTTCGGCTGGATCGTGCCCATTATTCCCAGGAACCACAGTCACTCCAAAGCAAGGACTCAAACCAGCCAGTTAAAAGGAGATAGTTGCCTGTTTAACCTGATCTGAACACAAGGGGGCACTAAATGCTGCAAATACTCTTCTTCCTGGTGTTGCTTGTACCAGATAATTATTTGTCTGTAACTTAGCAGCTTAAACTTGGAGGCATGACCTGATGCAGAATCTGACCGTTCATAAGAGCACTCATCATAGCATTTTCTCTTCCTCTCCCTGGTCCCCAATTGGGTCCACTTATTTTGCAAACTAGAAGAAGTTTCCCTGGTGGCTCTTTTTGTGGACAAATTAGGGAAAGATGGATCCTATTGGTGGTTGTCAGCCATGCCACCTTTTAAGACTGAGATGGGGAAACTGGCTTTCCAGTTGAGCTCCAGCTCCCAGCTGCCTCAGCCAGTGTGGCCAATGGGCATGGGTGATGGAAGCTGCTTTTGGGCTATGCGTGGGCAGAGGGTTCTTAAGCACAGAACTGCTACCTTTCTTCTGCTGACACCATTAGTATGTGGCAAGGGATAAATAATAAAGATTGCTGTGAGAAGCCTCACTCTATAGAGCTAGTGAAAATACTATTTATTCACTTAGGTGGTGTTTCTATACCGCTCTCCATGTGAAACGTCTCGAGAGTGGCAAACAAAATCAGAAATAAAGGTTAGCAATAAATACATGAAACCAAAAATCCAATGTATAACAGCAGCAGAGATCAAAGCAGAGAACCAGATTAAAACTCGGTAACTTCAAAAGGCTGGGCAAATAGAAATATCCTCTCCAGGAACACAGAAGATATATGGGTTGGTGCCCTGCCAGTTGCCATGGGGAAAGGATTCCCTAGCTGAGCAGCTTCATAGAGGGGGAAGTGGTCCTTAAGTTAAACTTGTCTCAAGCCTTTTAAAGGCTTTTTAAAGATTAAAATCGGCCAGGAGCCTCATGGCTAGTTCTTAAAACAAAAACAAAAAAACTGGTGAGGTGCTCCTTACATCTAGCCACAGATAAGAAGTCTAGCTGCCTCGTTTTTCACTAAAACGGCCTAAACTGTCTTCTAGGGCAGAGCCATGTCCATTGTGTTACAACAATCCAATTCAGAAGTTAATCTAAGCACAGGTTTGAAACCCAGACCTGCCTTAGAAGCAAAAGCCAGTAGGCCTCAAACACTCTGAAAAGAACAGAGCATAGAATAGATACTGCACTACGGCCACATTCACACCATGTAAACAGTTGTGGCTTGCCTCAGAGAATTCTGGGAGGAGGAGTTAAACGTGCTGAAAGTTCTTAGGAGACCCGTAGTTCTCCTCCCAGAGCTACAATTCCCAGTTTTCCACGAAGAGGGATTGATAATTGTAGCTCGGGGAGGAAGGAAGGCTAAACAATTCTTGGCACCCTTAACAAACTGCTCCCAGAATCCTTTGAGGCAACCCATTACTGTTTCAAGAGGTATTGTAGTGCCTTAAATGGATCGTGTGAATGTATGCATAGTGCTTGCAAGATTACATTATGCCTTTACCTTACACACCTTCCTGTCAACATAATTATTTTCCATATTGTGGATGGAGGGGCTTGAGGTTGCCTAGTTTAGATCATCGCAGAGATGAAATTCAACTGGCAACTTCCCAGTCCATTACTCCGTTTCTTAAACAGATATTCTACACCAGTATTGACCAGGTTCAACTAACCAACGACACTAGCAGAACCTCACACAAGGGCTCCCACTAGTGCAACAAGGCTTGCCCCCTTTCTCTCCCCCCCCCCCGTGCCCCCTGAAATTGGCTTGAGGGGGTTGGAAGAACCCCAGAACAGCACACAAGGGGAGAGGATGGGAGATTGCTCCATCAGCGCTAGATTGAATTCCTCCCTGTAGGAACTCATTCTTCTACCTTCAAGGGACAGCAGCGGATGACTTGCTAGCTGAAATGCTCTATGTGAGTCATTTTGGACTCACAGCTGTCCATGGAGGCGCAGCGGTCAATTCTGTGTCCAGGGCAGCTGTCTACCAGCTCCATCTGGTACGCAGGCTGAGATCCTACCTGTCCGTGGACTGTCTTGCCAGAGTGGTGCATGCTCTAGTTATCTCCCGCTTGCGCTCTACGTGGGGCTACCTTTGAAGGTGACCTGGAAACTGCAACTAATCCAGAATGCGGCAGCTAGACTGGTGACTGGGAGTGGCCGCCAAGACCATATAACAGGGGTCCTGAAAGACCTACATTGGTTCCCAGTATGTTTCCGAGCACAATTCAAAGTGCTGCTGCTGACCTTTAAAGCCCTAAACGGCCTCAGCCCAGTATACCTGAAGGAGCGTCTCCACCCCCATTGTTCAGCCCAGACACTGAGGTCCAATGCCGAGGGCCTTCTGGCGGTTCCTTCACTGCAAGAAGTGAAGTTACAGGGAACCAGGCAGACGGCCTCCTTGGTAGTGGCGCCCACCCTGTGGAACGACCTCCCATCAGACATCAAGGAAATAAACAACTATCTGACTTTTAGAAGACATCTGAAGGCAGCCCTGTTTAGGGAAGTTTTTAATGTTTGACGTTTTATTGTATTTTTAATATTTTGTTGGAAGCCGCCTAGAGTGGCTGGGGAAACCCAGCCAGATGGGCTGGGTATTATTATTGTTATTATTTGCCTGAGGAGTGGGGGGAAGGAGGAACTAGTGCAAAAAAGTGCAAAAATAATTCTTACAATGAGTCTCAGCACTGGCCGCCCAAATGCTGTATCCTTTGCTTGACGGGCTCAACTGGGGTCTCAGATAGGGGTCTTTTCCAGCCCAGTTCTCTATTTTAACCGGAGGTGTCAAAGATTGAATGTGGGACCCTCAACATTCCAAGGATGCTCTCTTATTATTGAGTTAAAGCCTAAACCAAAAAGGGAAATTTTGAAAGCGACTCTCCTCTCCATGGATAATTCTTGACTTGGGAAAATGATTTCTTCAAAATCTCTAAAAACCCCTTCCCCCCAGTAAGGTTCTCTGCTTATGCTGCAAGCTTACTACAAAGAGAAGTATTTTGGCAGGTTCAGTCACTGCAGAGGATTCTGTATCCACCATTTTCATATATTCTAGTAGAGAGGATGAAGGTTTCTCTCCTGTTCAGAACTTTTCCTGGTTCTCAAAAGACTTGACATGAGACGGAAAGGTCAACCAGCCACCCAAAGTGCAACATTTTACAATAAGTGAACATTTAATTTTGCCATAAAATGCCCCTTTGGGAGGGGAAGGGGGCATGAAGCTCACCCATGTTACCAGAACATCGGTTCATTACTGTTAATGTCATCACAAATAAATACTTTATAGGAACAGCAGGAGATTAGCAACATATCGGAAAGTATTGCTTTGGGTTTCTTTCCCCAGAGTTCTTCATAGCCATTTGCTTTCTCACACCGCTTTTCAGGCATCGTAAATCTTAGGAAGGAACCTTTTGGCTAAATGCGAAACGATGTAATTTAGGCCAGTCACAATGCTTGTCGTGGCATCAATTGCCAGTAAGAATAATCCACCAATACCTGAGGCGATATCTCGGAGGACTGTAGGGATGGCACCCAGGGTGTAGAAAGGGAAGGACACGATGTCTAGTATCACGTTCACAGGGATGCTGAGAATCTTGTATGTAACCATCAGGACACTGTAGATGTTTTTGGCAATGCCGTTCAGGATGCTGACGCCCACGCGAGCCACGTCAACAAAGACATTCAGCAGCGCTGTGGCAATTCCTTTGATGAAGGTGAACACCCCTCCGACGATTGTCTGGATGAGGCGCCACAGGAGAGAGAAGGTGTATTTCACAATATAGCCAACCAGGTAGACAACCAATTTCAGCAGTTTGAAGATAGGTGTAACGATGAAATAAAACAACTTCTTCAGAAAGCCACTCTCCTCCTTTGGCTGTGTGCCGGTGTGCTGGCCTGTGGTGGACTTCTTCGCTTGTGGCACCGGTTCCTTAGCTCGGACGTGTTTCACGGCATGGTGGACCTCCTCCAGTTTCTTGGGGTCGTGTCTGTCTTGGCCGCAGTGGTTCTTAAACAGCTGAGCTCCTGCGTGGAGCGTCTTCTCAAGGGCTTCCACAGTGAGGTCTTCTAGGCGATTCTCAGCAGTTGCCTGCTTAATAAATCCCAAAGACCAGGTCTTGGAGCCATCATCGCAGCAGGCGGCCAGCCAGAGAGACTCGGGGACAGAGACTTTGTCCTTCACTTTGAGGGTGGAAGGAATTGCTCCAGAAACAAGATAGAGACCCTTCCCATTGTCACAGTGTGGAGCCAAGGCCTCGCCTACCAGGCTCTCAATCTCCCAGTGCCATATCTCATGGAGAGGTGGGGTCAATGGCACCGCATTGGTCAGTGTGTAGGTGGCTATCTCGTGGTCGCCATTATGAAGAGAACTAGGGTTTAGTTGCCCCCTCTCGTAGCCAGAGTCCACGTAGTCTGCTGTGACGGCCTGCTTGGACCCCAAGTTGTCCACTGAACCTGTGACCTCAACTTCCGGCATCATTCCTTCCAGGCCATTTTCGGGATCATCAATCTGAAATGCGAACAAGAGAAATAATTGGATTTTAGAACAAAGGTCACTCATTAAATTTCTCGGGCCCTATGTGCAATTTCCTGGACAATCCAGATTCTAGAAATCTTAAGACTGTCTAATTTCAAAATTTACATTTTGTCTCAAGCCTTTAAACAAGAACAATGAAAGTTTGTGATTTAAAACTCGCCAGCCATTTCTCTAATTGAGCACAAAACCATGCACAGGCCTTCAGCTGGAGTTCAGTGTTTGTGGTATTTCTGAAATCTTGAATGTTAAATTTGTAAAAAAAAAAAAGTATTAATATTAAAACCTGACATTGAAAAATTAGCAATTCATGTAATGTAACTTTATGGTTCAAAAACGTTTTCATCACCATCCAAAGTTCCATAAATCTCAATACTGGATCATGGGCGTAGCCGGGGGGGGGGGGGAGGACAGCAGACAGCTGCCCCCCCATCAAGTAAATAAATAAAAATACTTAGTTGACAAATGCGTCACAGATAGCTCAGTTCTGCTCCCCTAACATAAATCCTGCCTCCCACAACATAAATCCTGGCTACGTCCATGCCCTGGATTGCATCCAACTAATTGCTACTCAGAGTAGACCCATTGAAATTAATGTATGTTTACTTCAATGGGTTTACTCTGAGTAGGACTAGCATTAGCGCCAACCCATCATATTTAAAAGACACACTGGTAATTACTGCTGTCTCCAAATTACAGAGATACACTTACTGTTGTACACAACATTTATTAATAAAACCTCTGTATGTTGATACAGTCAATAGTATCCCCAGTAACACTGCTACCTTTTAATATGAGACCTATTCCTCACTTTTCCTTCAGGGCTTCCTGGCCCTTTGCATCTCTATTTCTAGATTCTCCTGCAAAGCCACACCTCTTGCAAGGTTGTTACAATAACAAAGTTATTACAATTCCAGCCAAACTGGCAGTTCTCCCTTCCCATACAGAAGCTGATCTACAAACATCCTGACAACCTCATTTCATTGAGCAGTTGGAATATCCGTAAGCAGCATTCCATGCCAACTTGGCCAATCAGTGCCTTTGCCACAAGCAATGTACAATTTTGAACAGGTGGACACGCCTCTTACATTACACAGCTTTTTGCCAGCTTCAGATTATTACATAGGTTGAGTATGCATTTCTCCTGAGTCACCTAAAGGAATGTGCCTGTTCCAGAGGTCTATAGTAGCAGAGTGACCACTAGGATGACCTTTTCCAAATGACACTGTTAACAGCTTGTGTGTGTGATGCAGAGATTGCATCAGAACCAGCTTTTGGAACAACTCAATTACGCATACAAATGAATGGAATGTCAGGGAGTCAATGTGAATCATGGCCAATCGGCCTCCATCCTTAGAGCCATTCCTGGAATGTGCATCATCTAGCCTTGTACTTCATAGCTCACCTGGTACCCAGAAGCAATCAGAGATTCCATACAGGTGAGTGAGTGGTTTGGTAGAGGAAGTATGGGTCCATCTCTTGCCCTCTCTCTCATTTGCTAGTCCACCTGGCTTCCATGCAAGCCTTGAAGGTAGAAGAGCCCTTTCCTCTGTGGCCACCATGGAAGCCAAACCGGCTGGCAGAGGAGAAACAAATCATTCTACCCATCCCACCAGTTTGGTTGGTAGAAGTCAATTTTCTTTTTTTAAACTGCCCTGCAAGTAGCCCGAATTCTCATGAGGACTATGGAGGAGGGGACTTCCTTTTGTTACAACCAAAGATGCAAACTAGTAGCTTCTTAGTTGGCTGCTAAAAAGAAGAAGCAGGCTAGTAACGTCTGTGGGCTTACAGTGGTGCCCCGCAGGACGAATGCCTCGCAAGACGAAAAACTCGCTAGACGAAAGGGTTTTGCGGTTTTTGAGCTGCTTCGCAAGACGAATTTCCCTACGGGCTTGCTTCACAAGACGAAAACGTCTTGCAAGTTTGTTTCCTTTTTCTTAACACCGTTAATACAGTTGCGACTTGACTTCGAGGAGCAACTCATAGAACGCGGTGTGGTAGCCTTTTTTGAGGTTTTTGATTATTTTTGAAGCTTTTCCAAAACTTTTCCGACACCGTGCTTCGCAAGACGAAAAATTCGCTAGACGAAAAAACTCGCGGAACGAATTAATTTCGTCTTGTGAGGCACCACTGTATTTGCAAGGCTGTCATAGTCCTTCTGATGCTACTGTGTAATTTCTAAGCAGACAAGGACTGGGGCTCCAGCCATCCTGCAAGCAATAGTCTCTCCACCTTGTCCTTAACTCCAGATCTTCAGCTGGCTGGCTGGGAGTTGTTGAGTCTCTAGGATGAGGATGGGGTGGGGTAACTTCTGACCTTCCAGATGTTACCGACTTCAAATTCCATCACCCCGGCCATTGCCCATGCTGGCTGGGGCTGATGGGTTGTTGGTGGCCACTGGAATATCTTGTAGTGAATTCTGTAGTTTAACTATGTGCTCTGCAAAAGAGGCACCTCCTTTTGCCTGTCCTCCTGAACCCCCAATACTCAACTTCATTGAGTATCAACCATCTCTCTATCTGCTTCATCCACTCCTCCAGTCTCTTACTGCTTTACGTATTCCAGGAGAGCGCATGGCTGTTCCTTGTCTCCAGTGCTGATTCCTAGCTCAAAAACCAAGCCCTGTCTGCTGCTAATCAGGTTAGCTCCTCTTATATTTAACAGGCGGAAGCATCCCCCTGCGCTGTGTTGCCTGCAATTACAGAAGCATCTGGACAATGTTCTTCCCTTCTTCTCTTCCTAATGAGGGAGCAGGAGCTGTTTATGCCGTGAAGGATGGCTCCCGATTGCTGCAGTTGCTTAACAACTGGTTAGCTGTGCTGCGGTTGCCTAGCAACCACCCGGTCCTCACCCACATCCCTCCTCTCTTTCTCCAGCTCCTGTACAGAGGACGACACTAAGCTTGATAATGATGGGTACCAGCTTGCTGCAGTGGGAGAATGCTTCTCAGCACCCAGACCACCACCGCCCATGCAAAAGCACGCACAGCCCCCCAGCCATGGCTACTAGCCCAAACAGGAGTTGGATGAGCCTCTTCTGTTTTACTAATTACATTTATATCACACTTGTTTTCCCATCAATGAGCCCTGTGGTTCCCAAGTGGGCACTCATCCAGGCCCTGACTAGATCTAGACCTCCTTCACTTCAGCAAAGAGGGGGCCTCATGTCCCTTTCAGACACAGCCTGCGGCTACTTGTCAAAATTGGAGGGAGGGGAACCTGGGAAGACCACACTACCATTATTTTAGGCTCCATGTGCACTAAACATTTAAAGCAGCGTCATACCACTTTGAGCAGTCACTGGTTCCCTCAAAGGATCATGGGAAGTGCAGTTCGTTAAGGGTGCCGAGAGTTTTCGGGAAACACCTATTTCCCGCACAGAGCTACAATAGCCAGAGCGGTTTAACAATCAAGCTCTCCTTCCCAGGGAACTCTAGGAATTGTAGCTCTGTGAGGGAAATAGGGGTCTCTTGGAGGGGGCTACATTTGGCCCTGAATATTACTATTGGAACAGAAGCGTAGGGTAGAAATTATCTTAAGAAAGAAACACGCATTCTTGCTGCCAAAATGGAATCCAATGGAATCTTGCTGCCAAAATGGAATTCCTTGGGTACCACCATTTTCTCCTACTGTATTGGGGCTGTGTACCTGTGTCCACTGTTTGCTAGTTTTATACTCATTCACTTTTATCAGCCAAACAACATCCTGCGATCATTCTCAAATTGCAGCCTATGTATTAGGTTTCGGATAAGTGATCCAAAGTTTTCTTCATGTAACTAAATACTTGGAACAAGGAAAATGGGACAGCAACTGCTATTTACTACTGATACTGTATATTGCTGCCAACTTTATCTCAGCCCCCTGCCCAACTCAGTCAGAAACGCAGGTACGTGTTCTTCCCTCTTTAGAGATGTGAAGCTGAGGGAAAACGGTTATTGATCTGCAGCCAAACACTGAGGTCAGAGGTTTAACCAGAGTCTGTTCTCCAAATCCAGTGCTTTGTCCACTGGGACACTTGGAAAGCGACGTCACCAAAATCAGCCTTCCCCAACCTGTTGCTCTCCTGGTTTTCAGACTACAATTCCTGTCAGCCCCTGCCAACACACTGGGGCTGATGGGAGTTGCAGTCCCAGATACCTAGAGGGCAACTGGTTAGGGAAGACTAACCAAAATCATAGTTTGGAGCCACTGTGCTTCACCAGAGATTGTTGGAGGGGGTGAAATGGGTTAAGAAGCTGGAGAAAGAGAATCTCCTGGTCGGTCAGAGGGGAATGGGAAGTTAGGTGCTGAAGAGTAGGAGGAAATTCAATGTCCCTTATTAGAATATGTAGAGGAATATTTAGGATTCCAAAAGGAAGAGGCAATGTACTGAGAGGCTGGGACTAGGGAGGAGTTGACAAAACACAGAACTAACCCCTCTCAACCCAAGCTGAATTCCTGCAGCTTAAATAGCTGCATGCATGGCTGACATTCCACACGTTAAGCCTTTCCCCCATCACATCATCCTGACACAGGGAAAAACTTTACCTGCTGAACCCATGCCTGCTGGTGCTGAAAGAGCCTGAGAGAGAGAAAAAGTGGCCCAGTTGTGCATAGGCACAGACTACAGTGATAGGGGAAGAAAGGTAAGACCATGACATGAGCCTGCTTCAGACCAGATTTCCTTCCAGCTCCATATTCTGTTTCTGGTTCTGTCCGCGGAGGCAGAAGCACCCAGGAAGGCCACAAATAAGGCATGAGGTAGTGAACGCCACTCCCTCTCAATTCGTTCCTAGCACCTGATATTCTCAGGTAGCTGCCACTCTGCAGAGAGGCTCAGCTTAGCTATCACAGTGGTTTCTAGACTTATCCTCTATGAAACAGCCTAATACAGTGGTACCTTGGGTTAAAGAGGCTTCAGATTACAGACTCCGCTAACCCAGAAATAGTACCTCAGGTTAAGAACTTTACCTCAGGATGACAACAGAAATCAGGTGACGGTAGCAGGAAGCCCCATTAGCTAAAGTGGTACCTCAGGTTAAGAACAGTTTCAGGTTAAGAACGGACCTCCAGAACGAATTAAGTTCTTAACCACTGTACATAACACACACAGAGCTAAGCTATTGCCCACGACCCTGGATAAAAACATTCTTTAGCAACAATGTGTGTACACATGGACGTGGGTAGCTGAACAGGAGCATAGGCAAGGACATCTTATCTTGTGCCACTGCTGTTGCGCTAGCAGATGTTGCCCTTTTGTCTGCAGCTTCCTGCCCTTTTCGTCTTGAACACACGGCTATTAAAAATTTATGTCCATTACTCTCGCTGGTATTTAGAAAGGCTATTTGGTATTTCAAGGGCTGGGGTAGAGCATGTGCTTTGCCCCCTTGCCTGTAATCTGATGCGGGTCCCCAGCAATTAAAGCCTCTGCAATCTCACAGAGCAGATGTCCTGACTATGTCACTCACCCCAGCTCTGGGGCTACTACTGCACCCGGCATTGTCATGCAGTTCCTCAGGTAGAACGGGTCCAGAACACATCCCACGGCACTCCTTTGTATCCTCCCTGATCAGATCAGACCAGTACCTGGCAGCTAGGGGTGGGATCTGATGCACTTTGTGTTTAAATGCAAACTTATCTAAATTTGCACTTTTCAGAATAATGCATGGACCAAGAAAGCACAGCCAACCTCCAAATTTCACATTTCCCCAAATTTGCTGTGCAGTTCTCTAGTCTAGGTAAGCAATGAGAGGCACACATAAAGGTAAAATGTGCGTATAAACACATGAAAATATACCCCCAAAAGTGTTATATTAGGGGAAATGGCTTTGCAATTTTTGAATTTCCATTTATTTATTTCATAAAATGTATACACCGCTTGGTTGCGGAAAACCTCAAAGCGGCTTGCAAAAGAGGAAACTACTAGTAAAGTTTTACAACCGTACCTTAAAACGTATAAAATTTAAAATACTAAATACTAAAATGACAAAGTGAGATTGGCACATTCGCCCGTCCCTAGCCGCATCACCATGACAACAACCGCATCACGAATGATTGGCGACACTTTTCCGTGTGGGGAAGTCTTCTCAACTTGGAATGTGAATGCCCAAGTGCAAAGCCTCACTCAGACCTGTTTCAGACATGCCTATGTTTCCTTGCACTTAATTGCTCCATGCTTGGAGCCAGTTCCCACCCTACCCTTGAATGCTCCACTGTCCGCTGAATGTGTGATCTGCCTCCACTGAGAAGCACCGGCTTTCAGGGGAGAGTACGAAAGCACTGTCCACTGCTTTTAGACATGCAAGCCACCCATCTCACACTGCAGTTATCAAGCGACGGGTGTTGCGTGCGTGTACCAGGCCACTGCCATCCAGTTTGACAGGCGGTTTGCAGCAATCTGCTCTCTCCCAGTCTGAAGCAGAAAATGCAAAAGAATGCAAGTTCAGGAACTGAAGAAAAGAGCAACCAGTCTCTTCTGCAAACACACCCTCCCCGCAACCTTGGGTTTCAGCTGTGCCCTGCACCACAGCCAACGTTTCTTATTTCAAAATACTGTATTGTTTTCTGGCAACCTTGCCAGACACACCTTCCCCCCTGGGCTAGCTGGCTGAAAGCTCTCTGCACATTCCTCTACCACTCCCCGAAGGACTGAGGAAGTGGAGAATGCCTCTTAAGAACATGAGGAGAGCCCTACTAGTTCAGGTCAAAAGTCCATCGAGTCCAGCATCCTGATGTCTCTGGGAATCCCACAAAGAGAAGCTGGGTACAACAAAAGTCTTTCCTACCTGGGACTGCCAGCAACCAGTGTTCAAAGACATGCCACCTCTGGCAGTGTAGAAAGAACACAGCCATATAGTAACTGTTGATAGCCTAATTCTCCATTATCTAATCCAGGGTTTCCCTAGCTGTATGGGGACTACAATTCCCATCATCCCTCACCAACAGTCCTGCTAGCTAGGGACGATGGGAGTTGTAGTCCAAAAAAACCAGCTGCAGACCCAAGTTTGGGAAACCCCGATCTAATCCTTCCCCCCCCCCCAAGCCATCCAATTTTGTGGCGATTGCTGCCTCCTGCGAGAGAAAACTCCACCGTTCAATGGCGCACTGTATGGAGCAGCATTTTCTCGCGCCTGTCCCGAATCTTCCAACAGAGTCAATTTTGCTGGATGCCCCCAAGTTTTAGGGAGGAGAAACTTCTCCCTGCCCAGTTTTGCTGCACCAGCTCCAAGCTAAAAAGCCTCTTCCCTCCTGTGGTGAGATAATTGGCCCACAGCTGACAACCCTGGGAGAACCAGGCTGACAGTGACATCAGTGGGGGAGAAAGGCTCTGTGGCTGGCATGCCAGTTTTGTATCTCGGGGGTTTTGCTTCCTCAAGGTCCCAAGAGGAAAGCAGTATCTGTCTCTGAATGTTGCTGATGCTTCCCTTTACAGCTCCTAAGATTAGAGTGGTAACAAGCCCTTCTCCCCCCTTGGGGCTAGCAGGAAGTGCCTTGCATGTCCCTGCAGCTGAAAGGGCGATCCTTGCAGAGCATCAGCTGGCAAGGCGCATGCCTAAAAGCATCACTGCCAAACAGGCTAATGGCCTCCGCAGACAATGCCCCTCTTGAAGCCTCTGCAGACGGCTCTGTTGCCGATGAGCAGGGGGGCCATGACAATGGGATGCGTTTGTGTGCAAAGAATAGCTGGCGACCGCCCACCCCTCTTGCCTTTTTCCTTCCCTATTCATTTTTGGAGTCAAGCCTCTGTCTGTTTGGAGAAGACTATTTATGTACCGCAGGGGTCAGGGCAGAGGTTGGCACCATTCTTGGCTCCCTCGGGAGACAGCCTCTGACTCCTTCCTGTGGGAACCACAGTCATGGCCAGAGGTCCTCCAAGAAATCAGCAACGACAGACACTCTTTCCCGGAAGGACAAACTGCGCACACCCCTATTTTGTCCTCAAAAGGGATATTGGGAAAGGTTCAGAAGAGGGCAACCAAAACGGTCAAGGGGTTGGAGAAGCTCCCCAAGGAGGAAAGGTCACAGTATTTTTAGTTTGGGGGGGGAGCCAAATAAAGGGGCGAAGGCATGGTGGATGGGGATGGAGAGAAAGTCGGTGGATCTCCCTAATAACACTAAAACTCGGGGCCATTCAATGAAGACGAATGTTGGAAGATTCAGGAGAGACAAAAGAAAGCAGTTTCTTCATGCAACGTAGAGTTAAAACAAGGGGATTCACTCCTGCAAGGTGTTGCAAAAGCCACCAAGCTGCTATCTGGAGATTCCAAGGACTGGACCTGGGACTTCATGCATGCAAAAGCATGATTCTCTGCCAGTAAGCTATGAGCCTTCCTCCTGTGTTCCTGCATCCAATGGTTTTCTCAAAGCACAGGAAGTCTTGACAACTACGCATGTGCATCCGTCTCAGCAAGCATGCCCAAGTCGCTGCAGTGCACGCTGCAAGAACAGCCCCACCCATCTCAGTGGCTTGTGCGGTTTTAACCTCTCCTCCACTGAGCCTGGGAACAGGCAACAGCAGCGAGCACAGCTCTGGAGAGGCAGCTAGGAATGTAAGGCTGGCTCTGCGCCACAGCTGGCCTGTGGTCCCGCGTACTTTCACCCAGGTGCGCCACAAACTTCTGCAGCCTCTGTCACCTGTTGGCCCCTTGCTGCAGATTGGCTACTCAAACTTTAGGGCACTTGGCTCCGTCCGCAGGACAGTAGCACCTCGGCTTACGTAATGTAACCTTCGGGTTGCGAAAGCGGCAAACCCAGGAGTGTTTCACCACGCGCGCATGCGCAGCAGCGCTCTACCGTGTGCATGCGCAGAAGAGGTCCTTCCAGTTACGGAAGCCTCAGGATCTGACCGGAGCTCCAGAACGGATCCTGTACGCAACTGAAGGTACCACTGTATACATTTAAAGCAGTATTATACCACTTTAAGCAACCATAAAAAAAGGTAAAGGACCCCTGACAGTTAAGTCCAGTCGTGAACGACTCTGGGGTTGCGGTGCTCATCTTGCTTTACTGGCCGAGGGAGCCGACGTTTGTCCGCAGACGGTTTTTCCAGGTCATGTGGCCAGCATGACTAAGCCGCTTCTGGTGAAACCAGAGCAGCGCACAGAAATGCCATTTACATTCCCGCCAGGGTGGTACCTATTTATCTACTTGCACTTTGATGTGCTTTCGAACTGCTAGGCTGGCAGGAGCTGGGACCGAGCAACGGGAGCTCACCCTGTCGCGGGGATTTAAACAGCTGACCTTCTGATCAGCAAGTCCAAGGTTCAGTGGTTTACACCACAGCGCCACCAGCGTCCCCTTAAGCAACCATAGCTTCCCCCAAAGAATGACTGCAGGTGTCACTGGACCACAACTCCCACCATCCCGATTAATGGCCATGCTGGCTGCTGGGGATGATGGGAGTTGTAGTCTAACAACATCTCGGATGTGCTCCCACCTCTGGTTTAGCTAAGAGTGCCGAGGTTTCTTCTGCCTGTAGACGTGACCCAAAAGGAGGAAACTGAGCTGAACTATTATTTCCCTCCTGCATAGGTGTGCAGCCGTGTGACAATGCCTCTACTTTTCGATAGTTCTTTGTTGCCTGCCATACAGGTGCTGCAGGTGCAGGAGTCTTGCTGGATGAAGAAAGAAATGTTGACAACCCTGCCAGATGTGAGGGGAAGGTGGAGATCATCCCTAACAACCCTCACCTGGTTTCTTGGGTTTTTGTTAATTATACATATCAGGGAGAAAGAAGCTGTGTTCACCAAGGTGTGTTGTGGGACTATGACTTCTGGACCACTGCTCTTGCTGCTTGGGGCAGATGGGAGTTGTAGTCCAACAACGTCTGGAAGGCCAAAGGTCCCCCACATCTGGTTGTGTGTGTATGATGAAGCCAATGTTCTGCTCCTCCTGCCTGCTAAGAGACTCCATCAGTACACTTTCTAATTTCCTTCCTGAGGTAGCTACTTCCCAAAGGGAGGAAATGCAACATCATAATTAAAAAGAAGGCACAAGTTTGCATCTGCCAATTTACATGAACAGATGCAAATTTAGAAGCAATTGCTTCAGATTAAACAGAAATACAAGGCATCGTTCCACAGTGAGAAAGACTGACCTGTGTGCAGCTGCTCAATTTGCTCTCTGGGTGCTCACGGCTGACGGGCAACTTTGCGGCCTTTTCTAGGCAGCCTACACCCCATAGATATGAAGTTCATATGCCACCACACCTGGCAAAGAATCCTGAGAACTGTAGCTTACTCCTCACAGCGCTATAACTCCTAGTACACCTATTCCCAGGATTCTCTTTGGGCATTGTATACAGCCTTGTTCTCCCTTCTTGGGGCTCTTTATCCTTGAGCCAGGATTGGACCCAACAGCCTTTCAAACTGAAAACTGTCATCTGTAAAGTAGGAGCTATAGCTCCCAAGCTTTTGCAGCGGGGTGTTTTTTTTAAATTCCCCTTCCTTGAGGAATCTCAAATAACACCCCAAGGCTTCTGTTTCCCATTCATCCACCTGGCCCAAGCATGTCTTTGCCAGTCTCAGCCTAGATCTCCCTGACAGAGCTATGATCCCCAGAACAGTTTAATAATCAATCCCTCTTCTCAGGGAACTGAGGAATAGGGGCCTCCTGGCAACTCTCAACATCCCCGAGTGCACATTCAAGAGGCCCCTACATGGGTGTAACACGGGTGCATTCCTTGGCAAGTCGCACGATGGATCACTGATGTGCAACGGGTGGCTTTTGGGTGACGCTGCCTCTCGACCCAACCAAACTCTCAGGGTTCTTGAGAGTATAAAATGGGATTGCCATGAATATGTGCTAAATGCGGAGAGGGCCAACAAAAAAGACACATGGAGCCGCCACCACCCCATGTGACAATCCTCCCCCTGACATCATTGTGCTCTGAATCTCGCAGCACAAAGTAATGTGCTTTTGGATATGCGCTTGATGCGCAAGGGGAGGAGGAGAACCTTACTGCTGCTGGAATTGGCAGTCGGAGTAGACAGGTGGGGGAGAGAGAAGAGACGAGCCGTCACTCCAGAATGCAGCAAACACTTCCATCAGAAAGATAACACAGGTAAAAAAAGAAGAAGCCAGGATTCATTATAGCTCCCTGTCTGTCCAAGGTGTCCTAGAATACGAAAGAAGGCTCGGAGATCACATCTGAAGCTACGTCTTCCGCACACAAACCCAGCACAACGGTGCCGCACTAGAAGTCTGGAGTCTCAGCCAGCAGAATAATCAGAAGGGAGGAGGCTGGCTTGCTGGCTTACCACATTTTGAAGTAATGGCCGTTGCCTTCTGAAGCGCGAAGGAGGGGAGCTCTCCAAGGCCATTAAATGCCTAGTCTCCAATGACCTAAGTGCACCCTGGCCAGTGATCCCCTCCTGCATCCTCCTTCCCACAGTGGCAAAGCAGGGAGGCAACAGCTAATCCTCTCTCGTTGTTTCCAACAGCAGGGCTGTCCAGCGGCATCCTCTCCTGCTTACAGGCTTGCCGCAGGCACCTGTCAAGACCAGGGCGCTGGACCAGGCAGGCCACTGGCCTCATCCAAGTACCAGGCTCTGTTCTGATGCCTAATCCGTTTCTTCCAAGAAGAAGAAGAAAAAGCCATCTCCTCTCGTGGCAGCAAGTTCCAAAGCCAATAGCTTTCATTAAGTAACAATGACGGCAGCAAACAGTTTCACAGCAAGCTGCCCTGACCTGGTGCTTTGCAAAATCCACTCCCCCTAACCCCCCCCCACTTAATCTGTTTATTAAATTTGTATACTGCCCTATACCTGTAGATCTCAGGGCAGTTCACAACATAATATCGCAGAATATAAAAAAAACAGAAAACTGGCCAGCTTGCACTGTTCCTATAATCTATTTTAACTGTTTTGAAATATGAATTTTAGCTTGTAACCCAGCCTTGGAGCTGCTGGAGAAGGACAGATATTGTGTTTGTGTGTGTGTGTGTAATAAATAAAATGTGTGTGTATCGGCCTTCATCCAAAGATCACTGGGCGTTTCACAACATATTGATAGAAATCATCATCAGTAATACCACCCGCCACTTCCCTCCTCACCTGCGGCTCCACCAGCCATCTCTCTTCCCCGCTCTGGCCGCCTCCCGTGTACAGAAAAGCCGCGTAAAGGGGGATCCTGTCCCGCGTGCTGTAAAGGGTGGCGAAGCGCGGCTCTTGGTTGTATTTCTGGCAGATCTTCACGTGCTGATCCCCGGACTGCCCCGGGAGCCCCTCGGGGGGCGTCCGCTGGTAGAAGAAGCCGTCGCAGTCTCCGAAGCCCGCGGCTTCTTCTCCTCCCTTGGTGGCCACCACCTCGCCCTGCGCCCAGCCGGCCAAGGCCAGCGCCACGGCCGCGAGGAGAGGCAACGAGGTCCGCATCTTTCCTGCGCAGCGCCGAGGATTGCCTGAAGTTTCTCCCGGGCGAGAAGAGGATGCGATCCGCTTGGCTCTTCTTGGCAGCGGAGGGGAAAGGGCGAGACCAGACGCTGCTGCGACAGAGGCGCGCGAGTGCGGGCGTGTGTGTGCGCGCCTGGGCGCGCGGCGCAGCCTTTAAAGGAGGGAAGTGAAACCCGAAACCGCAGGCAGGCGCGAGGAGGCTCTCCGCGCGCAGCGCCAACACGTGGTGACACACGCCGCAAAAGCGAAAATGGGCGCTCTGCACGCGCTCAGAGGCGTGCAGGCCGCAGATCGGGAAGAGGGAGGAAGGAAGGGGAGGGGAGGAAGAAAGATCCCGAGTTATTGCCTCCCTTACGTCACTAGATCAGCGCCAGGCTATCTTCCTCTCTTTTTTTGGCTCCGGGCCACGGCTGGTGTCAGGCGGAGGGAGAGGAAGAGATAGGATGGGCGGAGAGAGGACCGCATTGCAGTGGGGATCCCCAGCAGCACGCCTTTCGGGTGGCTCGGCCAGAATCTCCTCCCCGCGCGCCCATGCAGCACCCTGCCCGCCCGCCCGGCCTGCCACCCACTTAGGGGGAAAGAGAGACGAGGCTGCAGCGGGTCAGTGGCTCCGGCTAAGCCGATCATGGCGCGCTTGCGACGCCCTTCTCCAGCCAGCGGGTCACAGGGAGGGGTTTTTACGCAGCAGCAGCAGCGCGCGGGTTTTTGCGCGCAGTGGCTGAGCAGCAAAATCCCCCCCCCCATCAAAGTCAAGGTGGCCCAAAGCTGGAGAAGGTGCTTTGGCACCCGAGGCAGGAAAATCCCACAGCCAGGAGCCCTTTCCCTTGTCCAGGTTATAAAAGTGCAATAATTATAGTAAAATAAGTAGCAGTTTGCTGCTCTTGCATGAAACCTGAAATCAGCCGCCTGGGGCGGCGGCGGAAAAGGATTCTGCCAAGGAAGCTGCCTTAAACCGAGTTAGCTGTCTAAGTCCATCAAGCTTTGTATTGTCTACACCAGGGGTAGGCAACCTAAGGCCCGTGGGCCGGATGCGGCCCAATCGCCTTCTCAATCCGGCCCAGGGACGGTCTGGGAATCTGTGTGTTTTGACATGAGTAGAATGTGTCCTTTTATTTAAAATGCATCTCTGGGTTATTTGTGGGGCATAGGAATGAGTTCATCCCCCCCCCAACATATATATATATATATATATATAGTCCAGCCCACCACATGGTCTGAGGGATGGTGGGCCAGCCCACAGCTGAAAAAGGTTGCTGACCCCTGGTCTACTCTGACAGGCAGCACCTCTCCAAGGTTTCAGGCAGGGATCTCTCCCAGTTCAATCTGGAGGTGGCTAGGATTGAACCTGGGACCTTCTGCTTGCAAAGCATGCAATATATTACTGGGCTGCAAGCCATCCCCCAATATTAGGGCTGGGATTATTTTTTATTTCACTCTGCGCCCTATCCATTATAAACCTCAAAATGTGCTGTGTATGCACCATGCATTTAAAGTGCATCTCCCACCCATCTCACAGAAAATGTGAACTATAGATTCCTCCTCACCGGAGCTACAATTCCCAGCACCCTTAACTAAAGTTCCCAGGATTGGTGTGTGTGTGTGCGTGCAAATCCTATCGCAAGTTGTGCTGGGATGAGCTGCTTAGGATGTGGTGGGTCTCTGGCTCAGTCCACTCACCCCTGGCTTAGCTGGTGTTGAATCCCGAACCCTGGTTAAGCTAAAGATACATCTGCCTAACTTGTTCACCTGGGGCTCCGCAAGCCTGGCTGAGCCAAGGCTGGTATAAGTCCCCCCCAAAAATGAACATTCAGAGGGGCAGAACCAGAAAGCAGGGATTTAAGCTGGATCCTAAAACCATTCAGCATGCTCACATGGCCTGGCAGCCTAACGTAAGAACACTGTTTTAAAGGTTTGTTTTCCATCTGCCGGGCTTAGGCAGAGCAACCGCAGCCACCTTGCTGCTGAATCTGGTGTAACTTTACGCAGGTTTAACTTACACCAGTTTGCTTCACACAAGCTTCTTGTGCATGAGATTGCTTTCTATACCGTTAAGGCACAACCAGAGCACATTCTCACCCTCAAAGAATTAGGGGCACTGTAGTTCATTAAGGGTTGCGGGGAACTGTAACTGTGAAGGGTAAACTAGAGTTGACTTTGCTCCCCACCCCCTTGCAGTCCTCCCGATCCGCTTTTCCTTTTGTGAGGTGTGTGTGCAGGCAGAGACTATATTGTTTATAAGTTCTTGCAGGAGAAGAATTCAAATTGCTATTATTTGTGTGACCGGACAACATTTAGCTTGGTGAGTCTACATCTGATGAAGAAGCACATAAACTGCTTTTGGGAAACCAAAGGATTTTAATTTTACCTTCTGAAAATGTCAGGTAATGCTACATCATCATCATCATCATGACTGCAAAACTGGCAATTATTTTAATGATTTCTGTGCAATTTTACTTACAAAGCAAAACCACAGTATATTAGTTTAACCAGAATATATTTTGAATTCCCAAGCCATATTACAACTTTTCAGCACCCGGCCTGTTCGGAATTCAAAAGTTGATAAATTTAACGCGCCCTAATTTAATTCATTGCTTGTAAGCCTCACCGTGAGGCTTTTGGGCTGAAAAGTGGCGTCAAGTGCTCTAAATCAGCGTTTCCCAAAGTGGTCAGGCTTGGCCCCCTGTGGTCAGTGGAGCTGCTCAGGGGTGAACAAAGACCTAGAGGTTGAAAGGGGGCCAAAATGGGGAAAATGTTTATGATGTATAATGTGAATAATTTAATTAGGAACTATGTATCTCAGGAACAGGCCCGGCCCAACCATAAGGTCTGGTAAGGTGACTGCCTCAGGCAGCAGATCCTAATGTATATTTTTATCCCTCCCTCGTTCCTGACGTAGATCTTTCCCCACCCTTTCTTCCCTGGTGAGAGGAAGGTGCAATTCTGTGGTTCACCTCAGGTGCCAAAATGTTTTGTCATGAATAAAGAGCATAGGCATGTACAGAGTGCACCTCTATTGCCAGTGAGAACTGCCTGTATTTAATAGGATGGTTCCACAATACAACTGCTTTGCTTATTTGTTCTATACCTGCTTATGATGGTCGGTGATTAATCAATGTAGATTAGATAGTGATACTTCTTGGCTTTTCATTCCTAAGAATTTGGGTTGGGGTCAACAACAAATTTATCAGCTCATTAAGGGGTTGACGAACTCAGAAGGTTGGGAAAGGGAAAGGGACCCCTGACCATTAGGTCCAGTCGTGGCCGACTCTGGGGTTGCGGCGTTCATCTGGCTTTATTGGCCGAGGGAGCCAGTGTACAGCTTCCAGGTCATGTGGTCAGCATGACTAAGCTGCTTCTGGCAAACCAGAGCAGCGCACGGAAACGCCATTTACCTTCCCGCCGGAGGTATTCATCTACTTGCACTTTGACGTGCTTTCAAACTGCTAGGTTGGCAGGAGCAGGGACCGAGCAATGGGAGCTCACCCCGTCGCGGGAATTCGAACCGCCGACCTTCTGATCAGCAAGTCCTAGGCTCTGTGGTTTAACCCACAGCGCCACCCACGTCCCTCCTTGATGTAAATGAATGAGATAAACAAAGTACTATATGCCAAGCATCTGCCGGGGCTTTTAAAAAATAATGATTCTTTTGTTCACAGAGAATCTTGCACGGTGGTAGGGCCCATGACAGCAGAGAAAGTGTGAATGGTTTATGTCTAGTTCTGGATTCGTTCTGGAACCAACCTCTAGACTAAGTACTTCCTTGCTCATTTCACTGGTTGCTGGGTCAGTCTTGGCACTTTGGATGTTGGCACTAATTGCATTCCTCATCAAAGCAAGTTGGGAAGAAAGAATGAAGCATTAATTATGGTGCAATTAATGAGTAACCTGCACTGAGTGACAGTACAACACAGCCGATTCAGGCATGCATGTGTGTTGCACAGCATCCCATAACTCAGTGACTTTTCCTCTGGTGACTTGGCCCTAGCTGTGTTGAGTGGCCTCCATCAAATGGTTGGAATTTTGAGGTGGGTGTCAGATGATGTTTGGTTCATGATGACAGCTTCAGATATGGAAATCATCAGCATCAAATGTGGCCCTCTCTGGCCCTCTCACCAGAACATACCCCTTGGACTCCAGAGTATTTTCCAAAAAAAATTTGTGGGGATCCGCTCCCAACAAGTCTCTCCCCTAGCTTAAGTTCAAAATTTATTGAATGCGAAATGGAGGAAAATCCTGCTATTATTTCTTGCTTGCTTTTTTGTGATTTTTCAGTAAATTTCTAAAATGTAAAGTTTGGACTCTATGCCTGTCTGTATCCAGATCCTTCCCCACACCTGGGAGATAATTCTCTGTAATCTGAGACACAAGAAGCTTATTATGATTAATCTGTTGTGGTGTACTCTGCACATGAGCAAAGATTATTATTTCACATTTTCAGGACAGCCATGCATTGCAAATATGTTCTCCTGAGCACTGATGTGTCCCGGCCTGAATGACACAATAATTTCTGGTCTGCTTTGAACCACTTTAATTCTATCCAATTACAGGAAATAGGAACATGGGAAGTTGCCTTATACCGAGTCAGAACTTTGGTCCATCTAACTTAGTACTATCTACACTGATTGGCAGCGGCTCTCCAGGTTCTCAGACAGGAGTCTGTTCCAACCCTACTGGAAATGCCAGGGATCGGAACCTTCTGCTTGCAAGTCAGATGCTCTAACACTGAGCTACGGCCTTTCTGACATAAGCAACCCCACAGCCACTTATTACATGAAAAGATATATATTCCGACTTACTTACAAACTGTTAACAAATCACTATGTATGAGTAGCTGTCAGCAGGGCAGGGTGGCAACACTTGCGCAGAGTTGCGGTAAATTACCAGGAGAGAGAGGGAGAGTGGGGTCAGCACAGTGGAGATGCACTGGCAGAGCTAATCCAACCATTCTGCCAGTGTGTTTGCACTGCCCCAAACTGGTCGCCATCTCAATCCTCCCCCTTTATCTCCTGGTAATTCAAAACGACGTCAGTGACAGGTCAGGTAAGTGCCACTGTCTGCACCACCGACCACGAACACTATGTATGTTACTGGTGGAGATGCCAATTCACTCCTGTGGTATGTGATTTTCCTTTGTTAAATCGACCATTTACAATTCCCACATCTGCACCAGACATATCTGCAGGGCCGGCTCTGCCATTGGGCAAAGTGAGGCAACCGCTTCAGGCAGCAGCTGCTGGGAGGGTGGCAGTTGGGGCTCCCTGGCTGTTCTTCTGAAGCATCCTAGCTATTCCACTCTGCTGGAAGACAGAGCTATGTGTGTTACATGTGTGCATTGGCCCTGCTAAACTACCCTGCAGCCCCAGTTGCAATGGAGGATGCAATCCCATCCCCACTGTTGACGGTGAGTCTTCTACATGGAATGGGGTATGGAGCCAGTTGTGTCCTTCGCCTGGGGCAGAAAAATGCCTTGGACCTGCCCTGCATGCACCCAAACTATCAATTTAGCGGCAGCCTTCCATCCATTGCAAACTTAAAACAGCACCATATAATTAACTTTGATCTCTACCTGTGCATCTGTGCCTGACTTTTTAAGGTCATATGTAGATGTACATCATCAGCTCACCTGAATGAGATGTTACCTGATGAACATCTGTGAATGATCTCCTGAGAAAGGCAGGCAGTGATATTGAAGAGGAGGTCAAATTTATTTACACGGCGCTGTTTAAGAATTGTAATAGAAAGCCTATTTGGCAGGAAGTGGTATGGGAACAAACAATGGGGGGGCGCTATGGCCTTTCAGCTGTTGTTATAGAATCCAGCTCCCATCAGTTCAAGCCAGCATGACCAATAGTCAGAGTCAGGGATGATGGGAGGAGAGCCGTAGCTAGGTGATCTTGCGCCCCTGGCAGAACCATCCAGATTGTGTCCCCTTGTTGTTTAGTCGTGTCCGAGTCTTCATGACCCCATGGACCAGAGCCCGCCAGGCACTCCTGTCTTCCACTGCCTCCCGCAGTTTGGTCAGACTCATGTTTGTAGCTTCGAGAACACTATCCAACCATCTCGTCCTCTGTCGTCCCCTTCTCCTTGTGCCCTCAATCTTCCCAACATCAGGGTCTTTTCCAGGGAGTCTTCTCTTCCCATGAGATGGCCAAAGTATTGGAGCCTCAGCTTCAGGATCTGTCCTTCCAGTGAGCACTCAGGCCAGATTTCCTTCAGAATGTGTCCCCTAGCCATGGACAAATTAGCTCTTCTTTCTGCCTCTCCTCCACCCCCAACCCCACCCATTCAATTCACCATCTATTTAAAACCATTTCTTATGAGGCAAGAATCGATACTAATATTTATGGACATATTTTTAAGCCTACTGGTATTTTGTGCCTCGCCCATTACCTGTGCCCTTGGCGGGAGCCCACCCCCTAGCTACGCCCTAGATGGGAGTCATAGTACAGGCAACCTCCAATTTGCATGGGGGTTGCTTTCTGGGTCATTGTGCTTGATGGCAGAGGCTGCATAAGCCCGCTGCACCCCATTACTTCCCCTTTTCCTGCCAATTCCAGGTCCCTGCAATGCACACAGGCAGGGTCACGCATCAGTTGGACCTGTTTGTTGCCTGTACAGCATACGGAGGGCTAAAGGTTAGCCACAGCTCTGCTCGAAGCCATCTTTGTCTGCCAATCTCCAGTTGTTTAATCAGCTTCAAGCAGATAGTGTTTTCTGGACTGCACCTCATATTATCATGCTATGCCTGCCTGCTGTGAGATTCCGAACACCTCCAGCACCATTTTGTACTATCAGGTCATGAGCAGAGGGCTTCAGAAGTTAATAATACAAATCTGCTTCATATGATGTCCTCTGTACAATACTAAGGAACCAAATGATTGAGCAAAAAGCACATTATGCCTTATTTAAAACATATTCTTACCCTCAAAGAATTCTGGACACTGTAGTTTACCCCCCACAGAGTTACAATTCCCAGCAACTCTTAACAAACTACAGTGCCCAGAATTCTTTGGGGGGGGGATGTGCTTTGATTGTGTGTTGATGGCAGAGTGTGTACACAGCCAGAATAGGTTTGACATCAGCAGGTGCCTGGCAACTTACTACATAAAAGACTTCAGATGACTTACAAACTGATACTGGAGGGGGGGAGAAGGAAATCATAGGATACACTCTTGTGGTATGCAGTTCAAATGGAACTGCTGTGTCATTTTGGCTTCTCATAGACATGCCAGTCATATGTGTGCGCAGCCCGTGAAATCAATTTAATGAGAACCCTCGTGCCATTGCTGTCATACACAGCCCAGTGTAATTTTGACCTCCATTTAGGTACCATTGGCTGCCTATCTAGGAAGATCAGGCATGCCAGACAATGTCTTGCCTTGACTACAGCTTGCTAATGTTCACCACTGACAGATTATTCAATCAGTCACGAAGCGAACACGAAATTTGCAAACCCCTTTGGGCTAGTGTGAGGTAAGGAGCTGTATTTTCTGCCAGTTATAAGAATGAACAATGAGCTTGTGATCTTAACTGATGTGGTTGGTTGGAGAGCACCTGATACTTCAGCAATGGTGACGTTGAGGAGGAGTGGAGATTGTCAGGTGAGAAGCCAGTTGGAGCTCCATGTAAGATGAGAGACCATCTGGAACACCATGTAACACCATAATTTCCAGGGTCCAGACCTGGAACCTGTGGTCTCCTTGGAAGAAGAGCAGGCCTCCCCAGCTGACCACCACACAATCAGAATAGAAATGCCAAGTTCAGAACCATGGTCCATAGGGTTCAGTATTATCAGCACCAACTGACAGTGACTTTCCAGAATTTTAGACAGGAATCTCTCCCATCCCTGCCTGGGTTTGAAATTTGAATCTTCTGCATGTAAAGCAGATGCTCTTATAATTGAGCTATAGCCCTTTCCTCTAACACTGAGGAGCAACCTTGAGGAGCTATTGGAGGTCTCCATAGGAGTTGCCTGGAACCCTTGCTGATTCTCGGATTTTGTCAAACACACACACACCCATGGCCACAAGGGCAGAGAAGATGGCAAGCCAGAGGTGAGCTTCAGGGCACTGGAATTGTTAACAGCAACGGCAACACGTGAGTCTACTCAGGAGGAAGGAGAAGCACATGTGAGCGCCTGCCCTGATCAGGATCCGCCTGAGAAGCAGATGGGCTTGAGAGTCCATCTTCTGTATAAGCTCTCATTCTGAGCTCTGAATCACTGGGGAAACTGGCAAAGATAACAAAATAATATAATAAGCGGAAGTGCAAATCGCTCAGCTCAGAAATGAACCAATTGCTTTTATGGGTGCCATTATCACTCACCCCTCCATCACAATCTGTAATCGGGTCAATATTATAATACTGGGCTGACTTGCAGGGTCATACAGATTGCTTTAGCTCGTAGGCGTAATGGCCTGGGATTGAATACCAGTGCAAAGAACAAACTGGGCACAAGGCCAGCCCTTGAGGCTACAGCAGGCCCTACCGTTGGGCAGAGTGAGGCGGCAGATATTATGGGGTGGGAAGAAGCGGTGAGTTCTTGGAGTACAGAGCTGTGTATGCCCTGCAGCTCCTAGACAAGCCTACTGCCCTCTAGTGCAATAGGACAGTGTTATTCAACCTTGGGTCCATGGATCCTGTTGTACAACAACATCCATCATCCCCTGCCAGCTTAGCCAATAGTCAGGGATGATGGAAATCGTAGTCCAACAACATCTGGTGAAGAGCACTGCAGTTGGGGGCACCACCCTGTTGCCTGTTTTTAACTGAGATTCAGCTCCTAATCCATTGGGCGCCTGTGGAATGGAGGGTGACATCGCCTCGTCCTTGTCCAGCAAAATTTATTGAGCCGCCTCGGTGTTTAACTTGCTGTTTTTGGCAGGGGGATACGCACCAGATGGGCAATCGCAATGTCAAATATTATTGCTGGGTAAAGAATCTGCTCGGAGGTTTGTTTTCTGACATTGCATTCCAGTTGGTTTAGCAGAACGGCGAACAGGAGAAGAGAAGAATGTGCAATTCAACACTCTTTGCAGCGGTGCCATCAGGGCAGGAATTTAGGGCACGTGTCCAGGGCCCCACTCAGCAGAATGAGCTGGAGGGGCTCCCAATTTAGCCAGGGTGGTGTATACTGAAGTTGGCTCATTGCAGCCTAAAGGAGAATCTCCCTATAAGACCATTAATTCCAGAGTCTAAAATAACTTAAAAGTGCAATAGTCACAAATGGGGTTTGTGGTCTGTTCAGCTTCTGATGGTCCTGGAATATTCAGCGCCCGCTATGTTTTGTTTCTGCCCTAAAGCTTTGCTGTGCTTCCTGATCAAAGAGAGCTTTATGCTGTTTCTCTGCACAAGAAAACAGCTTCCAGTCCAGCATCTGAGCACATTGCCTTCCCTTGTATGTCTGGGGACTGAAAAAAAGGCCAACTGCAGCCCTCTTATCTGCAGAGGCCAGAGCTCTTGATAAATTGTACTCAATTGTAAGGCATCTGTTTTGCATACAGAAGGCCCAAGTAATATCCATGCAGAAATGAACAGTGTGAGCAGGTGGTAAACAAGCAAGTTTTTTCTCTCCTGCTTTAAAAAATAATGCCCATTGCATTCAGTGGGACTTGTTCTCAGGGAAGCATGTATATTAGATGTGCAGCCTCAGTATCACTATGGATTTTCTCAGCAGCCTGCTACAACAAAATCGGCCACTGGCTGACTGGAAATTTTGTTCCACATAGAAAAGGAGATATTTCAACTGTTGCAGGAAAAGTCAGTTGGCCCTTGCAGGGCTTGAACAGGCAAGAGATGGGAAGGGTTTATAGCTTGCTTTCATTCGTTGCCAGCTGTAGGCTTGATGGAACAAGAATGGGAGGAGGTGGGTGATGAAGCTCAACAGGGAACAACGAGAATGCATGGAGCCTTGCCAAGAGTCAGGCTAGTAAAGCTTGCAATAGTTTTCGAACCCTCTTTCATCTTGACCACTCGGAGCCGGTTTGATAGGCTGGCTACAAATATTCACCCAACCCCACCCTCAAACAACCCCATGCACCTATTCCTTAGGTGAAAGCAAACACAGAAGTGTAACCAGAAGAAAGAGAATTGGCGTTTTGACTTTTAATCCTGCAAAGGGTACTGAACCCAACAATATTGAATTGCGTTCCCCATGAACCAGAAGTGCTCTACGGCAGCTTCGGGATTACAAAATGTCATAAAGTTTCCATGATCAGTGGAGAACATGGAAACTTCATGGCATTTTTGTGTAATATTTCGGTAGAAATGTACAGGATAAGCAGGTGGCAACCAAGCAGGGTATATCTGTTTCTGTTGGTCAGGGGGACAGAATGAGGGAATATATGGTGTGTGTGTGTGTGTGTGTGTGTGTGTGTGTGTGTGTGTTTTCTTATCTCAGGATCAGTGGCTCTTCAGCAAGCCCAGTATCTTATGCAATCCTATTTTGCCAGTAACTCAGAAGCAGTGGGAACACGCCATTTCCCAGAGGATACACACAACCGGACACCTTCATCTGCCCCAGCTGGAACAAAACATGTTTCTCCTATTTCAGTCTCTACAGCCACAGCAGGCACTGCAACCTTCCAAAAGTTTGACTTCACCCCCAAAGGCACACTCCTCCATTGTCTCCTGAGACAACACACACCAGCAGGTGGAATATCATCTGGATTCTCTCACACCAACTGTTCAAATGGTTGCATCTTTGTATCTTATTATTTAGAAAAAACCCAAAATCTACTGCATTAGAATCCAAGGAAGAGGGGTCTTGGGTGCATACTTTCTCCAATTTGAATCTCAGTTGCATGCTCCTTGCTGTTGACTCTAAACGCAGAGCACCGTGTCTGTAGTGCCAGAACATCATCACAACCATCCATTGTGATCTTAAGCCTATTAAATAAAGGGTTTTGTTACAGATCACACCCTCTGTGCAAGCCCTAACATGGAATGAGGTGTTACTTTGATTCTCTTTGCCAGAAGTAAATACCTGGCAACAAATGGGAGATTTAGTATTTTGACATAGCTTTCATATTTACTGTTGCTGAAACAAGTGTCAAATCCCTTCCAAGTTTCTACAGAAGGCAAGACTGGGCTTGCATCTTTTGTATCACACACACGTGTTCAGTTCTGGGACAGGTCTGGAAGAGAGACATTGCTGAAAGGGTGGGACTCAAGTTGCAGGTTATGAACTGGACGGACAGCTTCTTTCCTTACCACTCCTCCTCAGAAACATTTCTGCCTGCTCCATCTACATGTGGCAAATCAGGAGGAAAAAAGAAAACATTGATAGCCTTCCACTTAGCTATTCCGGTATGCACAGTTGCATATTTTTGCTGGGTGGAAGCATTTGAAAGATGTCAATTTAAAACATGAACTTCAGTAAGTTGGCTGCAGCAAAAACGATACCCACACCTTGATAGACTTGTGGCCCCTTAATTAACAGAGTAATGTTGCATAAACCTTGGTAGTGGAGATTCTAGCCACTTTATCAGAAGCATAACATAAACTGGTAAATATAGGTATACATGAGAACTAAACGGAGCCCAAAGAAATGGAAGAGCTGATAGTAGGAGCATCACGATTCTATGAAGACCATCAATGCCCTGAAATGAAAAGCTTGGATTTTTAATCTAGGCAGCCACTGCAGACTTGCTCTACTAATGAAAAGTTAAAATAAGTAGGAACATCTTGCACACTACTGTCTACCCTGACTGGTAGCAGCTGTCTAGGGCCACGTTCACACCATCTATTTAAAATACTATGACACTACTTTAAACACACATGGCTTTCCCCAAAGAATTCTGGGAGCTGTAGTCTGTTAAGGGTGCTGTGAGTTGTTAGAAGACCCCTATTCCCCTCACAAAGCTGCAAGTAACATATTTCCATTTGAAGAGGGATTTGTTGTTAAACCACTGTTTAAAGTGTTTTAAATGGTATCGTGGTGCTTTGGAAGTATATTGTGAATTTGGTCTAGGGTTCCGGACCAAGTCTTGGAAATAGCAGGAACTGAACTTGGGGGGTTTGGACACAAAGCACATGCTCTACCAGCCCCACCTAAGCCTTTCGCTCCTTCCCAGTTGGGTCATAGAAACATAGAATTGTAGAGCTGGAAGGAACCCCGGGGGTCATCTTAGCCCAGGGGTGCCCAAACTGTTTTCAAAGAGGGCCAGATTTGATGAAGTGAACATGCATGAGGGCCGACCACCACCTTCCGAGGGAGTCCATTCCACTGTTGAACAGATCTTACCTTCAGAAAGTTACTCCTGATGTTTAGCCAGAATCTCCTTTCTTGTCATCAGTTGGTTTGGGACCTGCCTGAAGGGACCCCAAAGAAAGACTGAAGTTGCTTCCCAGAATATTTACAAATTCAAATACATGCAGATGTGGACTACTCCTGTCTAATCTGAATGGGGGCTGTGAATTTAGCCATGAATTTAAAGTGTTGCAAAATGCTCTATGATCTTTGAATGAAGGGTGGTTGTCAGGGGTTCAGAGAGAGAGGCACAGGGTAGGCAGGAGATGGAGAGCGAGGGGGAGGAATTCCAAGCCAGCGAGGAAGAGGATGACAATGACTCAAGGGATTCCATGAGTCTTTCCAGCGAATCAGAGGATTCCCAGAAGGGGCGCCGGTGGTCAGGGCCAGGGAGCCCCAGGGGGGAAGTGTCAGGAGCAGGGTGCCAGCGGAGGATCCCAAAGTGGCAGCTGGGCGTCAGGACCAGCCTCCCCACCAAAGTGCAGCGAAGGGGGTGGAGTTTCCAGTGTGTCAGAGGAAGCAGCTCCAGCAGCAGAGAAAGGAGGGGGGTCAGAGCAAGCCGCCCTCCCGGAAGGGGAGGGGGCAGTGAAGGGAGTAGTGTAACTGTCAGAAGGAAAGTTAGAGGTTTGGCGCGCGCGCCTAGTTCAAATGTAGAGGCGCGCGGAAGTGCAGGGAGCCCGGAGGAGGGGCCAGGTCCCAAAGCCCGCAGGAGGGGGGAAGAGCAGTCTGGGGATTCAGCGTCAGAGGAATCCAGAAGGGGCGCAACCCCAGGGGGCAGAAGGACCCTGCGGAAAAGGAAGGAGAGAAAGAGGTGGAGCAGCGCAAGTCTCTTAAATTGGTGCAGAGGAGGGACTGACTCAGAGGGGACTTCGGCGGTCTAGCGTAAGAGACGTAAGGCTGCGCGCCTAGGATGTCAAGCAAACCATGAACTGCAATAAACACCTTTGTATACAAGAAGACGTAGGCGTTGGTCTTTTGTGAGCTAAGACTTGAGGCAGCCTTGACAGTGGTATATAAATTTAATTTAATAGTAATAATAATAATAATAATGGCTAAATAATACTCAAATGTGGACAAGCCCCTGGTCCCCAGACAGACCTCGTGGTTTGTCTTTACAGTGGTACCTCTGGTTACATACTTAATTCGTTCCGGAGGTCCGTTCTTAACCTGAAACTGTTCTTAACCTGAAGCACCACTTTAGCTAATGGGGCCTCCCGTTGCTGCAGCGCTACCGCCATGCGATTTCTGTTCTCATCCTGAAGCAAAGTCCTTAACCCGAGGTACTATTTCTGGGTTAGCGGAGTCTGTAACCTGAAGCGTATGTAACCCCAGGTACCACTGTAACGCCTTACAGCACCTCAGTGATTCTGGTGAGTTCTGCAGCTCCCTGAGGACCTCTCGTGGCTTAACATGACTTTTAGCATTTCAGATATAGATTTTTAAAGCTTTATTTGAACCACTGAACAGGGGAAAAGTGGGATAAAACTTGTCGATTTTTACTGTGAAAAGAAGCTGTTGAGTCACGAAGGTTTGGAAGTGGAAACCACTGTCCCCGTAGCTCAAGAAAAGCTGTCGGGCCCCTCGAGGTGCCCTGACTGGTGGGACCAGCACAGCTATCCTTCAATTCCGTAAAAAAGAGAAGAAGAAAGGCAAGTGGTTTATGAAGCGACGCCCCGCAAGTCCAAGCACGTGACGGCAGATTATCTTTACGGAGCGGGGTGGGGAAAGAACTCTGCACACACTCAGAAGCCCTTTGCTCTGCTCCAGAAACTGTTGCCTTTCGAGCCTTTCCAGCCTCGCTCCATCACCATGGCAACAGAAACTCACGGGGAGCAATCATCTCACTTCCGACCAGGCGCCGCCCCTTTGTGGGCGGGGCATCCCAAGCCGCGTGACGTAACCGGACCGTTGCTTTCCCCGACTCCCGCCATTGCCTTGTCCTCGAGGGCGGAAGTCTACGAGAAGCGTAGCAAAGCGCGCCTCTCCGGAACTTCCGGTTCCCAACTGGCCGCCGCCATTTTGAGCAACGGGAAGGGGGAAAAAAAAGGGGGAGCGGAGACGTTCTACCTCCATCTCTATGGTATCCTCTATGGCGTTTGCTCATTACAGCCTCCCTGAGTCTTGTCTCCAGCCCCACCTCCCTCTTGGATTGCTCTCCATTTCTTCCCACGAGAGATGAGGCGAAAGTTGAAGCCGCGCGCAGCCTAGCCATCGCACGACCATAGACGTGCTTATGCCCAGAGCGACGCGATTTATTTATTTGATTATTTAAACCGGAAACTAGAGCGGCGCGTCCTTCTAGTCTGTGGATTTTCTATGGCTTCGGGGTCTGCGCGCGCACCTGCGGCCTTGGGCGCGGTGGCTCCCGGGAGTGCGGAGGTTGCGACGGATCTGCCGGCCTAGTGGCCGCGCCGCCCTGGTGCCCGTGAGGAGGGAGCAGCCGGTGAGCCTTTCGGGCGGGGGAAGGGGCGCCTTCGGAGGCCGGAAGCTGCCCGTGGCTCCCCTGTCGCGGCTTCCGTGCCTCCGAGCGCCCTTTGGCGGGGGTCGCAGGAGCGGGAGGCCTCAGGCCCTGACTCCTGGGCGGCCCTCGGGTGAGAACAGGGGGACCCAGGGGCCTCGGACGGGCCTTTGGCCTGGCCCAGCAGGGCTCCCCTGGCGTAGCAGGAGACGCCGGTAGTTTAGGTCGGTTGTCGCGCAGGGAGACCGTGGCTTCATTTTTTTTAAGAATCAGAATTTTTTTTTCCAGTATCAAAGCCGCCTCAGGACAGCTATTACCGTTTCTTTGTACAAAGATAAGCGGGGAAAAGGCGGGTCGCACTAAAGGTTCAGGGGGTGAAAATGCCAAGCATGTCCTTTTGCAGTACATGACAACGAGGTGCATAGCTGTCAACGTTTCCCTTTTCTTGCGAGGAATCCTATTCGGAAGAAGGGAATTCCCCTTTTAAAAGGGGGAAAGTTGACAGCTATGACGAGGGGGTCGCAGCAAATCAATTTAATGGATTATTCGGTGAATCAATGCAGAATAGTAGGAGTGAATGGAAGAGTATTGCCTCCGTTCCTATGCCGTAATGTAAGGGTAAAGGTAAAGGACCCCTGCATGGTTAAGTCCAGTCAAAGGCGACTATGGCATTGCGGCGCTCATATCACTTTTCAGGCCAATGGAGCCACCGTTTGTCCACAGACAGCTTTCTGGGTCATGACTAAACCACTTCTGGTGCAATGGGACACCGTGACGGAAACCAGAGCACACAAAATGTAAGGGTAAGGAGGTGATGCTCAATGCCCACCTAGTGTTTTCAAGTGCTCCAAGCAGTGCCCATGTTATCCAGTTGAATGCCGTACAGCAGCCCTGTAAGTAGGAGCAGCCAACCTGGCGTCCTTCAACTGTAGTCCAGTTCTGTGGACTACAACTCCCATCACCTTTGGCTGTGTTGGGTAGGGCTGATGAGAGTCCAGCAACATCTGGAGAGCACCCAGTTGACTAACTCTCGGGTATGTCAGTACTGTCGCCATCATTACTACATGAGTGTGGTGTTGAGGTTTATTGCAGAATGGCTTGCTAAAGTCCAAGTAGTGAGGTTATAGTAGAGGTGAGAATTAAGGCAGGGCCTTCCTGATTTGCTGCCTAGGCTCGTAGGACCAAATTGTGCATGGTACTCAATGCGTCATAAGCAGCTATCTTCTTTTTCTAAAAAAATGTAATAGCTGCCGCAGAGGAGTGATTTTATGTGGGACTGCAGTGTGTGGTAATAAGGCTTGCTATGCATGTTGATTTAGATTTTTTGCTTTTTTTGCTCTGGCAGGCTCTAGTATCCATCCATGATGTGCATTTGATCTCACAGTATTAAAGATGACTACTGCAGCTAGACCAACATTTGAACCTGCAAGAGGAGGGAGAGGGAAAGGAGAAGGTGACTTAAGTCAGCTCTCCAAACAATATTCCAGCCGAGATCTTCCCTCTCATACTAAAATCAAATACAGGTAACAGTTTACGTTTCTGGTGGGGGCTGTTTTCTGCAGTGTTTATTTTGTCTTTAGCAGGGAATAGATTTTTCTGTCCCTTTGGCAGGTAGAATTTGCTGCAGGAAAACATTTGCAAACTAAAAATGATTTCATTAGTTTTCTTTCTGGCTATCAGCATAGCACAAATGCTGTGCAGGTGGGCAGACAAACTCTTTGTAATTTGTGTGAGCGATTAACTTTTGTGGATGTCTTCGCAAAACTAACTCTGTTGGCAGGGTGGAGAATTGGATACAGATCCATGCCACCCTCACCCTTGCAGACCAGTTTTGACAGGAGGGTGTCAAATGGCTTGTCAATCACTTGACCGCCAGTGACCCATTTTTCTTTATCTGAGCAGTTTGAAGAACTGCACGGGTAGAGGAACAGCACTTTGCAAGCCACAGCAATCAGCTGCTCGATGGTTCCTATAAATTCTGCTTTCAGCCAAACCATATCTTCACCTGCCCTGCACTTGATGTCATATATGGCACCAGGTATATGGGAGGTGGGTTTTGGCTGACCAAAATGGCCCCATGAGCCAAATGGGTCAGCATGCTGAGTCTAATTAGGCTTGCAGTCCAGAGGTTTCCCACCACTTTACGGCCATCTCAGAATTCTTGTAGAACTTCACAAATGGGCAATAAGGGCAAAGCATCTTCCACAACCAGATGGGTACGAGCATGCAGTTTAAACTAACAACAGGCTCATCATGAGGCCCAGTAAAAAATCTGACTGATTTTTGGCTGCTGTGCTTTTTGGGACCTTTTCCTCAGCTTCCCTATCCCTCATGTGTACTGTGGGGTTATAATAGCACCTGTAATTTGAAGGGATCTGCTTCCAAATCAGTGCTGAAAACTTGCAGTTACTGATAATGTTGGGCAGTGTCATTATCTCCATACTGTAGAAGTGGGTTGAAGCTGCAAGAATAATAGCTTGCCTAGTATCACTTTGCTAGTTCTGGTACTGGCCCTTAACCTTAAAGGCCAGTGGTGGCTGTTGCCCATTGGAAGTGGTAGCGCATAAAGAATGGAGACCAGCAGTGAACAGGGTTGGAGCTGTAGACAGCCAGAGCTAGCTAAATCTAGGGTTGTCATCATCTTCCTCCCTGTTGGGCAACACTGGGACTGAGGAGGAGGAAGCTGACAGACATTGCCCCCCGGTGACCCATTTGCCATAAAACAGCAGCTTTCAAAGCCCAATTCAGCTTGGCATATGGGGTACCTGAAATGCTATGCTTTCCTTCATTCTCTTAGGCCCTTCTCCATGTCTCCCTGCCCCTTTTCTGTGGTGGCTCCTAGCCCTGGAATACCTTTGCCAGGGAGACTCAACTGCCACCAGTTTTTATTTCTTTTTAAAAGCTTATTCTCTGTTGTTTTAAGCATCCGATTATTCCTTTTAAATGTGTTGAGGTGCTCTAGAAGTCTTCAGAGTGGGTTAGTGATTTGTAATAAGTAAAATGACGAGCATTTGGCTGAGGTGATATTTGTTACGAATGTTTCGCCTCTCATAGTCACAGCAACTGTAATGCGTCAGCTGTATGTGGATAATTCCTTCCCTTCAGCTTCTGCACTTGCTTCTTGTTTCAGACAAACCACCCAGGATGCCCCTGAAGAGGTACGCAACCGTGACTTCAGGAGAGAACTGGAGGAGAGGGAGAGAGTTGTCGTGAGGGAGAAGAACAGAGACAGGCCTGCGCGAGGTCTGTGTTGTTTTGGCAGATTATTTTCCCTTTCGGAGGGGAGGTCAGGCTGTGACTTGCAGGCTGCTGGGGAATCACGTTGTGTATTAAGGACAGTTCCAGGTCATTCAACAAAAGTTAATCCAAGTAATCCAAGTAGAATTAAGCATTTAAGCACTTGCTGGGTACCCGTAGGCAGCAAGGAATTGTATGTAGGCATTTTTTTAAAAAAAATCTAAAATATTAAAAAAATTCAAATGAAAATATTTTATAATTCTTATTATGAGCAAAGTCTGGAAGCAGTTCACATCATTAAAACCTGCATTAAACCCATTTTTAAAAGTGCAAGTATTGGAAGATCAGGAGAGATCCCCTCACCACATAGATCCCTGCCTGGCAAATTTGCTCCTCAGATGGGGTAATGTTAAGGGTAAAGGTAAAGGGACCCCTGATCATTAGGTCCAGTCGTGACCGACTCTGGGGTTGCGGCGCTCATCTCGCTTTATTGGCCAAGGGAGCCGGCGTACAGCTTCTGGGTCATGTGGCCAGCATGACGAAGCTGCTTCTGGCAAACCAGAGCAGCGCACAGAAACACCTTTTACCTTCCCGCCGGGCTTTCGTGCTTTCAAACTGCTAGGTTGGCAGGAGCAGGGACCGAACAACGGGAGCTCACCCCATTGCGGGGATTTGAACCGCCGACCTTTTGATCGGCAAGTCGACCCGCTTCCCTAATGTTAAGGGTACCGTGAGCTTAATAGGAGAAACCAGCTGAGAGCGAATTGCAAAACAAAGCAGTAGAAGAGAGAAGTATTATACTCTCCTCAGCTTTTGAGACCTTCTTCCAAAAAGCAAGGGTCAAGCCAAGTCTGTCTCCTTAATGTGGGTTTCCCTAGACATCAGAAGGAGTTTGATCCGAGAGTGAGATGATGCCAGGAAGGGTTGTACATGCAACAAATGACTTAACACTGGTTTGTGTTGGCAAAAGATTCATATGTGTCAGAGCTGCTTCCAGATCCTAGCTCACAGAGGATCACGCTAGCCAGCGATCATTAAACAAAAGTCTTTATTGAGTTACAGTTTCCATTCTCAAACTGCTGCGTGCAACTCTACGTCTCATGGTTAGACCGGCGAAGCTCCGTCTGAGTCTCCGCCCTTGTACACCAACTTAATATCCTAGCCCTGCTCCACCTTTTCCGCCTGACTGTTCTTCTCTGGGTCCCTCTGCCCCCTGGGGTCTCTTCTTTCCGGGATTCCTCTGACGCTGACGCTCCCCCTGACTCTTCTCCCTCCTTTCGGCGGGCTTTAGGACCTGGCTCCCTTTCCGGGCTGCCTACTGTGCCACCTTCCTGTGCATTTGAACTTGGCGCGCGCGCCCAACCTTCCACCTTCCGTCTGACCGTTTCTTCGCTCCCCGATGGAGGTGTGGCCACTCCTGACTCGTGCCCTCCCCCCTGTTGTGAGCTGCCAGCGCTTGATCCCTGGCTCCCTTCCTCTTCCCTGCTCTCTGGCGGTGACGCTGGTCCCGATTTCCAACTGCTCCCCTCTGAGTCCCCTCTGGCTCTATCTTCCTGGGGCGTCCCCTAGGCTCCCCCTTGCCCTGGCCACTGGTGCTCCTTTCTGTGAATCTTCTGATTCACTGGAAAGACTCGGAGATCTCGGGTCGTCGTCATCACTCATCTTTTCTTCTGCCTCCTCCCCCTCGCTCTCTGTTTCCTCCCTTGCCCTTGCCTCTGCTCCTGAACCCCTGACATCCATCCCCCCCCCTCGAAGCCCCCTCTTCCCCCCTCCCCTCCTTCCGGTGCGGGATCTGGGTGCTGCCGTGTCGGGGACGAATGTCGGATACAGTTCGCTTCCCGTGGCGGGCCGCCATCTGAAGTCTTCCGGTTCTTCCTCCCTGCTCTCGTTGACGACGGTCACCTCCGCTTCCATCTCTGTGCCGCCGTGCTCGAAACCCGGGTCGTCCCCGAAACGTCCATGTCCGTCTCTCCCTCGTTACCTTCTGGAGACGTTGCTCGTCCTGGACCCTCCAGCCACCTTCTGCGGAACTGCTCCTCTGGTCGATCATCCCACCAATACGAGGGTTCTGAAGCAGATCCCGAGGGTGACCCTCCGGGGAACGGGCGTCTCGTGTCGGTTCCTCGTCCGAGTCGAACCCCGGAACGTGCTGGCTGAAAGCGTGGGCGTGAAAAGCCAGTCGTCGAAAAGTCTGCTGGCATTGGCCTATGTGGGAAGAGGGCATGAAACTCTTCTTTGAGCAGAGGTTCGTCTAAAGCGTAGCCCGGCACCCAGCTGTTGGCACTGGCCGGGGTGCCCTCCTTGGCGAGAAGGTATTCTACCCCCTCTTCCCCCATCTGGAGTCCAAAATCTCCGTGGCTTCGTTGATGCGCTCCTCCCGTGCCACTCCCCCCTGCCCGGTTCTCTCTCGGAGCGGACCCGGTGCCGTTCCTGGTTCCTGAAACCTGTGAGGTGCCTTGTATGGAGTGAGCACCGATCTGTGGAACACCGGATGCATCCTGGAACCCTCCGGAAGAGCCAGCCTGAAAGCCACCGGGTTGACCTGTTCTTCGACTTGGTAGGGCCCCAGTTGTTTATGCCCTAGTTTCTTCTTCGCCAACGACCTGGCCGGCACTGCGTGGGCTGCTAACCAGACCCAGTCTCCCACATGGATCTCTTCGCCAACCCTTCTGTGTTTGTCCGCTTGTACCTTGTATGCGTGTTTAGCCAGCTCCAGGTGCCGCCGCAGCTGATCGTGGACCTCCTGCAACTCCGACGCGAATGCATCTGCTGTCTGCGGCTCCCCTCCCCCATTCTTTCCAGTCCCGGGAAGGTTCTGGGGTGCCTCCCGTTGTTGGCGAAGAACGGCGTGACCCCCGTGGACACGTGCTTCGTGTTGTTGTAGGCGAACTCGGCGAGAGGCAGGTAATCCACCCACGTCGCAGGCTGTTGATTCGCATAACATCTCAGGTACTGCTGCATGATGGCATTGACCCGCTCCGCTTGCCCATTGGTCTGCGGGTGTCTAGCCGACGCCAGGTTGATCTTGACGTTCAGGAAGCCCATCAGCCTCTGCCAGAAGTTCGAGATGAACTGTCGCCCTCGGTCGGACAGAATAGACCGCGGCAGACCGTGAACCTTGAACACGTGGTCTATGAACAGTTTGGCGGTTTGTTCCGCCGTGGCCACCTTCGCACACGGAATGAAATGTGCCATCTTGGAGAACAAGTCCACCACCACCAGCACAGCCGTCTTGCCCCTCGAGCTGGGCAGATCCGTGACAAAGTCCAGGGCCACTCTCTCCCATGGTTCGAACGGAGTTTGCAGCGGTTCCAGCAATCCGGCCGGCGGTCTGTGCACTGGTTTGGCCCTCTGGCAGGTGTCACACCTCGCCACGTAGTCCGCGACTTCCCCTCTCATTCCTGGCCACCAGAAGTCTCTGGCTACTAATTCCACCGTCTTCTCCTTGCCAAAGTGCCCGGCAGTGGGCGCGTCGTGCAGCTGCTGCAGTACCTTGGCGCGAAGTTCGTCTCCCGGCACGTAGATGGCCCCTTTACGGATGAGCAAACCATCTCGCAGCTGGAACTCGTCGGTCGCTGCCGTGCCCCTGTGCGCCTCTGCCATCTTTGCTTGCGCGAAGGAGTCATCCTGCAACGCTCGTCGCACCGCCTCCAGGTCAACTGTTGCCGCCGTGCACGCCCACACTGTCGGTGCGAAGATGTGCATGGCGGCCGCTGGCGTTGCCTCCTCCAGATACTGCGGCTTACGGGAGAGAGCATCCGCCATGATGTTGGTGTCCCCGGGACATACTCTATTCGGAAGTCGAAATTCGCAAAGAACTCAGCCCAACGTATCTGCCTCTGGTTCAGGAACTGTGCCGTGCGCCAGTGCTCTAGATTCTTGTGGTCCGTGCAGACCTGCACCGTGTGCTTGGCGCCGATCAGGAAGTGCCTCCACGCTTTGAACGCTGCATGAATGGCCAGCAACTCCCTGTCCCAGATGGTGTAGTTCTGTTCGGACTTGCTGAGCTTCCTTGAGTAAAACGCTCCCGGCCTCCAAACCCCTGCGGGTCCTTCTGCAGCAGGACTGCTCCCACGGCTCTGTCCGAAGCGTCTGTCTCCACCCTCATCGGCTTGCTGGGGTTGACATGAAGCAGTTGCCCTTCCGACGCGAAGAGACGCTTGAGTGCCTGAAAGGACTGCTCCGCCTGCTCTGTCCAGATGAACTTCTTTTTCTTGGAGCTGAGCGTGTCCGTGATGGCCGCTGTCTGCATGGCAAAGCCTTTGATAAACTTGCGATAGAAGTTCGCAAAGCCGACAAACCGTTGGACCTCCTTCCGGTTGCGTGGGCTTTTCCAATCCAACACTGCTCGGACCTTGGCGCTGTCCATGGCGAGCCCTTTATCAGACAACTTGTAGCCCAGGAAATCCACCTCCGTCACGTCGAATTGGCACTTCTCCAGCTTGGCGTAAAGCCTATGTTGCTGTAGCCTGCTCAGCACTTCCTTGACGTGTCTGTCATGCTCCTGCTGCGATTCCGAAAAGATCAGGATGTCATCCAAGAAACAGACGCACGTCTTGTAGAGGAGCCCCGCCAACACGTGATGCATGAACGCTTGAAAAACGTGGGAACCATTTTGCAATCCAAAAGGCATAACTCTATATTCGTAGGTGCCCAGGGGCGTGAACATGGCTGTCTTCCACTCATCTCCTTCCCGCATGCGAATGAGGTTGTACGCCCCTCGCAGGTCCAACTTAGTGAACACGCTGCCCTTCCGTACCTTTGCGAGGAGGTCGTCGATTCGGGGCATGGGGAAGTCCGATGGCTTGGTCACGCTGTTCAAAATGCGATAGTCCACTACAAGTCTTTTCTGGGGCGTGTCCCGCTTCTTAACAAAGAATACCTGTGCTGGTCCCGGGGGTAAGGTACCTTGGGTGTAGCAGAGTCCACACGAAGAGGGGCAAGGTCCGAGGCAGAGAGCCGGGCGGGGAACAGGAATGCTGGAACAGGAGGCTGTGCAGGAAACAGGAACACCGGATGGTCGGGAACAGGAGGCCGAGCAGGGAACAGGAGTACCGGATAGTCAGGAACAGGAAGCCGAGCAGGGAACAGGAGTACCGGATAGTCAGGAACAGGAAGCCGAGCAGGGAACAGGAGCACAGGAAGGTCCGAAGCCAACAACGACGTTGCTCCCGCAACCTGGGGCCGGGCTGACTGGGCTTTATCCTCTTCTAAGGCCAGGGGCGGTCCCGGTCCCCAGGAGCCCCGCCTCCTCTGGCCTTAAGGCGAGCACTCCTCCTGGGGGCAACCAGTTCCCTTCGCCTCTCTGCCCTAAGCCTCTGCAGATCAGGAGAGGCCGAAGGGTTACTGGGCCCTGGAGGAGGCTCACCTGTGGCCACTGAGTCATCAAGCCCCTCTGGGGCCAGAAGGGCTTCACCTGGGGCCAGCTCCTGATGCACTGCCACAGGTGCAGGCTCTTCAGCATCTAGGCCTTGCCCCAGTTCAGCCGGCCCTGGAGGCGGGGACTCCTGTGCAGGCTGGGATTCCTCTGTTTCATCCTCCGAATCGGAATCCCAGGCCATCACACCATCCCCCCTCCCAGGCCCCCCCCTCAACCGAGGGTCCGGACCCGGCTTGCCGGGGTACGTCGCATGGAACTCTCGGAGGCAGGCAGGTGCGTGGACATTGGCCGCTGGTTCCCAGGAACGGTCCTCCGGTCCGTACCCCTTCCAGTCAATGAGATACTGCAGCTTTCCCCTGCGGTATCGGGAGTCCAGGATGCGTTCCACCTCGTACTCAGGCTCTCCCGAACCAACACTGGCTGCGGTCGGGGACGGTCCGAGTGGAACTCGTCGGGTGGGGCCACCGGACTCAAAAGGGACCTGTGGAAGACCGGGTGAACCTTCAGGGTTGCGGGTAACCGGAGACGGAATGCCACAGGAGAGATTTGGTCTACGATAGGGAACGGGCTGGTGAGCGGGCGTCCAACTTCCGCGAAGGTCGAGAGGGGTGGAGGTGGCGAGTGGAGAGCCAAACCAGGTCACCGACGCGAAGTTCCGGCCCCACCTGGCGGTGGCGGTCGGCCTGGGCTTTGTACGCTTCCTTGGCCTGGTGCAGTTGCTCCACCAAAAGCTGTTGCTGGGACTGGAGCTCTTGAAGCCACTCCGTCACCGCCGGGACCGCGGATGCCGGCAGCACCTCTGGAAACAGCCGTGGATGATAACCATAACTGGCCTGGAACGGGGTCTGCTGGGTGGACGCATTCACCGCGTTGTTATAGGCGAACTCCGCCAATGCCAGGTGGTCGACCCAGTCATCCTGCTGGTAGCTGCAGTAACACCGGAGGTACTGCTCCAGCACCGCGTTCGCCCGTTCCGTCTGGCCATCGGTCTGTGGGTGGTAGGCTGACGAGAGGCAGACCTCTGTCCCGAGGGTCTGGTGTAATGCTCGCCAGAACCGGGATGTGAACTGAACGCCCCGGTCGGACACCACGCGCTCAGGTAGTCCATGCAGGCGGAAGACATGCTGAAGGTACAGCTGAGCAGTTTCCTTGGCTGTGGGTACAGTTGGACAGGGAGCGCAGTGCACCATCTTGGTGAAATGGTCGGAGAAAACCAGAAGGCAGGTACAGCCACGAGACGAGGGTAAGTCCACTACAAAGTCCAACGAAACCGTGTGCCAGGGGCGCGGTGGAACTGGCAATGGCTGAAGTAGGCCGGGGGGTCGCCCGGTAGGTCCCTTGGCGCGCCGGCAGACATCACAACCAGCAACGTAGCGAGCCACGTCAGCCTTCAGGCGGGGCCACCAAAACTCTCGACTGACCAGATGGGTGGTCCGATACCGTCCAAAGTGCCCCGCTGCTGGGGCATCATGGGCCATCCGGAGAACCTCCAGCCGTAGTGGCCCTGGCGGGATGTACAGACGACCGTGGTGCAGCAGAAGGCCCTGATGCAGGACCAGCCCCGGATACTGTGGGCTGGACCCTTCAGCCAGCTCCCGGAGTCGTTCCTGGGCCCAAGCGTCGACCCGCTGCTGTTCCCGCACCCGAACCTGCAGTGGCTGCGCCTCCTGGGTGGCCAGGAATGCAGCCGGAGGTAGGATCGTGGTGGGTTCTGCTTGCTGTACCGTGTCTGCGTTGTCTTCGGGTTTCCGGGACAGGGCATCCGCCTTCTGATTCTGAGAGCTAGGGATGTAGCGGATCCGGAACTGGAACCGGGAAAGAACAACGCCCACCGGATCTGTCTTTGGTTCAGCTTGCGGGTGGTCTGGAGGTACTCCAGGTTCCGGTGGTCGGTTCTCACCTCCACCGGATGTCGTGCCCCTCAAGATGGTGGCGCCAGACCTCAAAGGCTACCTTGATGGCCAGTAGTTCCCGCTCCCACACAGTATAGTTACGCTCCGCTGGTAGGAGCTGGCGAGAATAGAAGGCACAGGGTAAGAGTGGCGCTTCAGGACCAATCTGTTGAGACAAGACGGCACCGAGAGCCGTACTGGAAGCGTCGGTCTCCACCACAAAGGGTCGAGAGGGGTCAGGATGTTGTAAGATTGGTGCCCTCTGGAAACAGGCCTTCAACCCCTGAAACGCCTCCTCTGCCTCCTTGTCCCAGGAAAACGGCGTCTTTGGGCGCAGTAGCCGGGTCAACGGGGTGGTGCGATGAGCATAATCAGCGATGAAGGTCCGGTAGTAATTGGCGAACCCCAGGAAACGCTGCAGGTCCTTGCGGTTCCGGGGTGCCGCCCATTCTTGAACCGCTGTCACCTTCCCGGGTCCATTTGCACCCCATCTGGAGAGAGCCGGTGACCAAGGAAGTCCACAGTCCGCTGATGGAACTCGCACTTGCTGAGCTTTGCGTACAAACGGTGCTCACGCAAGCGCTGCAGCACGGTCCGGACATGTCCCTCATGGCAAGCCGGGTCACGGGAGTAAATCAGTATGTCATCCAAATACACCACCACGTACTTGTCTAACAAGTCCTGAAACACGTGGTTGATGTAGCGTTGAAACACAGCAGGCGCGTTGCACAAACCGAAAGGCATAACCAAATATTCGAACTGCCCGTACCGGGTCCCAAACGCTGTCTTCCACTCATCCCCGGCTCGGATCCGAATCAAGTTGTAGGCCCCCCGGAGGTCCAGCTTGGTGAACACCTGTGCCCCTTGCACCCGCTCCAGCAGTTCCGAGATAAGGGGCAAGGGGTACCGGTCTGGGACGGTAATTTTGTTCAGGGCTCGGTAATCATGGCAAGGGCGGAGTTCCCCACATTTCTTCTTAACGAAAAGCACTGGTGCCGCGGTAGGCGAGGTGGAAGGCCTAATGAACCCACGCTCCAGGTTCTTGCGCAAGAAGTCCTGCAAAGCCTCGCGCTCTGGCTCTGTTAGGGAATATAAGCGACTCACTGGTAAAGGCGCTCCGGGTTGGAGGTCTATGCCGCAGTCAAAAGGCCGATGTGGCGGCAGCTGGTCTGCCCCCCGTTCCTCGAACACGTCCTGGTAGTCCTGGTACACGGCTGGGAGCGTGGGTGCTGCCTCCTCTGAGGGCGCGGCCGCCAGCGTTCCAGATTGAGCATGGGAACATGGGTCTGGGAAGTGCACGGTCCGTTTGACCCAGTCAATCTGAACGTTGTGGGCTTCCAGCCAGTCCATCCCGAGCACCAGGGAAGCGGGGCATAGAGGCAATGTCCAAAGTCCGCAACTCCCGGTGCTGCTGGAGACACAGGACCAAGGGCTGGGTCTCCTGAGTAACGGCACCTGAACGCAGAAGTCGTCCGTCAATCGCTTCCACCTGGACCGGTACTGGCTTGTTCCAGTGGCACCTGATGATGGGCGGCAAAAGCAGCGTCCATATAGGAGCGGGTTGCCCCTGAATCTACCAAAGCATGGGTGAGGATCCAGGGCCCACCTGGAGGGTATAAACGTACTGAAACCATAAGATGTTGCAAGTCCATTGGTGCGGGCCCATTCTGTACGGTTTGGGACCCCCGGCAGCTAGGGCCATCAGCTACTGGGGTTGGCGGTTTCCCTGCGGCTGGCGTTTCTCAGGGCAGGACCGAGCGAAGTGTCCACTTCCGCCACAGTAAAGACAGAGATTTCCCTCCCGACGCCGCGCCTTCTCTGCGGGGGAAAGGCGTGGCCGCACTGCCCCGAGCTGCATAGGCTCCTCCGTTAAATCAGTTGTGACCGTGGGGCTGCCGGAAAAAACTGGTGCCGTGAACTGGAAGTGTCGGCGACCCCGGGCCTGACGCCGATCCTCCAACCGGTCGTCTATTTGTAGACTCCGTTGAATGAGAGTGTCCAGCGTGGTGGGGCGTTCCATTGTGGCCAACTGGTCCAGTACCTCGTCCGAAAGCCCTTCGAGATACTGGTCCCGCAGTGCCGAGTCATTCCAGGTCAAGTCCTGTGCCAACAGCCGAAACTCCGTGGTATATGTGGCCACCGTGGACTTGCCCTGTTTCAAACGCCGAATCGCCCGGTTGGCTTGACTCTCTTTCTGGGGGTTGCCGAGCGCGGCCTCCAAACGATTGCAAAACCCCGTATAGTCTGCCAGCAAGGGGAGTCTTGCCTGAGTAACGGCAACGCCCACTTGGCCGCCTGGTCCTTTAACAAACTAATCAAAAAGTGCACCTTGGTGCGGTCGTCAGGAAAGTTCCGGGCTCGCCCCTGAATATACAGCTTGGCCTGGGCCAGGAACATGGGAAAGCTGGCCGGGGCTCCATCAAATTTCTCAGGCAAAGCCACTGGGTACTTGCCCGGAGCCGGGCGTCGGCCCCAGGAGCCGGTAGGGCTTCCAAGCGTTGCTGAAGTGCCACAACCGCGTCGCTGAGCTGCTGCACGGTGTGATTCAAGGCCTGGTTCTCCTGGGCCAAAGCCACCAGTGCAGCCGCCTGTTCAGCCATGGCCTCTGGCTCTTCCCGAACGCACCCCTACGAAGGGGAAGTGCGGGTGTGGCGGGAGCAAACTGTGCTGGTCCCGGGGTAAGGTACCTTGGGTGTAGCAGAGTCCACACGAAGAGGGGCAAGGTCCGAGGCAGAGAGCCGGGCGGGGAACAGGAATGCTGGAACAGGAGGCTGTGCAGGAAACAGGAACACCGGATGGTCGGGAACAGGAGGCCGAGCAGGGAACAGGAGTACCGGATAGTCAGGAACAGGAAGCCGAGCAGGGAACAGGAGTACCGGATAGTCAGGAACAGGAAGCCGAGCAGGGAACAGGAGCACAGGAAGGTCCGAAGCCAACAACGACGTTGCTCCCGCAACCTGGGGCCGGGCTGACTGGGCTTTATCCTCTTCTAAGGCCAGGGGCGGTCCCGGTCCCCAGGAGCCCCGCCTCCTCTGGCCTTAAGGCGAGCACTCCTCCTGGGGGCAACCAGTTCCCTTCGCCTCTCTGCCCTAAGCCTCTGCAGATCAGGAGAGGCCGAAGGGTTACTGGGCCCTGGAGGAGGCTCACCTGTGGCCACTGAGTCATCAAGCCCCTCTGGGGCCAGAAGGGCTTCACCTGGGGCCAGCTCCTGATGCACTGCCACAGGTGCAGGCTCTTCAGCATCTAGGCCTTGCCCCAGTTCAGCCGGCCCTGGAGGCGGGGACTCCTGTGCAGGCTGGGATTCCTCTGTTTCATCCTCCGAATCGGAATCCCAGGCCATCACAATACCGGACTGCCCCCCGCTGCCTTGGACTCTCGGATGAAACCGCGCTCCAAATTATGATCTATGAACTCTTTGAGTTCCTGCAGTTCGTCCTCAGACATGGAATACAGCTTCCCTTTGGGCAGCGCCGCCCCCGGCAGCAGGTCAATTTTGCAGTCATATGGTCTGTGGGGGTAGCCTGTCTGCCTCCTTCTCGCAGAAAACCTCCAAAAATTCTGCGTACTTGTGGGGAACCGCTTGCAGCGTGCCTAGCTGCAGCTGTGACTCCTCTTCCTCTCCTTCCTGCCGGGGCACGATGCAGTGTTCAGCGCAAAAGGAAGAGCCGAAGGTCAGCTGCCTCTGGTACCAAGCCAGCGTCGGGCTGTGCTTGTCCAGCCAACTCATGCCCAATACAATGGGCGTGTCCGATAGTTGAGTGACATTGAAGCTGATGATTTCCCTGTGATTCCCAAGCCGCATCACCATTGGTGGCGTCTGCTTCACCACTTGCCCCCCTAGCAGCTCCCTGCCATCCACCGTGACAACCTGCAGGGGCAGCGTGGCAGGCAGCAACTGTATAGCGTGCCGGTCGACAAAGTCCTGCCCTATAAAGTCCGCATTGCTTCCGGAGTCAATGGTGATTGGCACGTCCATGGTGATTCCATTGGGCAGCTGGAGCGACGCGGTGAGCCTCACTACTGGTTTGGGCGGGAGGGGGTCCATGGGCTGTAAAATCTCTGGGGACTGCTTCACTGACACGTCTGGCTGGGCCCCAGTGCCTCTTCCTCCAACCAGACTCCGTCGTTTCCCTGCTGTGGTTCTCCTTGCTGCGTTGCTGCAGTTACCATTGCTGAAGCTGCAGTGTGCTTGTGGAGCCTCTGGGGACACTCTTTCGCCATATGCTGTGGAGCATCGCAGATGTAACACTTCCTGTTCCCTCTAGGAGGCTTCGCTTTCACTGCTGCCGGTGCTAGGGCTCTGGCTGCTGACTGAGCCCTTGCACCTCCAACCTCCATAGGTTCCGCTCCTCCTCCTGGCGGAGGCGTGGATTGCGCACGCGCTGCTTCTCTGGGAAGGAAGGAGGAGCCCCTGGCTGGTTCGCGCCCTCCACGCCCTTCGTCCCTGCTCCACGGACGTTCTTCCAGCCGCACCCCCACCGCCAGCGCCCTCTGAACGATCTCCTGCGTGGTCCGGGGTCTCTCCCCTCGCAATTTCATCTTTAACCGAGCCGTGCAATCCCTCCCAAAACAGGTCTCTTACAGGAGCCGAATCTCTGTCCCATTCCAGAGCACTGACCAAAGCGAAAAAGCGGGCATGGTACTGCCTTACGCTGGCCCTCCCTTGCTTCAGTCCATGTATCTGCTGCCGAGCAAGATCCACGTCAATGCTTGATAAAAAGCACCCATCCATCGCTTTAATAAAGGCATCCGCATTTTGGAGCGCCGGATCCTTATCTCTCCACAAATTGCGCAGCCATGCTTTAGCATCTCCATGCAAATGGGACATGATGAATCCCACCTTCTCTTGCTCATCTCTAAAGTCTTTGTCCAGCAGTTGCAGTGCACACATTACATCTGCTCTAAAGTTGGGGTACTGTTGCAAATTCCCATCGAAGTGAGAGACCAGACCGCCTGTTCGTCTCCCCAACCCAATCCCCTCCGGTTTGGGTGTCAGTTGCCCTTGCTTCGTAAGCACTTCCAACCTGACCTGGAGATCCCTGTAGGCGGCAGCTGCGTCCTCCTCTCTCTTCCTGGATGCAAGAGCCTCGGCATTCAGTCGTGACACTGCTTCTCTGAGTTCCGCTATCTGCTGTTCGGCCGTCATATTGTCTGCCTTTCGTGAGCTCGCTAGTAGGCACCCGCTTTCTCTCCTCTCCGCGAGGCTGTAGATGCCCACAATTTACAGGGACGGAGCTTACTGTCAGAGCTGCTTCCAGATCCTAGCTCACAGAGGATCACGCTAGCCAGCGATCATTAAACAAAAGTCTTTATTGAGTTACAGTTTCCATTCTCAAACTGCTGCGTGCAACTCTACGTCTCATGGTTAGACCGGCGAAGCTCCGTCTGAGTCTCCGCCCCTTGTACACCAACTTAATATCCTAGCCCTGCTCCACCTTTTCCGCCTGACTGTTCTTCTCTGGGTCCCTCTGCCCCCTGGGGTCTCTTCTTTCCGGGATTCCTCTGACGCTGACGCTCCCCCTGACTCTTCTCCCTCCTTTCGGCGGGCTTTAGGACCTGGCTCCCTTTCCGGGCTGCCTACTGTGCCACCTTCCTGTGCATTTGAACTTGGCGCGCGCGCCCAACCTTCCACCTTCCGTCTGACCGTTTCTTCGCTCCCCGATGGAGGTGTGGCCACTCCTGACTCGTGCCCTCCCCCCTGTTGTGAGCTGCCAGCGCTTGATCCCTGGCTCCCTTCCTCTTCCCTGCTCTCTGGCGGTGACGCTGGTCCCGATTTCCAACTGCTCCCCTCTGAGTCCCCTCTGGCTCTATCTTCCTGGGGCGTCCCCTAGGCTCCCCCTTGCCCTGGCCACTGGTGCTCCTTTCTGTGAATCTTCTGATTCACTGGAAAGACTCGGAGATCTCGGGTCGTCGTCATCACTCATCTTTTCTTCTGCCTCCTCCCCCTCGCTCTCTGTTTCCTCCCTTGCCCTTGCCTCTGCTCCTGAACCCCTGACAATATGCTTCTAGTAATTCTATTTTATTTTTGCATTTGGGTTCGCAGTAAGCTTAGTGTTGGTGATTTTCTATGTTTCGCTTGCTTTTCTTTTATTGCTGTTGGTCACGCAAGTTCTTACGGTTTTTCCTGTGTTTGCCCCCCAGAGCACACAACGTCCTCTTCTGTGTCTAAGAAACCCCGGCTAGATCAGATCCCTGCAGCTAACCTGGATGCAGATGATCCTTTGACTGACGTATGTATTCTTGGATGTTGGGAAACAGTATTTGCTGGACAGAAAAACAGATGCTTGAAAAATCAGTAGCAAGGTTCTTGTTGGGACACCAATAAAAACTTCATCAAAAAAGTGAAAACAAGTTTTTGCCACTTTAATATTTCCACTCAGCTACATTGGGTGGCTGGTTGCATCCTTTTTTGCTTTGACAGAGGTTTCCATCAGCAGAACAGGGAGGAAGGCGATTTTTGTTGATTTTCCCCAAGCCCTTGGTGCAGATAGAGTGGGAAGGGGGAGTTGGTGAAAATCACATCCCTGATCTATTGATGGAAGCCAAAAGTGGCTCAAGGTGCTTTCCATCAGCAGAAAAACCCTGATGGGTACAAACCCTGCTCTAGAATAGTAGTCCATTAGCGGAACTGTGACACACAGTCTTTCTAATATCAGAGTCTGAAGTGTTGACAAAACTCATTCATTCATCCTTTATTGGCACAATCCTTCTACTTGCTTAAATGTCAGAAACATGGGGTGCCTCTCTAGGGCAATAGAGGGGAACCTGTTGTCCAGCTGCAGCTGGTGTCAGCCTCGTCCACTGGCCATGCTGGCCGGGGCTGATGGGAGTTGGAGCCCAATGACATCTGAGGGCCACAGGTTTCCCACACCTTCTGCAGGCCCTCTTTGGGGTAGGCATGTGCAACTTGCGATCAGCTACGGCAAACACAGCCCGACAGCTGTGCATTGCAAGCCACCTGGGGCTCCATAAGTCTTCTGACCTGACTGCCTGTCTAGGACTGTGGAATTCTATGATATATGGGCTGTCAGGCACCTGTTTTGCCCACAGTACTTAACTGATGGGCCACACACTGTGCGGTGGGCAGGCCTGAATTTTAGGGGAACAGTCATTTCATTTTAAAATGGTACAGTCATATGGATGTAGAGAGGAGAGGATGATTTTTATACTGTCAATTTTGAGGAAACTGACAAGATGTGCTGATGGAGCATTTTGTCATTGGCTAGTAAGCTTAGGCAACACAGGCCAGTCTTGAAGCACTGCAGTTGGTGTGCTTAAACTTAAAACCTTGTTTGCAGCACACGTGGCAGTATATTGGCACATCACATGGGCCTATGGAAATTGCAAAGTGCAAAAATGTCTGTGTAAGACATTCATGTGCAGGTTCACCTGATCCGTTGTGTTGGAAATAGGATGCTGTTGTGTGTAATGCTACGCATAAAGTTCTGCCTAAGTTTCCATGGTGGGTAGGAGATGGGACAGTGTTTGCTAAAACTTTGCTGCATCTGTAGGAGGAGGATGAAGATGAGGACTATGATGAAGAGAGTGACGATGACACAGCTGCTCTTTTAGCTGAGCTAGAAAAGATCAAGAAGGAGCGGGCTGAGGAGCAGGCCCGAAAGGTAAGCATCTTTTCATTCTTATTATAAAATCTGCCATAGGCAGGTCATTGGCCCATTTAACCTGTAGAGGTCTCTGCTAGCTCCAATGCCTGGATCCTTTGAAGCAGACACAATGTAGGGACCTAATCTGGAGCTTTCTGCAAGCCAGGTGTTTCTGCAGCCATTACGCTTCTAATGACTTGTATAGCTTTCAAAGTGTGTGTGTGTTAAATCCCTGGCTGAAGACTTCAAAGCAATTAGCCTTTCAAGCAACAAACAACATTAATGGACACATGCTGTACGTGATTTTGTTATGTCAGAAATAGTTTTAACGACTCCCATCCCCTTTTTGGGTAATCCACTGATCTCCAAAGTGAAGTCTTAGCCCTGGTTACTTTACATCAGAGCAGAATGGTGCTGCTGTGTAGCTTCAGGGGAGAACCTCCAGCCCTCAGACCAAATGGATTGGAAGCCATAGAGTGAACATTCTGTTGTTTCTTGCCAAGCCTGGCTTGTGGCAACTAGGGGCTCCATACTATAGCTGATCCTTCCGCAAAGCAGGTCTTGCTCTGTTCTTGCAGCAAGCCCTGCAGGGAAACACTTCCTTTCCCTGTGCAGTTTAAACCACATTGGCAAAGGGAACGTTCTGTTCCTTTGCAAACTGGCTTTAATTCAAGCCAAGGAATGAAAGGAAAACTCTTCACCTGATGTCATGGTGACACCAGGTGATTGACAGATGGGCAGCTCCCACCCACCTTCCCAAGTGCCCCGTGGGGGCTGGGGGATGTCAGGATCCAGTTTTCCACCCCCGCTGTATAAAAATGCTACAGAAAACAGTTTCCAGAAATGACTGTTTGATGCCACTAGAGGCCAGCAGAAGCTGTTTAAGATGGAGAACCCTATGCGGCTGCCTTTTAGTTTTCATTATGGTATTAATCGTTCTGTTTCCCTTGCCAGCTCTAGTTATCCCTTTCAATGTTTCAAGCTGCCTTAATCATTGCTGTCCAATATTCTTCTGCATGTGGCCCCTCTAGAATGTTCTGCTGGTCCTGAATCTGTTAATGCAGAAGATCTGCCATATATATTTAAGCCCTGGCTTGGTCGCCATGGGCAACAAGGAACTGCATGTAGGAAGATGCACAGGTTTCCATACAGACAAACAAACCAGGCTTGTGGGTGAGAGATTTCTAGCTTTCTGGACTCAGTGCCCTCTTTGATGTGCAGAGTGATACCACCTCCATTACAGCCTTCCCTGCCCTTCCTAGAGAATTCATATCAAGAGATAACCATGCCCTGCTGTGGGGAAATCTGAAGATCAGACCTCCATTGTTTTGACTTTATTGTTCCAAGCTCAGGGGAATATATAAAGCCAAAACCCCAGAGCAGTTTCGTGCTGCACACCGAGCCAATATTTGCCGTGTGTTTGTTTTCAGCACTGTAATGGTGACAGCTGCCTTTAATTTAAAACCTGGTACTGCAAGAAGGAAAAACAGAAAAGAGAAACCTAAATAGACTGGACAAGATGGTTGGGAGTTTTATGTCACCAAGTCCCCAGCTTCCTCAAAATCAGGTGGAACAGAAAATAGGGTCTATGTTATAGCTCACGGACCATCTTTCTCTCACCTTGCCAGGAACTAGAGCAGAAAGCTGAAGAGGAGAGGATACGGATGGAGAACATCCTGAGTGGGAACCCTTTGTTGAACCTCACTGGTCCAGTTCAGCCTCAGGCAAACTTCAAAGTGAAGAGGAGGTATGGAGGTGCTTGCTTTACATAGGGATGTCCACCTAAATTACTTGTTCCCAACTTCTCCACAATTTCACAGTTCCAGAATATTTTAAATGAATGTTAATTGTATGCTTAAGTTTATTTTTTGGTTGCTGTTTTTTTAACGTTGTTAATATTGTCTTATAGATTATGAATGCTGCAGTACTTTGTGAATCCTATAATGTGATAAAAAATTTTTTTGCGATTGTGCGGTTTTCCTCATTTGTTTTAATAGTGTTTTATGAATTGTAATGATTTTACTGATGATTTGTTAATTGATCTATATGATTTGTGATGTTCTATTATGTTGTTATTTATTGTTTGCAAGCCACTTTGTGATTCATGTGAATAAAAATCAGCATAAATATATAATGAATCACATCAAGTCCAGTGCACAGCTCCACAAATCACTGGCCCTGCTGGCTGTGGCTGGTGGATATTGCACTATAGCATGGATTAACGCTCCTTACCTTTTGTCTTCTTGTGATGTCACACATTTTCTCTTTAATTCTTACGGTTAACATATTTTGCTTCTCCCTGGATTTAGATGGGACGATGACGTGGTCTTCAAGAACTGTGCGAAGGGAGTCGATGAGATGAAAAAGGACAAAAGATTCGTCAATGACACGCTGCGGTCTGAATTTCACAAAAAGTTCATGGAGAAATACATCAAGTAGTACTTTTCCTTTTTTTCATTTTGAATATGCTATGTCACTGATGGACTAAACGGAGCAAGCCTTTTCCTTCCTTCTGAAAAACATGGTTAAAGTGAAAATCTGGCAACGAGTAGCAGTTCTCCAAGGTCGCCGCTACCCTTTTAACATAAAATGACCCTGTCTCTGGAATACTTCCTTGTTTACTTTGTTTTAGCTCGGGCAGCTAATTTCCCAGAAATGTTTCATTTTGTTGCTATGAAATTACTTGTAATGGCCTTTCTGTAAATGTTTTGAAAATGGTGTACAATAAACCCTTCGCTCTAAGGGCTGTGTCTTATATTCAACCTGCCATAGCAGCTTACCTGTTCTGGATGAGGCCGCACACCCGCCTTAGGCAAGGTGGCTGACCTCTGGCACTCCAGGTGTTGTACAGCGCCCATCATCCCCAAATAATTGAAGCTGATTGGAGGCCTTTTTTCATGCCTAATTGGATTGGGGCTGGGGGGGCAGCAAACACCTCTGGCTACGTGTGGGTGCCCTGTTGCTGGCCCATGTTGTAAGTATAGCATATTAGAAGTGCTTTAAGCATTCCAAACCTGCTAAGATGTGTGCTAGATGTGATCAGATTAGGTAAAGCGTCAATGTAAGTCCGCTTACCTTTAACGGCGGGTGGTGTTGATGGCTTGGCAATGGTCACATCAGCGGAATTTCAGGCCTGCTTGCAGATCGGCCAATTGCAGGCAGGCTTGGGTGGGAGTTCCCCAGGGGGCAGTCCCAACTTGGGTCCGCTCTCAGGGGGGAAATATGTGGCCTACCCAGCTCTCCTCCTAAGTTTTTTAACGGATCGCTAGGTGTGATCAGATTAGTGTTGATAAAAATAATGGGTGTCAGTGGAAGCCCCCTCCTTTGCAGCCAGTGCTGAAACACCAGCTTGAAACTATTTTGGGATAGGTTTTTAATTTAATAATAGGCTATTGCCTTGATATGAAGAAGATATAATAAACAGTATTATCTTTAGTATATAGCTCAGTATTTTGGTATATTAAGCAGCAAAGAATCTGCCTTGCTCTATCCCCCAAGAAATCTTCAGAGGAAGGGCGATATATTAATAATAATAATAATAATAATAATAATAATAATGTATATCTCATAAGTGTATCTTCATTCACGTGGGCTTCCCTGACCTCTTTCAGCCTGTTCTGCATTTTAGTGCATGAAACTTGTTCTGGGAACATTAATGTGAAGCCGAGAAAGTATTTTTTGCTCCAGATAGGAAAATGTGATTTAAAAAATCCCTATTGAGGAAAATTTGGTGAAGAAAATAACTCAGCAATGGATGCGAACGCTGTTATTACAATATGTATTCCAGTGGGACTTTTGACAGATACGCCAGCATCCTTTTCGTGCATTATTTAATAATGTCTTCGGCAAGCCCAGCTCTAAGCTCCTATTGCAATTAATGTAATGCACTATAATCCTCTCTTTCCAATGTTTTCCATTCCTAATCCGTGTGCTCCCACTTTGTGCTTCACTGGATTAGAAAAAAGTGGTGGTCTTGGCTTAGCAGAAGAGCCCGTAATCTTCCTTCACTGCCTACAAACCACATTGCGAGTCCCCTGCTACTTCACACACTGTGTAATTCTCTACCCCGGCTCTACATGCAGGTGGAAGAGCCATCAGAACAGTCTGAAGCTGCTCCGAAGAGAAGTAACACACCAAGCACTAGCTTACGTATTTGTAGAGAAGAGAGTCATTGAAACATAGGAGCTGTGAGCCAGGCAACGGTCCCAGGTTTAAATCCCATATTCTAATTCCAAAGTTTATGTAGAAGTACAAGTAAGGAGGAGATAGTAGCAGACTCAAAGTAAGCCAAATGTTGCAGAAGTACAAAAAACTTTAGGGAGGAGAAATTAAGCGGGGGACACGTCCCAAAAACAGCTAAACGAAGATGTTGCCCATTGAATGCCAGCTGACTGCAGAGAGCAAGCAAACTGAAAACCAGGGTGGGGCAGGGAAAAGTAATGGAATACAGTGACTGGGGGGTGGGGGGAATGTACAGAGGAAGAGAGAGACCAAGGATTATAAAATCCATACCAAGGCAATGTATTAGGCCAGCACAATAGCGCACACACAAAAAACCCGCAAGGTGTTGAGTTCTCCAGAACTCTTCATCAGACTCAAGATGGTAAAATAACCCAGCCATTCACTCTGAACAAGTCGCCATCATCCTGTGCATGACAGGTATCAGATGCTAGCGTGTCTCACCTTAAAGTGGTCTTGGCTGGTGACCAGCTAGGACAAGGGTCAGCAAACTTTGTCAGCAGGGGACCAGTCCACTGTCCCTCAGACCTTGGGGAGGCAGAATATATTTGAGGGGGGTAATGATGCAAGAGCACCACATTCCCCCGGTGGCCGCTTACCTGTGTCTTGCGAGCGGCAGAGGCTGGCGGCGGCAGAGGGAGATGAGCGGCGTGCGAAAGGGCTACGGAGAGGGGCTGCTTAAAATGGCGGGCGCTCAAGTGCTGCTGCTGCTGGTGTCAAAAAAGCCCAGCCCCCTTCCTCCTCTAGGCAGGGCGGGGAGAAGCCAGGAGGTGGGAGGGAGGGAGGAGGCACTGCCGCTGCCATGTGAGGGAGAAAGAAAGAACATGTGCGCTGGCAATGCACGCGGCAATTCCTGGACCATCTGTGGGCCGGATCCAGAAGGCAATTGGGCCTGATCCGGCCCGCGGGCCTTAGTTTGCTGACCAATGGGCATGACCAAAGTCCGTTTTGGGGGCCTAATATCTGGCCCGCCAGTCGATTTAATCTGGCCCTGGGGCATAATCCTAAAAAAAGCTCAGCAACTTCAATCCTAAAAAAAGGTCAACAACGCATGTTCGGCCCTCACGCATGTTCACTTCTTCATCAAATCTGGGCCTCTTTGAAAAAAGTTTGGGCACCCCTGGGCTAGGACCAGTGGGGCGGAGGACATGGAGGCCAGCCAAAGTTGAAGCTTGAGTCAATGACAGAGCCAACAAATTCTAGTTTTGTCCTCATCATCCTCCCTGCAAGGGGAAACACTGAGATGTAGGAAGAGTTAGCCAACAGACCCTGCAGCTGCCCCCTTGGACTGGTTGTAAGGAAGGAAGTGGGAGGCAGGGCTGGCTGAGAGCAGACCGAGCAGACCGAAGTCCCACTGATTCCAACAGAATCTTCCATGGAAAGCTGCTTAGATTTAAGGCAAGAGAGAATGGCTCTCTGCGACTGCTCAACCATAAACTGTTTGGCCAAGAGAGAAGGAGGTTAATAACACACTTTAAACCTCAAGAAAAACAGCCTTCTGGATGCTTTTTCCATCTCTCTTCTTTCCTCCACTCCCACCCCTCTCTCTTTTGGCAACCCAACCCTCCCATTCATCACTTGGGCTGCTGGCTTGAGTCCTGTTTGGGAAATTCCAGAGGAATAGCACTTTCTCAAACTCGCTATAAGGCGAGAGGGGTTGTGCGTTTTCCCTCTGGAATGCCGTCTGCCTCTCTTTCTCATGATCATTTGGCTCTGAATAGCAAATCCCGGAGAGCTTCCATCCTGACCCCTGTCATTATTTGAACAGGCCGGAGGAAGAGACACTGAAACAAAATCCCTATAGAAGAGCAGAAAATCGGGACTTCTGGCAGTTTCTCACACATTTTTATTAGCTCGGGGAAGTGGGAGGGAGAAGTGCTCTTTGCTATAACCTCAGCAAGCAGGAATAACGCTCAGCAAGAGCTCAACAATGTCCCAGGTCATAAGTTCCATTAGAGTTGCAATATATCAGAAACTTGCTAAGGTATTAATGCTTGCTAAGGTATTAAACTACTCAAAAGTGGAGGACCGTGGACCAATTGATGCCAGTCTGCGAGGCGTTGGCTGCTGGTTCCCAGTAACTCCACCACAAGCCATGGTGGGTGAGACGCTTCAGGGGCCAAATCTGGTCCTGGTCCCTGGCACAATGGGAGAAGAAACTGTTACTCCACCACTTCAGATAGTTTGAGAAGCGCTGGCCTCAGCCTGATGGATGGGGAGTCTGTGGACTACAACTCCCATCAGTCAGCACGGTCAGGGACAGTGGGAGCTGTAATCCAACAACTTCTGGGTGGCCTCAGAGTTACCTACGCCTGCAAACGTCCCTCCCAGCTGTCCCTGTTTCTGAGTGGAAAGCCCCGCTTTTCCTTAGGACGTCCCTATTTTCATTGGAGAAATGTTGGAGTGTATGGAGTTTTGCCACCCCCTGAGCCAAGGAGATAAATAACTATGCAACCTTTAGACAAACTATGCAACCTTTACACAGCTCTGTAAGACATCTGAAGGCAGCCTGTTTAGGGAAGTCTTCTTTAAAATGTTTTGTTATGTTTTTGTATATGTTGGAAGCTGACCAGAGTGGCTGGGACAACCCAATCAGATGGACGGGGTCTAAATAATAAAATTATTACTACTACTACTACTACTATGGAATAGGACATCCCTATTTTCATTGGAGAAATGTTGGAGGGTATGCACCTGCCTTAAGACTGGAGAAATAAGAAAATGAGAAAAACCAAAATTAACAGAGTGCCTCATTCTTATCCTTCTCTGAGTGACTGTGGCCTTGTAGTGGATAAGGGGCCTGGGTTCTAATCCATACTTCAGCCACAAAACCTATTAATGGACAAACTATAGATTACACCATTTCTGGTCCCATGGTTGCTGAATACCATTAATGTGGGGGTCGGTTGGGGGGCTGTTCCAGGGACAGTAGTAGCAGGTGTGGGGTGCTTAACCATTTCTCTGCCTGCTGCCACTTTCCCCTCCTCACAACTCCTTCTTCACCTTGGCTGTCCCCTCACAACAGACCCTGAGAGCAGAAATCAGCTCAGCTGAGGAGAAAACAGCTGTGGGAGGCATTAGGGGGTGGAGAAGGGAGAGTTATGCAACCCCTTTGTGTTGATTTTGACATCTCCTGTGGAAAGGTCCCCACTCTTCCTTGAAATACGAATGAATGCACCTGTCCATTTCAGTTCATGGGCGTTTCTCATTTATTCCATTCAGGTCTCCAAATTTCTGCATAAATTTGTGGGTTTTTCCAAGTACTCATGAAAATTTTAGTGCAAATTTCCCCTAGTATATATGCATTTTTGTGTGCTACTTTGTCTAATATGCATATTATTGAGGTTTTAAACACTGTATGAGCATACACACACACACACACACACACACACACACACACACACACAACACTGCATGCATAGATAAATAGTGAAATAATAAATGTTTTTGGATTTGCATTAAGAAAAATAAAATGCATTTTATATGTTATTTTCTATAATGTATTTTTCCTGTGCATTTTTGTAAACATCTTTGCATCACAAGTTTTGGAGAAGCGCAATTTTCAAAGGACAGTTGGTTCTTTTGGTTCTCGTGTGTTGGAAAGGACAAATTAGGTAGGTTTGCACTAAAATCCCTTACTAAACTGAGTTTCTCCCCCACTCCCATCCCTACCCTGAAGGAACACATAGTTCTCCTTCAGTGGCTTAAATTTTCGTCTTTTAAAACATCTATAAGTGGCTACAACCCTGAATTGGGGCGGGGCTGTTGTAGGTGGGGCACAGCTGCTTTTTCAAAAAAAGAGGAACTACAGTGGAAGCTCCTGACACAGTACTCCAAAACCGCATGTAATTTAGCCCAAAATTTCACCTCAAAGAGAGTTGCGAATACAAAATGAGCTAATCTAGTTTCGCTCCTGGAGATCTTGGAGGAAAGTCATGAAATAAGCGAACAGGGTGGACAAAAATTGTTTTAGAGCAGGAGTAGCTAACCTGTGGCCCTCCAGATGTTGTCAAATAACAACTCGCACCAGCCCCTGCCAGAAGCGCCAGTGGTCAGGGATGATGGGATTTGTGACTCAATAACATCTTGAGGGTCAGTGGGTCAGGCAACCGCTGTCTTGGAGGGAACAGGGAGATGATACACTTCAATTCAGGCCGCTTGAGTTTGTCTTATTTTCTCACAGCTGAAGACTGGGGTGTGGGGTCAAAGATAAATTTCAGATGAGTGACATCTGGTGTGTCTCTCCTACTGAGGTAATTTCTTTGCTGAGTAGACAGTTGAGTTGATCTTTCTCAAGTTTGTTCCAAACACATGGTTCTCATAAAGCACAGTTGATCTGGGGCCCAAACAAACATTAGCTTCACTCAAGAGTCATTTATCGTGCTTTTTTTTTAAAGCCATTTTCCAAAAAAGATTTCATCTGAAGGCCAGAATAACGTTGTGTGAAGGGGTGAAGTACCGTGGGAAAGGGTTGGTGTGCAAGGATCAGTAGTATTTCTGGTTTCCTATCCGAGGCCCCTTGACACCTTGCATGTTTACTTAAAAATGAATGTTATTTCATACTCTCATTTTATACGCTTTTTGTTTTTCGCTAAAAAAAACCCTTCTCTGAATCTCTTCTCCATTCACACCCTGCTAACCGTCTTCCGTCCACATGCCGGCATCCCTCATAGCAATTCCAAATTCACACATGCAGTTTTTCATAAATGAGTTTCTCCCTCAATTGTTCTTGACATCATTCGGACACACGTTACCTTGCAGGCTTGAGCCTTGACCGTTTTGGAAGCTAACCGCTAGTTATCCTATATCTTGTCATGTGTGGTGGATGCCAGGGTTTGTGGGTGCCAGATTTCCCTCAGTTCCCGGATTTATATCCTGCCTTTCTTCCAACATGGAGCTCACGTTGGTGTCGATGGAAAACCCAGAACAAATCTAGGAAGGAAACGCTCGCAAACACATGCATTTTCATCTCTGGGGAGTCATAAATGGCCATCTGAAGTGCTCTCCAGCATAGGGGACACGGAGTCCCTTCCACTTACTTGTTTTCTTCATCTCCTTGTTCTTCCATATTTCGTTTCTATGGCAACATAATACTGGGCTTTTATTTATAGCCTTGAATTCCATTTTGTGCCACGTGTCTCTGTGAGTGCGCGCTGATTTACCTCAGCTTATTCTTCCCCTTTCGCCAACCTGTCAGTCTCATTTTATTCTTTTGGCTTCAGCTGCCTAGCTTTTGTAATGCGAACGTCCTCTTGTCATCTACTGGAAGGTGACCAAGGGCCCCATATCCACCAGGACTGTCACCCACATGCTCCTAGCTCAGCCTTTCTCAACCTGTGGATCCCCAGATGTTGTTGAACTACAACTCCCATCACCCCTAGCTAGCAAGGCCAGAGCTTAGGGATGATGGGAGTTGTAGTCCAACAACGTCTGGGGACCCACAGGTTGAGAACCGCTGTTAGTTGAAATGAAGTGGAGTCTGCGTAAGACAGCGTAAGGTTTCTGCCCTTCTGCGAATGCCTGCATGGAGCCATCTCTCTCTTTTCTTTCACAAAGCTCACTCTTTTTGGGGGGACCCCTTGCTTATTTTCCCAAAAATTATAGCTCTACAGTAAACTGCAGTTCCCAGGATTCTTGGTGGGGAGGAGGAGCCAAGTGCTTAAATATTTCAACATCTGGAGAACCACAGATTCCCCATCCATCCTGTCTGGAAACAGAACCAGCAGTGAACTACAGCAGGGTGTCCCAAACTTGGGTCTCCAGTTGTTTTTGGACTCCCGTCATCCCTAGCTAGCAGGACCAGTGGTCCAGGATGATGGGAGTTGTAGTAAAAAACAACAACAGCTGAAGACTACAGTTAGGGAAAACACTGTACTAAGCAGCCCAATAATCATACAAAATCCCTAAGGATACTCCTGGTTGAAGCTGAATTTAGTAATACCACTAAACAGCTGTGCATAAAGCTCAGCTCCTATAGCCTGAGGAAGGCTCATTAAATGGTTGATTAAATATATATTAGTATTTGGTGCTCTTTTAAGTTCTTTCTCTGTGAGGACAGGGCAAAGAAGAAGTGAGGAGGGAATTTTGCTTATTGACTGGAAACTTCATACTGGACTTGAATATTACGGTAGGGTACATTTAAAAATAATATATGCAAGATTTGTTCACTGTGAAGGATCATTGCCTAACCTGTTTTATTTTTCAGCCAAGCACTTGAGGATTATAAGTTCCATGCAGTGGATGTACCTCAGAAAAAGCAGCTGGACTATGGAGCATGGAGCATGGAGCATCAGTCTGCTGTGCCCTCCTCGAGATTCATACAGCACTGCCAACATCCCTGCTGGTATTTGTGGCATCCTGCTGACAAATGTTCCCTCTGAGAAATAGTGGAAGAGGAAGGAAGGGGAAGGAGTTGGACCCAACAGGTGCAGAACTGCCAGGCAAGAATGTTGCAGGGCCATTGGAAAAATGTGCTCTGTGGGTTGCCATGCCTTACAAAGAGGATGTCCTCCTGGCTTAGCGCCAACATTTTTCTGATTCATTTAGGAGCATGCAATAGCCAGTTGCTAAATCCATTTTATTTATTGTGTTTCTCAACTCCACCCAGCTTAATTACATTAATTACAAGATGGCCACCTTGGCTCTGCTTAAAAAACTCTTAACAGACTCTGCCACAAAGTCTGCTCCGCTGTTGAACAGCTCATACCACCAGGATGTATGGGATGTTAGGCAAGGGGCAAGACCTCTGGTGAGGGATACGTTGTGCTCCTTCTGTAGTAAGTTGTCCACCTTCGATCCTCACCTTGCACTCAGCTCTCACCTGTGACTCCTAGAAGCTATCAGCATGTGACAGCGGCCACACCCTGGGAAACGGCTTCAACTGACCGGCTAACCCGGTGAGGGTAGCTGATGGGTCTCAAACACTCACTGAGCTAAGAACTTCCCCTGCATGCAAAGACAGGCTCCAGTAGATTAAGCAGATGAAGACCAGTAATGGGTCCAGCGGTCAAGAAGGCAGTTTCTGCACATGCTGTAGAGCAGCGGTTCTCAACCTGTGGGTCCCCAGATGTTGTTGGACTACAACTCCCATCACCCCTGAGCTCTGGCCTTGGTAGCTAGGGGTGATGGGAGTTGTAGTTCAACAACATCTGGGGATCCACAGGTTGAGAAAGGCTGCTGTAGAGGGACATGAGGGGCAGGTGGGTCTCATCAACCTGGGAATGTAGCCCATCTAGGAGAAGGAAAATCCTAAACCTTGGCTGCCTTTCAGGACATCTTTGGGAGAAGAAAAGGCTCAGGAATAAACCCTACACAAATCCAGAGTGAACTTGGATGGAACCTTGTACATCTTCTTCTAGCAACTCCTGCAGCCAAGCTGATGCCAAATGCATTGCTCTGCTTTCCTTTGGACCACATCAGTGAGGCCAAGAGTGGGGTCTTGTTGTCTGGGCAGCCCAGGACCTTCATACACACTGCTGAGGCTTGCGCCCTGGGGAGGTCCCTTCGATGCTGTTAATGTAGGGGTTTGCCATGGAACCACTGGTAGGGTGGCCAACAGCAATGGAAGCTGGATGTGTGGGCAGGAATGTGATAATCAGGAAACAGCAGCTTCCACCCAGAAGCTACCTGCTTAGGCCCACAAGTGAGTTTGCGGAAGTGGTGAGATAAGGTTTCGTACTTGAGGATTTCTCAGCTCACACGTCAAACTTTTGACTTGGAGAACAATGCAAAGAAAGCATCTAGATGGCACACATACTGGCTGGATGCCAAGGAGTGGTGGGAGGCACCAGCTGGGGAACCCCCAAGGGAAGAAGGCTCAGAGCCAGGGGATTGGTGGTGGGACGATGATGAGTGGTCAGAGGAAGAAGAGGGAGCAGACTGGGAAGAGGAGGTGTCAGAAGCTGAAGGGGTAACAGGGTTTAGTGAGTAGGAAGAGACTGTGGCAGGAAGCAGTCCAGAAGTGGAGGCTAGAGAGGAGGGAGGCCAAGAGGCAGAGATGAGGCAGGCTGCTGAAGAGTCCAGAGGGTGTCCTCCTCCTGCTGTGACCAGATCCCCTTCCTCCTGTTCTCCCAGGACCAGAAGAGGCATGAAGAGGGAGAAGCAAAGACAGGCACAGCGATGGAGTCTCCCTTGGGAAGGACCCAAGAGAAGAGGAAACTCGGGGACCTTCAGTCTTCACAACTGACACATTAGGGCAGAGTTGCTGGGCTTGCTAGGCCTGGCCTCCTGTGCTGTTTTGTTTCTTTGAAGAGAGAGAGATGATTTCACCGACATAGTGTGTGGTCTTGCTGACCAGCTCCTGCCAAATGCTCTGAAACAAGACAATATGCTTCCCTCCAACCCATTTAAAACCAAAAAAGTCAAAGGGGCGCACCACTGTATACGTTTATTATATACAATATTAAGGCACAAATTTAAGCAGCAGAGGAGAAAAATCTTTGGCAGGCCCAAGGCCATCAGTATTTCTCGTGGGAGGTGTATAAACTCCTTGATTCCTCCCTGCCCCATGTATGTACAAACACACTCCAGCTGAACGATGCTCTACACCAGCCATTCTGTACAACAGAAGGACAACTGGGGGAAGGGGGAGGGAAGCGATCTGACGTTATCTTACAACCCGTTTACCTGTAATATTAATACAACACAAGTGTCACACAGCACAATACTGTAACACACAAGCCAAGGTGTTCAAGGAGGGGCAGAAACGTTTTTGCTAAAGGTTAAGCCACCACTTTAGTCGTCACAGCAGTATTCCACATACACTCTGCTCTAACTTGGGGTGTTCTAGAGAAACCTCTCTTTTTTGCATTAAAACATCAAGCACAACTAGAGAAGCAAGCATGGACTTTCCTGATCCTTTGGGCTGTAAATTTTCAAATATATACGGAGTTCGTCTGCAGAAAGTTGCCTGCCAAACGCAAGCGTCATTGACACTGTAAATTTACCCTTGGGATGTTGTTGTAAGTGGTGCTTAACTGAATGCTACAAGTACAAAGGCACATCAATATAGATATACAGGAGGAGGAAACTGCAGGAGAATTCTCCTAAAACTGCACCTCGGGACCAGCACAATGAGCAAACTATGTCACATACAGCCCTGGTTCCTGCGTTTGTTCCATAATAATGAGAAGCTGAAGTAGCCTCCAAGTGACTGTAGTAGGTCCACCAAACTGCCAGCCAGCCAGCCATGCCTTTCCAGTTCTCCCCATGCCCCTACCCATGCAAACAGAGTCCCTGGTGCTGCCTGTTCACTCTTGTGGAATGCAGCACTATGCATGGATAGGGAGCCTGTAATCCTCCAGATGTTGAAGGACAATAAGTCCCATCATACCAAAACATTGGCCCCATTGGCTAGGGCCAATGGGAGTTGGAGTCTAAGAACATCTGAAAGGTGTCAGGTTCTTCATCCCTGTGCTAGAGGGAACAAGGAAAGCCCTTGATTTCTTTCTAGCAAAAGGCAGCAAGGCTCTCTCCTTGTCTGAAGGGTAGGGCAAGGAGAAGTGTGTGTGGAATTTCTAGGTGCTGCTGTTTACAGTTGTTTTGAGGGCTGACAGCCTCTACAGGCTCTGGGAGGCTTATTTGCGCATACCGCCTCATCATTGGGTGTTAACATTGGGTATTAACATTGGGTGTTAATATGGAGACCGTTTCTTGGAACAAATAGTTGCTAGCACTGTACAGAAGCTTATTGAATGGTTCATTCAGAAAAAGAGAGTACAGCACAGCAGCAACTGATCAATGGGGAAAAAACTAAAGACACCCAATGCAATCCCTATTGGCATGGCACGGTCCCTATTCCCTAACGACACGGGTGCAAATGCACATCCCCAGCCACCTCCCCAGACCAACAACGGCGCACAAAACCCTGTTGGCCAAGTATAAATCCATAGCAATCCTGTGTGAAAATGCAAAAACGTAACAGGCTGGATCCAGATTAGTTAGCTGAACTTCGGGTCCCATTGAAATCCAACGTGGAAAGTTGTCCCACTGATTTCCAACAGGAACTAAGTGAAACTTACCTTTGGATCCCATTTGCTAAGTGTTGCTGAGCCAAGCATGTATGACATAGGAGGCTGAGTTTGTCTATGTCTTCTTGATGCATGTATGTGAAGACAAGTCTGTCAGTGGCTACTAATCATGTTGGCTTTTGCTGTGCCCTCCATTTGCCAGGAATCACACATGGGAAGAGTATGTATTATGCTCAGTTTCCACTTGTCCTTCAACAAAGACAACAGGGCAAGCTGTGTGGCTTCCTGCAGTCACCCTTGCTGGTTGGGATAAATGCACAAAGCAGATGGCATACCACTGTTTGAATCTCTAAGAGTTAGGGTTAAGAGCTTGGTGGTTGGTTTGATAGACAAAGCACTGCTAAACTGCTCAGCATTTTCACAGAACCTGCACGAGACGGAAGAGCAAAGCTTATAGCCCTTGCAAAACATGCACGGCCACACATCGAACAGTTTTGGAAAACTAGCAGAAAACCTAGGAAAAGGGACACTGAAACGAACCTGTTTATAGTAGCAGTGGGCAGACCTCAGGACTGTGGGACTGACTTTGTTTTTATACAAGAATCCTGAGAACCGCCAACCGCAATTGGTGCAAAAGGCGTACATTTACACTTAAAGGTTTCCGAGTCTGGGAATTCTGTTCTGAGAACTGAACTCACACACCCCAAGCACATTCTGCTGGTTACCTCTTGCTCCCCCTCACCCAGTTTTCTTAATTTCAGCAGTATAATGGGGGAGGGGGCATTTTCTGCTGCCGTTCTTAAACAAGCGGGAATGAAAAATCCTTGCTGATCTACTTGAAACCACCCAGACATCTGCCTATGCTGTTGTTACATAGGATTCCATGCCTGTATTTGACAAGGGAGAGCCATAGTTCAGCGATAAAGCAGAAAGTTCCCAAGGTCAATACCTCAGTATCTCCAGGAAGAGCTGGGAACATCCCCTGCTCGAAACTCTAAGCCCATGAAAGTTTATGAGACCACAAATCAGGTTTTAAGGTGCTTTTTAATGACTGTTTTTGTTTGGCTGGTAGGTTTCTTGCCCCAGCAGAACAACCCAGCCGCCCAGAGTGGTTGGGGAAACCCAGTCAGAGGGGCGGGGTATAAATAATAAAATTATTACTACTACTACTACTACTACTACTACTACTGGAAAGAGGTAACTATGTCTCACCTGTAATGCGTGAGATAACATTAGATTTGAAGCCAGTGGCAGCCAACGTTGTGCTCTCCAGATGTTACAGGGCTATAGCTCACTCCTGGCTCTCAGCTGGGGCGAAAGGGAGCTCTCTAATCCAAGCACATCTGGAGGGCCCCCCCATCAGCTACCCATGTTCTAAGCCCTCTTAGCAAGGAAGGACCCTGCTGCTTCTGTGCTGGCAACCGCATGCTGTCGTTGCTCAATAAATATTAAATAGAGGCGAAGAGTTGCGGAAATTTATCAGAAGGGCACGTTGTTCCGCACCCTGTTTTTAACCATGTCTCTCTCTCTATAAAGGTGGGTAGGAGGGAGATGAAAACAAAAACAGCAGGAAGAAGGCAGTGGGATGATGTCTAAATATAGGGAAGTCCTGCTCCCTCGTCCCAGGGGTGCACGTTGCACAAAACATTTCACAGAGGGAATGTGGCTGCTCTGGTTAGCTAGCAGGTGATTAAAAAAGCAACCACCACTGACTTGGTGGTTGCAGAATTGTCCTTGGCATGCTGACCGTGCCTTCCAAAGTTCCTCCCCCCCCCCCCGACAGAAAATGCAGATGCCCATGTCTTCCTTTTGCCATCGCTCTTTCAAATCCACATCTCGTTGGCCAATGTACTTTTTTTAATGATTGTACGTAGCAGGTATCCCAAATGTCCCATCTCCAACGTCTCACATGCTCTGTGCTTTGTTAAAAAGTCTCATTTGCCATCTAGATCTAAACTTCTTTGGTCTGGTTTTGTACCATTCTCCAGAGCTCTCGAGTTTTGCATGGCAGCAGCAGCAACAGTGCCAACGACGGCAGCACCCTCCTTCAGGGGGCTATGTGCACTAGCAGGGGAAACGGCAGCACCTGAGAACTGTAGCTTCAGATAAGGACTTCCATCATGTCTGGATCTGGGAATTCAGGTTTGTGAAGCAGGCTGCTGACCCTGCCGCCTTTGCTGCTGTCCGGTAGCTTGCCATGGCTGGGAGAGTTCTCTGCGGAGAAACAGTGAAGAGGGCAAAAGTTGATCTTGGGGCCAAAGTGCACATTAAGGTAAAGGGACCCCTGACCATTAGGTCCAGTCGTGACAGACTCTGGGGTTGCGGCGCTCATCTCATTTTATTGGCCGAGGGAGCCGGCGTACAGCTTCCGGGTCATGTGGCCAGCATGACTAAGTCGCTTCTGGCAAACCAGAGCAGCACACGGAAACGCCGTTTACCTTCCCACTGCAGCGGTACCTATTTATCCACTTGCACTTTGACGTGCTTTTGAACTGCTAGGTTGGCAGGAGCAGGGACTGAGCAACGGGAGCTCCACCCCTTCACGGGGATTCGAACCGCCAACCTTCTCATCGGCAAGTCCTAGGCTCTGTGGTTTAACCCACAGCGCCACCTGCGTCCCAAAAGTGCACATTGCATTACCACAATTCCCAATTGTTTGGGTGTGGCTTGGTCACCAAATTTAAAGTACTCTTATTCCACTCTTAAGAATCATGGCTTCCTCCAAAGAATTCTGGGAACTGTAGTTTGAGAAGGGCGCCGGGAACTGTAGCTCTGCGGGGGGCGGGTCGCCTGACAATTCTCAGCACCCTTAACACACTACAGTTCCCAGGACTCTTTGGTTAAAGTGGTATAAAAGCATTCTAAGTGCACAGTGTGGAGGAGACTTGCAAAAACACTGTGAGTGGCATCAAAGTTAAAGTGAAAACTGATAGCGGAAGAAGGGAAGTTGGGGGCGGGCAGAGTCTACTTAACCGTTTTCTTCTTACCAGCTGGCTGCTGATTGCTTAAAACTGTGCTGCTTTCCATGGGGGGAAATATGGGAACCACGTGTCTCACCCAGGTCCCCCAGATATGGGAAAGCAGAAGCTATTGGAGCAATTCTGAGCAAGCAAACCAGCTGGCAGTGAAAGGGTGCAGCAGATTCTCTTCCCCTGCCAGACACCCACTCAACCTTGCAGCCACCTACAGCTGCCCTGCATAAAAATAAATGGGGCGGGGGGGGGGGGAAGAATAATGGAATTTATATAATGCAACATGCAGTTTGACCTTCAGAGGTAAGTGACGGTCTCCTGGAGTTAATCTGAGATATTTTGGGGGTTGGGTACAGCACTCTGTGATGCTATAAATCAGATTTAAGGCACTGCCTGTGGAAGGAGCTATAACTTGTTCCTTTAGAACTGATACGCAATCCTAAACAAAAAGACACATTCTCATGTTGCCGCCCTACAGATCTCTGGAGGAGGAAGCACACCAGAGCCTCAGATAATTGGAGGGTCCTGGTTGGTTCGTATGGGGAAAGGTGGTCCTTGAGGTATTGTGGTCCTCGGCCATTTAAGGCTTTATAGGTCAAAAACCAGCACTTTGAATTGGGCCTGGGAACTGATAGGCAGCCAGTGCAGTTGGATCAGGATTGGTGTGGACGTGCTCAAGCTTATCTTGCTCCGGTGAGAAACCTGGTCACTGAATTCTGCACCAAGTGAAGTTTCTGAACTGCCTTCAGAGGCTGCCCTATGTATAACGTGTTGCAGTAACCTAACCTCGAGGTTACCAGAGCATGGACACCAGAAGTTAGGCTATCTCTGTCCAGATAGGGCCACCAGCTGAAGCTGAGAAAAGACACTCTGGGCCACCAAGGCCACCTGAGCCTCAAGCAACAGCAAAGGGTCCAGAAGTAGCCCCCAAGCTAGGTGCCTGCTCCTTCAGAGGGAATATAACCCCACCAAGAGCAGGCAACCTCCCAGCCATCCGGTCTAGGGAACCTCCTACCAACAGTGCCTCAGCCTTATCTGAATTGAGCATCAGTTCATCTCTCGTCCAGTCTATTGCGGAGGCAAGGCAACGGTCTATTTAAAGCTTTCTTTTCTGGAGACAGAATTTCATAATTCTAGGTTCTGCACACTGCAGTTCAAAACACCCTTCCTGCCCTGCTCCTGTTCCCAGGCCCATGGCGTTCAAATTTACTCACCCAGCCTCTCTCCAACGCCTCTGCCTGCAGTGTGCCTGAGGGCTGGGCTGCCGCCCGGGGTGTTAGTCAACTTCCCTCTGCCCGGAAAAGAGGCAGAGTTTGGCCAGAAAAGTTCAGAGGCTTTGTCCGTCTGAGTGCTGCTATCTTTGCTGCCCGTCTTAGTGTGGCAGACAGTCACCGGCCACGAGGACATTCCAGAAGACAGTGTGGCAGGAGGTGGAGGTGGCAACAAAGGGATGGGCGCCTGGTCCTGGGTCTCCTTCCCTAAGAGCAATCCTAGAGGAGCAGGAGAAACAAGAGAGGGAAAGGACCCCATTGGTTTAATTAAAGTTCTACTCTATTTTCCCAAAGGCTCAAAATGGTTTAAATAAACCACACAGAATGTTAAAACAAAAGGGGGGGGGGGAGAGATACAACACACAATATAAAACACCAGATATGCCCCATCTCTGTTATTTTGTCTTTCCCATCCAAGCAATTTAGATTAAAAATGTCAATACCATGGAACCAACAAGAAGAACGTGAACAATTGTAAGCAATGACTAGGAAATGACTGGTCTGCGTGGCTGTACTGTCCCTGCTTGCCACAGTGAAGCTTTTTGATAACATACTAGCTGAAGATGGTGTGGTGGCACAGAATGTCCACAAACATTCCAACTGCTGAGAGAACAAAGCAGGCGGGACGTTTGCAGTAAAAGTCCAGTGAGGGAAGGGTAAGTTGCCAATTTGGCCAAGAGTGTCCTGGGGAAAGAAAGGGAATAAGCAGCTTTACTTGGAAGGCTACAAAGAACTTTCACAAAGCTGGGAAGTAAGGGATAAAGAGATAGGTAGCCTGAGGCGGAAGGAGGAAGGCAGGAAAAAAGGCCCCCAAAGTAGTGGAATGTGGGAGCTGAACATCAGATCTGGATTTGAACTAACTAATACTCTGTGTCAATTGCAAAGAATAATAATAATTTAAACGCGAATGCACCACTGACAATGTTCTGCATTTAAACTTTGCCACTTAATGGAAACAAATGTGGTTATTTGACTCAGCAAATACCTAAGACATATGCTTGCTCTTGTATGAATTAAAAAATAATATTGCTTATTTTAAATTGATTGTGCGTGTGCCACTTATATTTCAGTATTATTATTATTGTTGTTGCCTAAGTTCAAAGTGCTATAAAGTTTGAATCCCCAGCTGCCAAGGGCTTTTGTTTGACCAAGTGCATTGACCAAGCATTTTTAATTGGCTGATCTCCTCCTTTGGTGCTATTTTATATATTGTCATTTTCACCCTGCATCTTCAATCACAGGGTCCCCATAAAAATCCATAAAAACTGCAACACAATAAAACACCAATCAATATAGAGTAAGCAAAAGCAACAACAAATACACACACACACACACACACACACACACACACACACACACACACTGTATGTATGAATTGAGTGATTCTGCCTTGTAATGGTGTATCTATGTAAAGTGTGTGTGTGTGTGTGTGTGTGTGTGTGTGTATATATATATATATATATATATATATAGTGATGGTTGAAATGACCATGATGTTTGTAACAACAAATAAATTCATCCACTCACTTGGCAAGCAAAGCAACAACAATCCACTTTCATAAAACACAACAGCCAGAAAAGCAACAAGAACCAGCGGAAGCAGACCTGCCCAACCTGGTGCCCTCCCTATGTTTTGGACTGCAATGGGTGGGGCCAACGCATAAGGTGGCAGGGGCTGATGGGAGTTGTAGTCCAAAGCTGTTCTACTAAGAGATGGGGAGAGCTGAATCTCTTTGCCAGGGCCCAGCTAACACCGAAGCTCACCTATGCTCCCTTTCCAAGTCTTGTCTTCTTTCTTCTCCTCGGCCACCTGGTTGCTGGTGAGGGACGTCTGGCGGGAATGAGTTCCAGTGGCTGCAGCAATGGATGGGACCGACCGAGCAGGTCGCAAGCTTGAAGCATCAGTTTTGCCAAGGTCCTTCCTGGACCGCTGCTGAAGCACTTTGATCATGGCATCTTTCTCTATGATTTTTGCATGCAGGTTCTTTATCCTGTTAAAATATGCAGAAAAACATATTCCAGAGATGAGAAGAGGCTTGAAAGGAGGTGGTCTGGTCCCACAACGCTGGTATGACAAATTCAGTTTTAGTACCGGTATCTGTTTAAAGATACTGCAAACTGCAACTGTAGGAGTTTGCAAAGTCTGTTTATCAATGGACATGGTGTATATTTAGTTTCCTGCATCTGACAGTGAGTGTTTATCGCAGAGGGAGAATATCTGTGGAATCAACCTGACTGCAACATTATAAAATTTGCAGAAATCCGCTCAATTTTCACAGGTTGCAGAAAGCAGGCTTTCCAGGTTCAGAACCTTTAAATTCCTTAGCACAGAGAATGCACAATTAAAACTCTAATTTCAATTTGAAATGAATCAAAATGCAAAATTTTCCCAAGTGCTTAATAAGGTAAGAGGAATGCCCTACATACTGTTTTGAATAACCAAACAGTAGCATGTCTGGAACTCAAAACTGCTCCTTCATACACATTGATGGCACCTGTCTGTCTCCAGAGACAATGGAGTGCACCTTCAAACTGCTACATTAGCAGCACCTAAGTGCCCTCCCTGGGGCGCAAGCCTGAGCAGCATGTATGCAAGTCCTGGGCTGCCCAGACAACAAGACCCCTCTCCCGGCCTCACTGATGTGGTCCAAAGGAAAGCAGAGCAATACGTTTGGCACCAGGAGTTGCTGGAAGGAGGCATACAAGACACCATCCAACTGCCTTAGGGATTCCCCTCTGGATTGGTGTAGGGCAGGGGTCAGCAACCTTTTCCAGCCGTCCCTGGTGGGCCGGACTATATTTTGAAAAAAAATATGAACGAATTCCTATGCCCCACAAATAACCCAGAGATGCATTTTAAATAAAAGGACAGATTCCTGTGTAAAAACACAAGATTCCTGGACCGTCCGTGGGCCGGATTGAGAAGGCGATTGGGCCGCATCCGGCCCCCAGGCCTTAGGTTGCCTACCCCTGGTGTAGGGTTTACTCCTTAGCCTTTTCTTCTCCTGAAGATATCTCAAAGGCAGCAGAGTTTTCCTTCTCTTGAATGGGCTACCTTCCCAGGTTGCCAAGCCCCATCTGCCCCTCACTTCCCTCTACACATCATCTGCAGAAACCGCCTTCTTGACTGTCGGACCCACTATTGGTTTTGTCCAGTCAATCTGCCGGAGCCTGTCTTTGCTTGCAGGGGAAGTCCGTAACCCACCGAGGGTTTGAGAGCCACTGGCTACTCTCACCTGGTTTAACCGGCCACTCAAAGCTGGGTGTGGCTGCTGTAGCACATACATACAGTGGTGCCTCGGGTTACATACGCTTCAGGTTACATACGCTTCAGGTTACAGACTCCGCTAACCCAGAAATAGTACCTCGGGTTAAAAACTTTGCTTCAGGGTGAGAACAGAAATCGTGCTCCGGCGGCGCAGCAGCAGCAGGAGGCCCCATTAGCTAAAGTGGTGCTTCAGGTTAAGAACAGTTTCAGGTTAAGAATGGACCTCCAGAACGAATGAAGTACTTAACCCGAGGTACCACTGTATATATACCTGGCCTCCACAGTATTGGGTAAAGCATGCTTTTACTAGAGTCTTATTTGGGTGCTCATGAGGTCAGAGGGAGAGTCGGGCTGCGCATTCACACTGTGCCTGCCCCTATGTTCCCACTGCCATGCCTTGGCATAGGGCTAACGCGATCGTGTTGAATTGGTGTGCCTGCCAGAATATCAGGACAGTCAAGAGGCTTCAGCGCTGCGGGTGCTCATGTAAATCCCACGGTAGCTACTTGACAGCTGCTCCTTACGTGTATTCCATGTCCTGACACCGTCGGTTGGCTTGCAAAATCTCTTCTTCCTCCTGCCACATGCGGACCTCCAGGGAACTTTCACTGTAGCTCCCGTTCCGCGAGTGATTAATGGCTGAGGCATCTCTGGCAACGAGAGAGAGAAAGACAGAGGGGGGGGGGGAACCTTCAGTTTTGATTTGGTCAAAAGATAAGGAGCATAAATAATCTTCCTTATACTAGGTCAGAATATTTGCATCTCCAGCCCAATGTTTTCTATTCTGACTGGCAGCTGCTCTCCAGGGGTCTCTGGCAGAGGGAGATCTGTCTCTTGGTCCTTTTAATTGTAGAGGCGTGGGATTGAACACGGAGCCAGAGATGGGCAGAGCTGTCAAAATACAGCTTTTCATAGCTCCACTCTTATGTTCTGTTCTCCACATTTCCACATTGGTTTGTGAGTCTTTTTTTTCTTTTTAAGTCCCCATGAAAATTCATCCACTTGGTGTGCATTTCTCCTATATTGTGAACAACCCTGAGATCTACAGGTGAAGGGTGGTATACTAATTAATTCATTTATTCACATTTGTGTATGCAATTTTGCCCTACTTAGTTATTTACTTAATACCACCTACCATTCACCAGCAAGATCCAGGCAGAGGGCCTTCTCAGTAGTGGCGCCTGCCCTGTGGAACGCCCTCCCATCATATTTCAAGGAAATAAACAACTATCTGACTTTTAGAAGACATCTGAAAGCAGCCTTGTTTAGGGAAGTTTTTTATGTTTGATATTTTATCATGTTTTTAATATTCTGTTGTGAGCCACCCAGAGTGGGCGGGGTATAAATAATAAAATTATTATTATTATTATTATTATTATTATTATTATTATTATTATTCAGGTCACAAAAATTTAAAATTCAGTATTAAACATAAACAAGCTACATTCACAAGATACAGAAATACACATTTTTGCAAAGCAATTTCCCCTAATATAATGCATTGACTACTGTTAGCACTCCTGTGCACATTTTACCTTTGAACACACTTTTGGAACACAAAATACTCGGCTGAAGAACTGTACTGCAAGATATGGAGAAAGCTGGCTATGTTTTGGTTCATGTCAACATTTCAGAAAGTGTGTGCTGGGTAAAAGGTAAAGGTAAAGGGACCCCTGACCATTAGGTCCAGTCGTGGCCAACTCTGGGGTTGCAGCGCTCATCTCGCTTTATTGGCCAAGGGAGCCGGCGTACAGCTTCCGGGTCATGTGGCCAGCATGACTAAGCTGCAGCGCACGGAAACGCCGTTTACCTTCCCGCCGGAGTGGTACCTATTTATCTACTTGCACTTTGAGGTGCTTTCGAACTGCTAGGTTGGCAGGAGCAGGGACTGAGCAACGGGAGCTCACCCCGTCGCGGGGATTCGAACCGCCAACCTTCTGATCGGCAAGTCCTAGGCTCAGTGGTTTAACCCACAGCGCCACCCGCATCCCTAGTGCTGGGTAGGTTTGCCTTTAAATGTAAACTAAATCTAATTACTCTCTCATTACTCTACCTGGAACTTTCTGTATGCTAAGCAGGTACTTGAACACTGAGCTATGTTTTTTCTCCCCACAGTGAGTCATCTGCAATATGAAGCCACAGCAGATTTTTTTGAAAACCAAAATCTGCACCCAACCCAAAATAAAAGCAGTAGAAAAGCAGTAAAGTTTTCCACTAGACAGGACGCGACAGACAGACAGAGGCTATATGCCCACTATAGCAATTTACCACCTGCTTTGCCATGCAGGGCCACCCAAGACGGACTGGTCAGAGCCAAGAGTTTAGACTAAATGTGATCCACCTGGAGAAGGAACTGGCAATCCACTCCAGTATTTTGCCAAGAAAACTCCATGGACATAAAAAAGGAGAAGTTTTGAGAAGAAAGTGATAGTTTCCAAGGCATGTTCTGGTTCATGGGGTCACAGAGAGTCGAACACGACTAAGACGACTAAACAACAACAAACAACAAATGGTCATCTATATTCGCCCAAAAAGTCACCCACTATTGGAGAACACCCAGAGCCAAGTCTTTATCCACAGCACCGAATCATCTTCCTGAAGAAGAATTCTGCAGAAGGTAAAGGTAAAGGGACCCCTGACCATTAGGTCCAGTCGTGACCGACTCTAGGGTTGCGGTGCTCATCTCGCTTTACTGGCCGAGGGAGCCGGCGTACAGCTTCCGGGTCATGTGGCCAGCATGACTAAGCCGCTTCTGGCGAACCAGAGCAGCGCATGGAAATGCTGTTTACCTTCCCGCCGGAGCGGTACCTATTTATCTACTTGCACTTTGACGTGCTTTCGAACTGCTAGGTTGGCAGGAGCAGGGACCGAGCAATGGGAGCTCACCCTGTCGCAGGGATTCGAACCGCCAACCTTCTGATCGGCAAGTCCTAGGCTCTGTGGTTTAACCCACAGCGCCACCCGCCCCCTTTCTGCAGAATTCAAAGACTATTTGAATAATTTTTCACTATAAAACCCTTTCCTACTCTTTCGGAAGTTCAGGGGCAAATGTGGATCCGTTTGTGACTAAAATGCCACCACTCGCACACAAGACAAGAGGTATCAGCAGGCACGGGAGAATTTTGCAGGAGCACAAGGCATATTTCAGGAGGGAAAGCCCCCAGGTGGGTGTGGGAGCCTTCAAAGCATCCCAGTGAGGGCCAAGCTTGCTTATGTGGCCACAAAATGCTGGCTGACTGTTGGAGGAGAAAATGGATATTGTGCGGGTGGCATGGGGTGAAGAGGCCGTGACTAGCTATAACACAAAAAAGAGGCATCCATATGACGGCATTTTGGCTGCATAAACATTCTAATTTTAAGGCACATTCCTTCTCTCGAAGAATTCTGGGCATTGTAGCTTACCCATCAGAGTTACAATTCCCAGAAACCCTTCAGAATTCTTTCCAGTAGGGAAATATATTTCTGTTGTGCTTTATAGTGTGTACACAGTTTTTGTTGCAAGTTCCAGTTGCTTATTGTCTACATCAGGGTTCCCCAAACTGTTGTTGGACTACAACTCCCATCATCCCTGACCACTGGTCCTGCTAGCTGGGGATGATGGGAGTTGTAGTCCAAGAACAGCTGGGAGACCCCAGTTTGGGAAACCCTGATCTATATATTGATTTGAGGTTCGAGCCCAATGTACGTTTTCATTTTCTTCTTTTGAGAAAGTCAAACACAAACAATGCTGACAGACTCTTTCTTCCATTAGCCGTTTCCCTACTTTTCTGTGGAAGTTGCCGCTGCGGCGTTCATGGCGAAATGCCGAATGGCACTCTCTTCGAGGTACTTCTGCTCCCACTTGGTCATGTCGGCTTCCAGAGCCAGAATCCTCTCCTCCTTCTCGCGCACCAGTTCCATTAACGCAGGGACGTTGTACTCTGGCAGCGGGGCTGCCTGGTAGCTCCCTTGCCGCTAGAGAAAAGCAAACGAAAACACAGTTAGCAGCGCCCACCAGAAACAAAGCAAAAACAAGAGCCCTGCTGAAGCCAATCAGAGTTTCATCTAGCCCAGCATCATAACTACTATAACACACATGCCACATTCTTATACAGTGTGTAACAATCACAGCTTCCTCCGAGGAATTCTGGGTACTGTAGTCTGTTATAAACGTAAAGGTAAAGGGACCCCTGACCATTAGGTCCAGTCGTGACCGACTCTGAGGTTGCGGCGTTCATCTCGCTTTATTGGCTGAGGGAGCCGGCGTACAGCTTCCGGGTCATGTGGCCAGCATGACTAAGCCGCTTCTGGCAAACCAGAGCAGCGCACAGAAACGCTGTTTACCTTCCCGCTGGAGTGGTACCTATTTATCTACTTCCACTTTGACGTGCTTTCGAACTGCTAGGTTGGCAGGAGCAGGGACCGAGCAACGGGAGCTCACCCCGTTGCGGAGATTCGAACCGCCAACCGCCAACCTTCTGATCGGCAGGTCTTAGGCTCTGTGGTTTAACCCAGAGTGCCACCCGCGTCCCGTAGTCTGTTATAGGTGCTGGGAATTGAAACTCTGTGAGGGGGGGGGTCTCCTAACAATTCTTAGCACCCTTAACCATTTTTTGCCATCACCATCCACCCTTGAACAGGAAACCTCAGAGGGGTGGTTACGACAATTTAAAATTGAGTATTAAACAAATCAGTGTCACAGGAATAGGGCGGGTGCTGAAAACACAAATCTCAGGTGTCAGAGGCCAGGGTACAGAGGTGCATCTTTCGCATTCACCAAAAGCTGTATAATGAAGGTGCTAGATGCATCTGCGCTGCTAGAACAACTTCTAAAGAGGTTTAACAGGGCTTTAAATGTACACTGTGAATGTGATCAGCAGCACCTTGAAGACTAACCTGTTTATTGTTTATTATACATTTCAATATTTCTCCTGCCTTTCTATATATAGCATCTAAACCTCAGTCTACAGGTGTGTGTGTGTGTGTGTGTGTGTGTATGTGTGTGTGTATAAGATGGACAAATCAGTCTGTCTATGGCGTGTGCCATTTTCAAATGTGTTCATTGATAGATTGGTTCTGTCACTTTTTTTGCATTAATCTGTGATTACATTTTTAAAAAGAAATCTAAACAAAAACATATACTTAAATTTGCGCGCTGTGGGTTAAACCACAGAGCCTGGGACTTGCCAATCAGAAGGTCGGCGGTTTGAATCCCCGCGACGGGGTGAGCTCCCATTGCTCAGTCCCAGCTCCTGCCAACCTAGCAGTTTGAAAGCACGTCAAAGTGCAAGTAGATAAATAGGTACCACTCTGGCGGGAAGGTAAACGGCGTTTCCGTGCGCTGCTCTGGTTCGCCTGAAGTGGCTTAGTCATGCTGGCAACATGACCCAGAAGCTGTACGCCGGCTCCCTCGGCCAATAAAGCGAGATGAGCGGCGCAACCCCAGAGTCGGTCACGACTGGACCTAATGGTCAGGGGTCCCTTTACCTTTACCTAAATTTGCATTTTATCACAAAATGCATCTCAAAATACATATTTTTATCTCAGTGTATTGTATGCACTTCTACATGCATTTTATCCTAAAATTCATTTCTTTACACGTGGTGCTATTTTATTTTATTTGAGGAGAGAACTGTTTTCCAAAATCTGGAGAAGTGTGAAAACCAAAAAAGATGGTTGCTTTTTCCAGTGTGCATTGCAGTGCTTCCAGAAAGGGCACTTAATATTGCAAGCAAGTTGGATCAGATGTTGGCTGATTCGTGTGTGCCATTGGCACGCGAGTGTCCACATGTTTCTCATAGGAATTCTGCCATTTCCCATCCACACCAGTGGGTGGTGCTTAGTGGAATATTTCCATGGTGTGTCGCTTCCCATCACCACTAAAAGAGGAAGGCAGTCCTTGATATTGTTTAGGTTGTCGTTGTCCTCACTAATGTTATATGCCCTTGTTTTGACAGTTCAGTCACTGATCAGGAAAATATGTGTCTCTGTCTCCCACCCCCCACTGGGATTGAGGAAGAAATGAGGAAACCAATGACTTGGGGACTGGAGAATCTCCACAAGTGGAACTGCACTGATACTATAAAGAAGAAAAGTATCTGCTGGACTTCTGTGACGTGAACTTGAGAGCAATGTGTCATAGATTTGGATCAGTGTAACCCTGTTCTGTGTCTTTTGTTTGCTGACACTCGGGTCCTACGTCTGATTTGTCCTGGTTTGTGGACATTCCAAAAGAATGCACCAAAACATTTGGTGCATGTAAATTTTACACATTCCGCACTCGCTTTCACTGTAAAATATGCATTTTCTGTTGCTTCGCTGCTTTTATTCCCCGCCCCCACGCACGTTGAATGCATTTTTGTGCAAAATGTGGGTTTTTGTGCATACTTTTGGGGATCAAAACTACACGGCAAAAGCTGAGAACTGTATAATCTGACAGCTGAATTCCAACCGGGAAGCAGGTTTGGGAACATCGAATCAGGTCAGTCTGCTGCAAAAAGTGGGCCAAAGGAATTCCGTCCCATGGACAACAGGAAGTGATAACAAAAAGGTTTTAAATGATTTCCAGACTTTCCTTCTGATATGGGTGGTCAGAACTGGGGTCAGGGAGAGCAAGCATTCCGCTGTAGACAAGTACAGTAGTTTTCTTCCTCATTCCACCCCAGTTGCTGAACCACTGTGGTTACTTGAAAGAAAGGACATTTCACATGACTCATTCTCCTGTAAATGCACTTTCTTTGTGCTCCCCTGGCCCAGTAATCCCCCCACCCTGTTCTAACAAAAGGTAGTACATATTAAAATGTTAAGTTAGTTCCCATTTCCTTCAATATTTGAAAGTGGAACTTGATTTTATTTATATACCACAACAGCGTGCATGCCACTTTACAAAAAAAAACACAAGAGGACAGACCCCTGCCCTGAGGAACTTACAATCTGAAATCTTACATAGCGGTAACAGAGGAGAAGGAAGGGAAGCAGAGACACAGCTAAGTGGAGAAATAATATGCTTTTTCAGCTGCATGAACTTAGGGCTTGGCTGCAGGCTGAATTTTTGGTGATATGCACCTTAAGCCAAATAAAGTTCTTTAAAATCGGCAGACAAACAAGATAAAAGAAATGCCTTTCTGTGCAACTGATTTGGCCATCACAATAAGGGCGATTCCAGACTGCGTCTATTTTCGGGTGGGATTCAATCACAAACTGGCAATTTCGTGTTGCGAATTATAGTTGACTGGAAGGGATTCTTGCACCACAGACCCACTTCCCTAAAAGATCAAACTGCTTGCGAGAAGGAAAGTGATGGGGAAATGGACTGGGCAGAGTGGGGCGATGTTTGCTTTTATGCAATGGCATCCAATTGCCTGCAAACAAATCAGGGTGAATGCTCACTGAGCAGGCAAATCAGGATGGGCACTGGATAAACTGGTCACCTGCTCCCTAGGTCAAAACATATCTAAGATACAGGATTCCAGCTGCTCACACAAGGCATATTTCAACTGGCAAGCATGGGTATTTTTCACTGTATGTAGGTCAGTGTCCCAGCTAAACTACACCAGGAAGAGAAAGTGTGTTACATATAATCTAAAAAGCCAGGGGGGGGGGGGGCGGGACACATGGGAAAGTGTTTATGGCTTATGGGGCAAGGCTTGTCTGGGACCTGACAGTCCATAAATAGAAGAGTGTTTAAATAGCTGTTTCAGAATTTGTCTCCCTTGAGTTAATAGGTATCCCATAATCAGAAGATCAGATGCAGTCTCTTCCCTGCACTCAGCACATTTAACGGCATTTTACAAAACAAGGCAAGCTCCTCCTCTAGTCTTCAGCCAGGCCAGTTTGGGCCACAGGCTCTGATCCAGCTACCGTCAGTCATTACAAAGTCCCACAGAAATCAATGGGAAAAGTTCCGCCACACCTCGCTCCACGTCCTATAGCTCTCAGTGGGTCTTTAGTGATGACTAACTTGAGCTGGGTCAATGCCTTTATCACAAAATGAATTTTTAAAGGGGGGATCAGTGTCCTGGAAATTATTCCCCACCCAATCTTGCAGAGGAAATGATATTCCCATGTGGCTTCACGCCATCCACCCAGAATAGTTGAGGGCATTTGTTGGGGGTTCTCAGTGAAGTTGAAAGCTCTCCTTAGAGCAAACGTCAACAAAACCCAATGTATTAATTTTCCAAACTGGCTTGAAATTTACCAGGACGTGCCAGGGTGCTGTTTTTACACTAGTTCATCTGTGCATGAAAATATCCAGAAGGCATCCTCTAAATTCCAATTTGGCAGCTACAACGAGGTCCCCATCAAGTCGTTCGCAGAAAAGCCATGTAATTGAATCAAAGGAGCCGTTTCCCGCAGCCAAGTCATTAAATTGGTAGAATTTAGTTGAATTTGCTCCCACTAAACGAGTCTTGTGAGCTTGTCCTCTGGCAAATGGATTAGTATAAGCCAATGATTGAATAAACACAGGTGGACTCTCATCTCAAGTGGGAGTTTTCCAGTTTCGGCTTTTAACTGAGAGAGTGCCCCTGGGGACTCTTAATGTGGACTTTAAAAAAAATGAGATCTCAGAAAACTGCAACTGCTCAATCCTGGAAAGCTCCATATTTGCAGGAATTTGTGAATAAAACCTAGCTTCTAAGATTTGCAAGACTGTGCAAACCACAAGAATCCACCAGATTTTTAATATACCAGAAAGCGACTTCCCACATTTCAAAAGGAATTTGAGCCAAACGACTTTTCCAGATGTCCCTGTGCAAGGACTGGCTCACAGTAGATTTTAACTTGCTGGATTTTTATGCAAGTTCAAGATGTCATGCTTGCTTCACAGGCCTATGGCTAACAACACAATGACATTGCTGGTTGTTGTTTCAAATTTGTATTTTATGTTCAAAAGCCTTTTCTGCTCAGCCAATGAACGATGTGAAAATTGTAGATACACAGAAATTCTTTTGCCTGCATAGTACTAGAACTCAAGATCACATGCTACTGATCTGACTGTAGCAGCATTTTGAAGTGCACAGCTCTCCCTAGGAGTTGGATTATTAATATTAAACATGAGCAAAGGACCAAAAAAAAAAATTCTAGGCATTGCAGAGATTGTAAAAAGTAAGGCAGCCCCTGCCTACAGGCTCACAACTTACTAGGCATGATACAAGAGGAAAAAAGAACAGGGAGGGAAGAGGAAAGCAAGTATTGGAGCAACAGAGTGGCTAGGGAAACCCAGCCTGATGGGCGGGGTATAAATAAATTATTATTATTATTATTAGCCAAAATATTAGGTCAAACTGGTCTCTCCCTTGCTGTCATGTCATTCCTGGGAGGCAGGATATGTAGTCTCCCAGTGGTCCTTGAGTTGCCTGCAAAGCACACATTTAAAACATATTTGAAGCATGCCCCCAAAAGAATCATGGGAACTATAGCTTACACCTCACATAACTACAATTCCCAGCACCCTTAGCAAACTATGGTTCCCAGGGTTCTCTGCGGCTAGTGACGAAAGCCGAATTGTGTCTTCCTTCAGATCCGCACTCCCCAGGCAATGGGCTGCCAGCTGAACTTGGCTCCTACTAAACCAACGGGAACTATAGCCAACTGATTTTGGCTACAACCCCTATACCCATGAACAGGGAAACTCGCTGAATTCAACGGGATTTCCTTCTGAGTAGGTCGGCAGAGGACTGTGTGGCTGGTCTGGATCTAACTGTATGGGATCAAATCCAAAAGGTAACACCTGTAATGATACTATCCTACAAAACAACAACGAACAAACCAGCAGCCCAGCAGTGGTGTGGTACCTGCGTGCTACATTTATGGAAGAGACCCCAGCTTGAACTGTGGGCTTTGACACACCACAGGTGTGGTGCGGCGGAGCTTTGGACAGGTATATTTCTGCGAGCCCCTTCAGCAATGCCAGACTGGCTCTGCCAGCATGTCCACAGAGCCCCCAAACCGACTGCTCCCGACCCCGCAAGGTGCAGCGACTGTCGTGTTGGAGGGGGGCAGCACCAACGCAACGGCCGCCGCAGCCGATCTTGATGGCAGGTTGCCATAGGTTTGAACTGAGAGGCACTTTGGGGAGATGCAACACCCCAAGTTCTGTCTCACCTGCTGCATCCTCAGGGATTCCAGCTCTCTCTCCAGCCTGGTGCGCAGGCGGCGCTCCATCTGCTCCCGTTTCTCGTAGGCCGCCTGCAGCTGGGTCAAGGCCTGCTGAAGCTTCTCCACCTTCTCGACGTGAGCTTGCTTCTTGCACAGCTGGAGGGCAGCAGGATTGCCACAGGGGTAACACAGAGACATTAGGAGGAAGAGGAGGGGGACAGCACAGAGCTCGCGCACGGCGGAAAACAGTGTAAGCTTTATGGAGGTGAAGTCCCTGCACCCGGTCACCTCCAGATCTCAGACACCAAGGTGATCCATCTGTCACGGAAGCGTTAGCTGAGATTCCTGCATTGCAGGTAAAAGGTAAAGGTAAAGGGACCCCTGACCATTAGATCCAGTCGTGGATGACTCTGGGGTTGCAGCGCTCATCTCGCTTTATTGGCCGAGGGAGCCGGCGTACAGCTTCCGGGTCATGTGGCCAGCATGACTAAGCCGCTTCTGGCGAACCAGAGCAGCGCACGGAAACGCCGTTTACCTTCCCGCTGGAGCGATACCTATTGATCTACTTGCACTTTGACGTGCTTTCGAACTGCTAGGTTGGCAGGAGCAGGGACCGAGTAACGGGAGGTCACCCCGTCACGGGGATTCGAACCGCCAACCTTCTGATCAGCAAGTCCTAGGCTCTGTGGTTTAACCCACAGCACCACCCGCGTCCCTCCTGCATTGCAGGAGGTTGGACTAAATGATCCTTGGGACCCCTTCCAACTCTACAATTCTATGTTTGAAGCAAATCCCAAGCGCTGCTGTGCTGCTGCCAGTCAAAGCTTTCAGTCCTAAACTAAAGAGGCTGTTTGTTTGACTCTGTTGTTTACTGCTCTCTCAATATGATAGGAGGCAAGATCCTAAGACTCTAAGCTTTCATTTTTTAAAAAAAATCAAGTTGCCAGACCTCATGATCATGGTGGAAAGATTGACAACTATTCGGGGGGGGGGATAGGGGTTCAGTGACCAGAGAAGGGGGCTTCAGTACTCTACAGATCCCCACCTCTAATCTAACAAAGTTGTTTAAGCCCAACAAATGCCACTAACCTTATTTCTAGTGAACCTCCCAACTTGATCCCCTTAGAATGGTAGTGGACTGCATAATATACCAAAGGTTAAATGCAAAGTACCTCGTTATATAATCCATAAATTGACATAAACCTTTCAGACTGATATTTGGTCTATTTGTGTAGCTAATGGTCCCAGCGTTCTCCTGCGAAAATGTCCATGAGTTTTGCTCCTCTAAGTAATTTCAGATTTTGTGCTGATTTGTCAATAACGGTGGCTTGTCACACTCTCTTATATTAGGATGTTTAGGGAGGAGTTTCATATTTCCTTGGTTTCTAGCAACCAAGCATATCATGTGCTGGAACATATTCAGCAGCTGCTGTAAGACAGCAACCCTAAATATACTAACTTGGAAGTAAGCCCCGCTGAGCTCTGCGGCATAGCTTAGAAAACACGGTTAGGATCAGGCTGCAGATGAATGCTAACAGTAAAATGTCTTTGGGCAAAACCGCACCATACATTTAAAGCACTCTTAAACCAGTTTAAACAGCCATGCCTTCTCCCAACAAATCATGGGGACTTTAGTGAGTTTGCCTTCATCGATCCCTCTTCACAGGAAACTCTGGGGATTGTAGCTCTGTGAAGGGAACAGAGCTCTCCTAGCAACCCTCAGGACCCTTAACAAACTACTGCTCCCAGAATTCTTAGGGTGAAGCCATGAGTGTTTAAAGTGGAGTCATAGAGATTTAAATACAGAGTGCAGATAGGGCATGTCTGTGAGAGAGAGGGAGAGAGAGAGAAAGAAAAGTGTAGGGCGGTGAACTGAACAGAAGGACAGTCTGGTGTTACCTCCTCTTCTAGCTTGACAACTTTGGCTTGTGCGCCGTTGAGCGCCTGGTCCAGGATTTCGATGTGCCTTCGCTGCTCCTCGCTGGTCAAGCGCAGGGCTGCCAAGTCCATTTCCAGCTTCTCTTTCTCTTTCAAATGCTCTTTGTCTGGAAAGGGAGGCAACGGCCAGCTGCATCAGAAGCGCTCACACACCCAGGAGGAACACTGAACAGAAATAAACTCAAAAAGAGGCAACGTGGTGCATCGGTCATGGCAGGGCTGCAGGACCCTTGTCAGCTAGAGGGCGAGGTTCCAGCCAGATGGGCGGGGTATATAAATAAAAATTATTATTATCAATGTGGGTTGACCAATGATATAACACAGTGTTTCCCAAACTTGGACCTCCAGTTGTTTTGGGACGACAATTCCCATAATCCCTGATGGTCTTGCTAGCTAGGGATGTTGGGAGTTGTAGTCCAAAAACAGCTGGAAGTCCAAGTTTGGGAAACACTGACGTAACACATTCTACACACCAGCCACACAAAAGCCAACACAAAGCTCCCTACCAAGCTCTCCATCCAGGCAAGCGAGAGGCATTATCACAGTTCAAGGACACGTTTCAGCCAGGAGAAACTACTCAAGGAAGGCACGAAGCAGGGCACGGACTCAGGCCAGGGTGTCGTTTGCAGAGTCTTTAGGGCCAGGCAAGTAGACCACATCCGGCCTCCAGGTCTGGGGATTCCCTGTTCCTGAGCTAGGGTGTCAGACTAGGACCAGAGAGACCCACATTCAAATCTCTGCTCGGCCACTGGGTAACTGAGTCAAACCCACCTCACAGGGCTCTTGCGAGAGGGAGGGAAGAACCACTTCTGCTACTACCGTGAGCTCCTTGAAAGAAAGGCGAGATATGAATACATAAAGACTTTCAGAGTTTCATTGGGCAGGCTGCAGAGGTGTAGCAAGGCTCCCTTGTCCCCATGGCAAGGAGTGTATCAGTGCACTGACCTCCAACCCTTGCCAAGGCTCCCCCAGAAGTGGAGGAACAGGCCAGGCAAACTCCTAGCTATTCCGAGCCAGAGTGAAGACCCGCAATTTTGCATCTCCCTGGGTTTGTGTCCTAGGCAGGGGCCAACCTGGTCAACCCCTAGACATGCCCCTGGCAGGCTGTCTTACTCCCTGTCATTCATTATGGAACCTATTTGAACTAAGGACCACTACTGCTGTGCACTTGTTCTTTCAGACACCATTTTACGTTTCTTACTTTAGAGCTAGCCGGGTGAGACTTGGAAGCCTTCAGATTAAAGCCCAGCTGCTGCATTTGCCAATATCTCTGTGAAACTACATGTGCTTTTCAATCACCTTAACTGCAGCCTCCTCTGCTGCTGAAAAGCAAAGCTATTTGGCAGCTAGAACTTTAAAATGTATATTTGCTTGATTCTTCGGCATGTAAAGCCCAAGTCTCTCCTTCCATTTTATCATCACAACTACTCCGCAAAATAGGTGAGCACTAAGGCAAGGGAGTGGGACGTGGGTGGCACTGTGGGTTAAACCATAGAGCCTAGGACTTGCCGATCAGAAGGTCAGCGGTTCAAATCCCTGCGACGGGGTGAGCTCCCGTTGCTCGGTCCCTGCTCCTGCCAACCTAGCAGTTCAAAAGCACGTCAAAGTGCAAGTAGATAAATAGGTACCGCTCTGGCGGGAAGGTAAAGGGCATTTCCGTGTGCTGTTCTGGTTCGCCAGAAGTGGCTTAGTCATGCTGGCCACATGATCTGGAAGCTGTACACCAGCTCCCTCGGCCAATAAAGCGAGATGAGTGCCGCAACCCCAGAGTCGGCCACGTGTGGACCTAATGGTCAGGGGTCCCTTTAGCTTTAAGGCAAGGGAGCTGGCTAGGGGCTGAGGAGAGTCCAACAACAACTGGAGGGTCAAAGGTTCCTCATCCCTGGGCTAAGAGAGAACAGCTGGGCCCAAAGTGATCCAATGAGATTCATGGAGAAGTTGCCAAACTGATGCTTTCCTGGTTCAGTCCTGACACACCATTCATTAGATCCCACTGACTCTTAGAAATGTAAGTATCGGTGGGGTATGCTACTCCTCTTTATGCCAGCTGTTGATTCTGAAGATGCTTCGCTAGTACCAACGTCCTTTCCCAGTGGGTGTTGCTGTGCTTTATTTAGCCGTGTGCCATTCAAGTGAGCTTTGCTGCGAGTCACTTAAACGCACAGGAATCCACATCACTTCAGCTGCTGCCAAACATTCCAGAATAGCTCTCATGCCCTGGGAGGGGTTACCAGATAGCCTTTTGCCTGCTCATTCAGCAGTAGACATTTACCCAGAGGCCTCTCGACCTTGACGAAGTGAAAGAACCCTCAACAGGATCACGGCAACACAGCACAGATCCTTAAGATTTTAGAGGCCTGTTCCTTGACAGCCCAAGTTCTGCATGCAGACCACGCATCCCCACTGCCTTTAGAGCTTTGTTTTGGACTCTAAAGCGGATGAGCTAAATCCAATGGCAATGTTTCCTTAGGATACAAGACCTAAATGCTCACCCAAGCATGGGTGTTCCTTAGTTTTCATTCTCCCTTCCAAAGACACAACAAACCAAACATAATCTGTGATCGTTTACCAGCCACTCTAGCAAACCAGACTTCCCTTCCACCTCAGTGGCCACGGCTTACATGATACACCCTCAACTCTGGCTAGAGGGATGAGAGTATATAAATAAATTTGACCTGCTTGAGGAGGTCCTGTATACAACCTTTCTTTCTATTCTTGGAAATACTTCTCTCTCCTATTTGTAGCATCTAGCTGTCTGGCCCAGACGAGGTAGGCATGCTAAACATCCCTGCCGTTTTATATGACCCTGTCTCAAGGAACTATCACTGCACACAGGTCGTGAACTGAAAGGGCAGTGAAAGTGTCCGCACCAATATTTATAGCGACGCGTGAACAGAAGCGTTGTTCAGTGAATGCTGTGTTACAAGGAGAAACGGTGGAACTTTATGAGACCCAAGCCGGATGCCCAGGACTGTCACAGATACAGACTGACTGACGATAGATAGATAGATAGATAGATAGATAGATAGATAGATGATAGATATGGGAATATATATTCCTTTATTTATTTAAAAGAATATATTTATATATCTGCCAACAAAGGCCCGTATAGTTAAAGCTATGGTTTTCCCAGTAGTGATGCATGGAAGTGAGAGCTGGACCATAAAGAAGGCTGATCGCCAAAGAATCGATGCTTTTGAATTATGGTGCTGGAGGAGACTCTTGAGAGTCCCATGGACTGCAAGAAGATCAAACCTATCCATTCTTAAGGAAATCAGCCCTGAGTGCTCACTGGAAGGACAGATCCTGAAGCTGAGGCTCCAATACTTTGGCTACCTCATGAGAGAGAAGACTCCCTGGAAAAGACCCTGATGTTGGGAAAGATGGAGGGCACAAGGAGAAGGGGACGACAGAGGACGAGATGGTTGGACGGTGTTCTCGAAACTACCAGCATGAGTTTGACCAAGCTGCGGGAGGCAGTGGAAGACAGGAGTGCCTGGCCTGCTCTGGTCCATGGGGTCACGAAGACTCGGACACGACTAAACAACAACAACATTTATATATTTAAAGGAATATATATATATATGTTCTCTCTCTATATATATATATTTCTGTGTGTGTGTGTGTGTGTGTGTGTGTATATATATATATATATATATATATATATGAAAGAAATTAAAAGTTTTGGATCCTGTGTCCATTTCTAGCCACCAGCGGCACCCCTCTGCTGGCAAGGGAGGGCCCAAACAGTGCCCGTCTTCTCCTGGGGTGATACCCTTTGCAGAGTTCTCTATTGGGCTCCTGCCCACTTCCCTCACACCAGTCACCAGAGAGGTTGGGTCGTGACGGGTTTGGACTGGGCTGCGTGCTTCTACATGGCCTCCTTAGTTCTCCTGGTCCCCTCCTACCTCTCTCTCTCGATGGCTGCAGCAGCAGCAGTGGCCATAGCGGTGGAGGCTGCTGAGTGTTTGGCTGGGGTGTGTGAGTGGCTCCACTGTGTTCTGTTCTCTGGACCTCCTGTTTGATTGCCACCAGGGCAATCCCAGGCCCGGTGGACCTGAGGTCATCGGGGAGGGGGTTGGGGGCTCTGCTCAGCCCTTTAAATTTTTGCATTGGGCGCCCCGGCTCCCCCCGTTTACAGTAACAGCAGCGTTGGCAGTGCAGGGACCGGCCAAAGAACCCTGTTGGTGCTGGCTACTCATCTGTCATGGATGCTTTAGTTGAGATTCCTGAATTGCAGTGGGGTTGGACTAGATGACCCTTGGGTTCTCTTCCAACTCTATGATTTCATATAGGGTGCAAGGGGGGGACAATGGGGAAATGGGTAGCAGAATGAGGCAGAGAGACAGACAAAGGGAGCGCCCAGTCACTTTTGGTTCTGGAACAGCCCCAACTACCTCCGGCTCTGGCCCTGCCCACCCTAAGAATATGGCCCTTGACAAGACTGTCCTCAAGGTTAAGAAGAAGAAGAAGGGTTTGGATTTGATATCCCGCTTTATCACTACCCTAAGGAGTCTCAAAGTGGCTAACAATCTCCTTTCCCTTCCTCCCCCACAACAAACACTCTGTGAGGTGAGTGGGGCTAAGAGACTTCAGAGAAGTGTGACTGGCCCTAGGTCACCCAGCAGCTGCATGTGGAGGAGCGGAGACGCGAACCCGGTTCCCCAGATTATGAGTCCACCGCTCTTAACCACTACACCACACTGGCCCTCAATGCAGCCCTCTGCAGAAAAAGGGACTACATGGACCTGCTTTTTTACAGTCTTCCCTGGACAGCAAAAGGAGGCTTGTTAAGCACTTGAAATGCCAGTTTAGGTGACTCAGAGCTGTCCTCCACAGAGTAGCTGATGGAGGGCTGTAGCCTAGAGTTATGTGAGGGTGTTATCAAGGCTGCACAACATGGTGCCTGAACCCCTGGCATAGACCTAATGGGCCCCTGTTGTACCTCGCCATCGGTCTTTCCTAGCCCTGAAACCTGAGCTCCTTTCATGGAAAAGAACCAGGATTAGTCATAGTCACATTCAGTTTATTTATACACTGCATTTTCTGAAAGGTATTTGTGCTCAAAGAGGTTCACAGATAACAAACAATCTAAACACCATGGTGCAATAACCATAATGCACAACAAGAATTGCTGCCAATACGACATTTATATTTTTAGGACCCACCTCATTTCTGTGATTGTGAGTTGCTTTCAATTGTTTTTAACACTGTGTTTTAATTGCCCTACCACCTTCAGTGGTGCTGGAGGAGACTCTTGAGAGTCCCATGGACTGCAAGAAGATCAAACCTCTCCATTCTGAAGGAAATCAGCCCTGAGTGCTCACTGGAAGGACAGATCCTGAAGCTGAGGCTCCAATACTTTGGCCACCTCATGAGAAGATAAGACTCCCTGGAAAAGACCCTGATGTTGGGAAAGATGGAGGGCACAAGGAGAAGGGGACGACAGAGGACGAGATGGTTGGACAGAGTTTGACCAAACTGCGGGAGGCAGTGAAAGACAGAAGTGCCTGGCGTGCTCTGGTCCATGGGGTCACGAAGAGTCGGACAGGACTAAACAACAACCGCCTTCAGGCGAAGGACAGGTAATTTATAACAACAGCAACCTAACACTGAACAGCTCATTTGAAACAGGGGTGGGCAGACTTCGGGATACTTAAATCTACTTGTTCATTGACCAGAACACCAAGATCTAACAATTAGAGCTGGGCACAAGAGACATACAGATAGAATTACAGAACAAGAGTGCTTCTGGGCATATTCTTAGCCTGAAGGTTTGTTTTCAATATCAGAACTAACTGAACTGAACTTACAGTCATTTAAATTCCATTCCTAGTTAGGTTCCTACTCCCCCCCCCCATTTCAGCAGCTTAATTTAGGTAGGCAAAGACATTTTGTTGTGACTATTAATCTATTTCTTCTAATATAATGCATTTTCAGGTGTTATTCTCACTAATATATGCATTTCCATGCACATTTTCCCCTAATAGTACAAAATGGTTGCAGAACAGAATTGCAAACTTCAAAAAAGTGTGAATTTCAAAGACTAGCCATGCTTCAGTTCACTTATTACTTCAAGATGCGCGAATTAGGTCGTTTCTCATTTTAAATGCAAACAAACCTAAGTTTCTTCTCCATCCCTAGACATGCGAACAAATCCCTGAGAAGTGGTTCCCTCAGAGCTGTGGTACGAAATATCCTTTTGAAGGCCTGTTCAAAACTCATGAAACAAAGGGCCTTGTTCTCCTTTTATTTGTACCTGTGTGAATTCAGAATTATCCCAAAAGGAGAGAAGAATTCCATTTCACTATGAAGCTTATTTCTCTTGAGACTTTGCCCTGACATCAACATATTTATTTAAATTTCCCCCTTGACCACCACCTACCACTAACTCCAACGAAGCAACACGGTAAAACAAGTCTGCTAGAAAGAAACCAGCCTCCAACTTTAAAAAAACTGCTAAAAACATAGCACAAACAAACACTTCTTCCATTCTCTGACAAACCACACATAGTGAACATGCATATCTCCGCTATAGATCAATGTGGTACTCACTCTGAGAGGCATAAAGACCCTCTGTTGCCTTATCTTCGTTCCCATCAAACTCTCTGCTGGCTAGCTGCCTGTTGGCAGTCTCCAAGCGCTCTACACAGAGAAGGGGAAACAGCTTAAGAATAAACATATACATATGGCCAACCTCAGAGAATAAAGAGACCTGCCAGATGCACCATGATATAAAAAGAATCTTGGGAAAGGGAAGCCAGCTATACAATAAAGAAAGAAATGGAGATCATCCTGAAAAACAGGGAAGGCCAGCCTGCATTTCCACCCTCCAAAGGAGAGACTCTGTTCTGTAGGGTCTTGGTCTGGGGGCCAAAAGTATGTTTCTCTACACAAACTTCCCTATGGATGCTAATGTTCCCTCATAGGGTTGGTGCTCTCTAGCAGTCCTGGTTATGAAACACCATGCAAAATCCAAACAATTTGAATATTAAAATATGGACTCTCACTCTTTTGTTTTTTAAAAACTTTGGGGTTTTTTATTCTTTTACTTGTAACTGAAGCTGTTAAAATTTGGTAGCAACACCTGAGCAAATTGAAATTGATGAAATTGATTTGCAGGGGGAGTTGGACTTTTATAAAAAAGAACAGCCCTTGTATTCTATCAGGGAATGTTTGTTATAACATAATTCCAAAGTGATCTATAAAGCCAAGGAGGACCAACAGAAGGTCCAGAAACACCTGGTTTACAATCCTGGCTTGTTTCCTTAATCTGTATTTCCCCACTCTGTTGCCCACCAGATGTTCTTCGACAATGACAGCCCATCACTGCTCAGCACCGGCATGCTAGCTGAGGCTGATGTGAGTAAGGAGGGGATGGGGCAGCCGCCTGGGGAAACCAGAGTTCTCAGTTTCAATAAAACAGCAGACAACTGAAGTCAACTGAAAACGGGAGCAAAGATTTTCAATCTCGTGGCTGTACAAAGAGTGCAAGGCTTGCTCAGGCTTGTTCCTGTAGTGTGGCAGTAAACTGTGGTTAGGCATTGTGTCTGAAGCAGGGTTGCGGCAGCCATTGAGGGCACCCCATTCCACATAATTTAAGGTGGGCAGGGAGAGAGACTTAAGTACAATTTTTCAACCAGGTCCAGGAATATATATATACTGTATTTTTCGCTCTATAAGACGCACCTAGTTTTAGAGGAGGAGAACAAGCAAAAAAATATTCTCTCCCTCTCTGCGCAGCGCCTCTCCAGCAAAGCGGGAGGAGAAACGGAAGGGGCTCTGTTTCTCCTGCCGCTTCGCTGAAGGAGCGCCGCACAAAGAGGGAAAGGTGTGCAGCGCCTCTCCAGCAAAGTGAAGTCAGAACAGCAAGAGGGATCGCTGCGCAGTGAAAGCAGCGATCCCTCTTGCTGTTCTGGCTTCTGGGATAGCTGCACAGCCTGCATTCGCTCCATAAGACGCACAAACATTTCCCCCTACTTTTTAGGAGGGAAAAATGCATCTTATAGAGCGAAAAATACGGTCTTTTTTAATGGCTCTACCAACAATAACCTCTAAACGTTGTTACAGGAAAACAGTTTGCTCGGTTAGAATCTTTGACGTGGCCATCTGGAATTTGATAGTTCAGGAACGAAACAGAAATGCAATGGGAGGGGAATGAAAAGACCTTTCGTAAAAAGAACATACCACGTAAGGCCCTGTTGAAATCATGGAGACGCCGGATTTCACTTTCCAGCTTGTTACGCATGGCCTTGTCCAGCGATTCCCTCTTGGTGGTGGTCTTCACCAAGTCCTCATAGGCTTCTGAAATCCTCTGAATTTCTATTTCAAACTGAAAAGTTTGGAGGAGAGAGAGAGAGTGAGAGAGAATAAGGGAGAGCATACAACTTTCCATTAAAAGCTGGGCAGCGATGCATGTCAATCATTGACTCGAAACTTTTGAAAGAGAGGTTTGTGCAGTGGCCAGAAGTGTGTGCCAACTTTCACACTAGCACTGTGCCGCAGGAAGAATTCTCCTACAATGATGCCAAAAATACAATTCCTCCACAGGCATTAATAATCCTACTGCAGCTGAAGGAAACCAGCTCCCCAGCCATCACAGAAGAAAGTGACTACAGCAATGGAAGAGGACGCAGCTCAGTGGTACAGCTCATGCTATCCAGCAGGCAGACCCAGGTTTAAATTCTCAGCAACTCTATGGAGAGCCATTGCTGGTCATGGGAATTCTACCAAGTCAAGCAGTTCCCCCAACTTACATCACATCATATTATCCAGTATTTATATACCACTATTCACTTTTTGGGGAAGCAGGTGGCGCTTTGGGTTAAACCACTGAGCCTAGGACTTGCTGACCAGAAGGTCGGCGGTTCGAATCCCCGCGACGGGGTGAGCTCCCGTTGCTCGGTCCCTGCTCCTGCCAACCTAGCAGTTCGAAAGCACATCAAAGTGCAAGTAGATAAATAGGTACCGCTCCGGCGGGAAGGTAAACGGTGTTTCCGTGCGCTGCACTGGTTCGCCAGAAGCGGCTTAGTCATGCTGGCCACATGACCCGGAAGCTGTACGCCGGCTCCCTCGGCCAATAAAGCGAGATGAGCGCCGCAACCCGAGTCAGCCACAACTGAACTTAATGGTCAGGGGTCCCTTTACCTTTACCTATTTTGTTGTTGCTAGGCATGCAAATACCTATTGGTGTTATGGGCTGCACCGAAATGACCTCTCTGAGCTGCAAGCCTGGGCAGTGTGTCTAGAGGTCCTGGGCTGCCCAGACAACAAGACCCCCTCTCGGCCTCGCTGATGTGGTCTAAAGGAAAACAGAGCAATCCGTTTGGCACCAGCTTGGCTGCAGGAGCTATACAAGACACCACCCAACTGCCTTAAGTGCTCCTTAGCTGTTTCTTCTCCCAAGGCTGTCCTGCAAGGGACATCAAAGCAGTATACGCAGTGAAATATCCCACTTTCCTTCCATCATGGAATGCAAAGCAGCACTCACATGGTTCCCATGCAGTCTCCCATCCAAGCACTGACCAGACCTGGACCTACTTAGGTAGCAGCTTCATGTGCCTTCAGACCATGCTATTGAATTGTACCTTTACTGGGTCCCACACCGCTGCACTATGTAAGTTCCAATTTAGACGTGTCCCTAAATTTATCATATTCTGGACCAAACCAGGCAGTGCTGTTCATCCCAATCAGCAAGTGGCGCAGGACACTTTTCTTGTGTCACCCAAGAGGATCAAGACGCAAAGCCCAGTCCCACTCAACCACACCACGCACCTTCTGGAGTTTATCTGCTTTCTCATAGTAGCCCTCCAGCTCCTTCTGCAGGGCCTCGTTGTCGTCGGAGAGCATCTCCACCATCTGCTGGGCTCGCTGGACTATAGTGAAGGCATCTGGTGGGAGCGGCAGCTCCTGCTGCTGGCTCGGCGGAGTTGCAGGAAGGGACTGAGATGCCATGGTCATCGAGAGGGGCGGCAAAGAGGCAGAGTGCAGTGGGCCAGTAAGAGAGGAGGCCTGGGAGGACATCGGGCTGTGCTGCTGTTGCAGGGATGGAAAAGATGACTGGCACTGACGGCTGTATGGGAGGGGGAAACAGATGAGTGGTGGGAACAGATTAATCGGATCATCGGCAGTGTGAGCAGTCAGTCTGCCAGAAGTGACTGCTTATTGGTGCTTAGTATCCCATACATGAATGGGACGCAGGTGGCGCTGTGGGTTAAACCACAGAGCCTAGGGCTTGCCGATCAGAAGGTCGGTGGTTCGAATCCCCACAGCGGGGTGAGCTCCCGTTACTAGGTCCCTGCTCCTGCCAACCTAGCAATTCGAAAGTATGCAGTGCAAGTAGATAAATAGGCACCGCTCCAGTGGGAAGGTAAATGGCATTTCCGTGCGCTGCTCTGGTTCGCCAGAAGCGGCTTAGTCATGCTGGCCACATGACCCAGAAGCTGTACGCCGACTCCCTCGGCCAGTAAAGCGAGATGAGCACCACAACCCCAGAGTCGTCCATGACTGGACCTAATAGTCAGGGGTCCCTTTACCTTTACCTTTATCCCATTCATGAACAGTGAAACACTTTCCCCAAGTGTGGATTTTTATGTAGCCAAAACAGTACCACCTGCACACAAGAGGGAGGTATCAGCAGACTTTTAAAGAGGTTCAAAAGGAATTCTGAGGGGCGGGGAGGAGAGAACAGCCCAATGAAGACTGAGCATGCTGGGCGTCCCCAGGATTCTGTTGGGGGCAAGGGATGGGAAAGGGTGGAAGTAGTGGATGGGAGCACTCCATGCTGCAGCATTTTGTTGCAAGCCCCACCAGTTATAATAATATTAGTTACCGATTTAACTCGACACCTTTATAGCACTAAGTATGTACGGAGTAACTTTGTTTTTTTAAGGAAACGTCTCTGCCCCAAGGACTTTACAATCCATCTTCCAGTAGTTGGAGAGACAACAAAGCAGAGGGTAAGGAAAGGGAGAGGTCAGCATGGGACAAATATGGGGAAAGGTGTTAGTTGCAGACAAGGGAGGGAACGCAAAAGAGCAGGAGGCGACTTTCTCTCAAGTTCTCTATCCAGAAATACTGAATTCTGGGAAATCTTACTGACCACTAGGAAAGCTTATTCAGCAAAATTTGTCTGGCAGCTGAAATTTCAGCGGGAATTTGCCAAACTATTTTCAAGCCTGTCTCTGCAACAACAGGCAGCAAATGGTGGGTTTTTTTGGGGGTGGGTTTTTTTAAGAACGCTGAGGGAACTAAATTCCACAACATGTGGTTGAGTACACAGTATACCTTTAAAACACATTTGAAGGACATTCTTTGCCTCAAAGGATTCTGGGCACTGTAGTTTACACCTCATAGAGTTAAAATTCCCAGCAAACCAAAGTGCCCATAATTCTCTGATGGGGATATGTGCTTCAAATATCTTTTAAAGGTATAACTGTGCATGCAGCCACTTTATCTGCAATCATGTGGAAACACAAGCAAGCCCAGTCCTGCTCCTAGCTAGAAGAACGGAACCCGGCCTTGTGCTCTGCACTAAATAGGGGACTGTGTTCTGCATAGGTTGGGCTGAAATAGTCATGGCCTCATGCGAACATGCCAGCGAACCTTTCTTTGAGGTTTGTATTGCTCCTTTAGATGTGCAGCTGTTAAACATGTTCCTCTTCGGGATGAGTAGTGCCTCTTCCCCTGTTTACAAACCACATTTGTCCCAGATCTGCCTTTGAAGCCTTTCCCTCAGATTGTATATATAAACTGCTAAGTGCAGAGTCTCAGCCTGTCCGTACAAGGCGACTGACACACCTCACCATAACAAGCCAACCCATTTTAGAAAGACCTAACTCTCCCCACCAGCAAATAGCCAGTCTCTCTCGCCAGCAAAAAGACATCCAGCAAATAGCCAGTCTCATTCAACAGCTTATTTTTAAACAACTAACCCTGAACCAAGTAAGAAGCAGCATTTCCATTGTAAAGGTTTTCTTTTTTTAATATAATCCTCCATTGCCATTTGCTGCTTGCCTAGGGTGAGCTGCCAGTTCACCTAGGTGAGCAGCTGAATGGAAATCACGCAAGGTTCAGTGTCATACTGCTTTCCCCCGCGTTGACTGGCACCCCTTGTAGGTCAAAACAGCTGTGGAGGTCCTTGAATCAGATAGCAGCTGCAGAGACAGGCTAGTGGTGATTTGATATAAATCACCTGATATAAATTTCCTGATATAAATCACCTCCGGATGCTACTAATAGACCTACCCCCCTCCCACCCAAAATATAGGAAGTTGTTTTATTCTAGGTCAGATAATTTTTCCCACCAGCCCAGTATTGACTTCTCTGACAAACAGAGACTCTCTAGTAAGTCAGGCAGAGAAGACTACACTCAGTGCTATTTTTCTGGGGGGGAAGAGGTGCCGGAACTGACCATGAACACCTCCCTCATTCTCTCAGAGGTGCCAGAACTGAGTTCCAGCTGAAGAAAAAAAGAGCCCTTGATCTACTACCATTTGGTGTGAGGAACCTTTGGCCCTCCAGATTTTGCTGAACTACAACTCCCATCATCCCTGTCCATGCTTGTTGAGGCTGATGGGACTTCCAAGCCAGCAATATTTTGTGGGCCAAAGCGTCCCACACCTGACCCAGCTACAGTGGTACCTCGGGTTACATACGCTTCAGGTTACAGACTCCGCTAACCCAGAAATAGTGCTTCAGGTTAAGAACTTTGCTTCAGGATGAGAACAGAAATCATGCTCCGGCGGCGCGGCAGCAGCAGGAGGCCCCATTAGCTAAAGTGGTGCTTCAGGCTAAGAACAGTTTCAGGTTAAGTACGGACCTCCGGAACAAATTAAGTACTTAACCCGAGGTACCAATGTACTTTATCCTTCTAACTGGGGGTGCCATGGAGATATCTGCATGAAGAGCATGTGCTTGACCACTGGGCTATGGCGCTTTTATCTTAAAAGCACACACATTCAGGAAATCTGATTACAGATTTCCTGACGTCGTGTCTGGTTTGGTCTTTACACAACCGAAGGAGATGTCCCATTCAGCACACATGGCTTGAGACTGGAGCGTGAGGCGCACGGCATCCATGTGCCTGACACCTGGAAAATCCTCCGTCTGAAAGGAGACTTGCAGATGGAATCCTCTTACAACTTCCTGAGACTGTAACCCGAAGCTGACCCTGTTTTTCCTTTCCTTTTCCTCATTCCCTTGTCGCTACCTCGCTTACATAAAGAGGGCTTTTCACATTTCTCTTGAAAGCCGTGCTTTTCTGGCTGGAAAAACACACACCCAACTCTCCGTATGTTGTTGCCTGAGACTCAAAACATGTGCTGATCAGATGGAATGCAAACGCTTCAGGAACACAACACCAGCAGCCAAGGAGCCATGAGGGGCTGTGTCCCAGGTTGCCATTTCAGGAAACGTATTGCTGCAAAGCACTATGAACCTGATCCAAAAACTCAGCGCACAAAGCTTACTGCCCATTGCCCCCACTGGAACCTGGGAGTGTGGCCTACAAATATACCCAACGCTTTTCCCATTAGAAAGACAGCAGGAGGAAGGCATCGTGTTGCAGAGGTAAATCAGAAGGGAGAAGCAATTCCCACCCCTTTGCCCACTGCTTCTCTCCTGGGATTCTAACTCCTCTGGGTCCCAGTTGCATGTTCACCACATCAAGTAGAGAGAAGATACTCAGAGATAGGATTGTGGTGGTGGGGAGGAGTAGGGAGGGAAATCATGCAAGAAGAGGAATAAGCACCACACTCCTGCTGCACGTCTACAAAGTACACAAGCAGTACACAAAAGGTTTGTTTTGCCCTTTGGGGTGGTATTATTCTAGAACCAATGGCTTTGAGCTGGACAATGTAACTTGCCCACCTGCTCCTCTCCCTGCAACCTGCCTAAATCTGCTCCAAAATGTGGAGGGAACCCCTGGAGCACATTTAGGGTTCATGTGGGGAGAGAAGTAGGTGAGGAGATTATGCTATGTACAGTCGTTAAGAGTTGTTGCACTACTGTGTAACTGAATACCAGGGCTGGGCGACATTCGGTTTTCAACATCGCAGTGTATCACTAGCTAAACATTGTGATATACAGTTGTACCTTGGAAGTTGAATGGAATCCGTTCTGGAAGTCCGTTTGACTTCCAAAACGTTCGGAAACCAAAGCGCAGCTTCTGATAGGCTGCAGGAAGCTACTGCAGCCAATTGAAAGCTGCAGAAGCCCCATCAGACGTTCGGCTTCCAAAAATAGTTCGCAAACCGGAAGAGTCACTTCCAGGTTTGCGGTGTTCGGGAGCCAAAACATTCGAGAACTAAGCTGTTCAAAAACTAAGGTACAACTGTACTGAAATATCACAACGTCTGAAATAAATATGGAGCTATGTAAAAGCACTGGCTGGCTTCATGGCTTTTCCCGCATCATGATTTTTGCAATGCATGCACACACGCACATGCATCATGATTTGCAGGTCAAAAATTATGAAACTGCTATCGTGAAATGGGCTTCAAACCAGTTTTAGATGATATGCCACCCAGCCCTAACACACATCATGATTTGCAATATATTGCCAGGTCCAAAATTATGAAACCACTGTCATGATATGGATATGGATATATCAATATACCTCCCAGCCCTATTGAAAACCACCCTGAGTCTGGAGTCTTACTTAACTTTAGAAAAAAAGCAAAACCTCCGCCAAAAGATTGAAAGGAAGGCAATAAGATGGCAAGGAGTTCAACATTACCTAGTCAGGCTATACTCTGGGGGAGGCTGATAACGGACAACAGCTACTTCGCTCCTCACTGCCTGGGGCGCTGAATAGGAGGGCATCACCACTTCCTGGATGACTCCAGAATGCTGGTCGTTAAAAAACATCCCGTGCTCCTGAGCTTTGCTCACCGGAGAGACCACCTGCTTGCTTTTGTACGGGTAGTCCGGCGGCGGGCCCCTTGGATCCACACCTTTGCTGGTGGACTGAGGAGGGGACGGCCCTCCCGCTTTGAATCCTTTGCTTCTCCCCAAGGCAGGTGGATGCTGTTTTGTGCCGTTCCTCTCCAGCGACAGCTGCATGATCCTCTCGCTAAGGTACCGCACGTGGCCTTGCTTCAGTTCCTTGAGCGCCTCGTCTTTGTGCGCCTGTCCGCTGTTGGCTCGAGCCAACGTTGGCCTCCCTTCCGTTCTGGATTTCGGGCAGGAGGTTCCAGCCATGTAAAAACCTGCCCCGGCGGCGCTGCTGGGCTGCTGGCCCCTGAAAAACTGAGACTGGGCTTTGGCCTCTTCGTAAGTCGGCAGCTCTTCGTTGTTCTGCTGAGGCTGGGCGCCCCTGGGCTGCTTCTCCATCGCAGTGCTGTCCCCTTGGTGCTCCTGGCCTTGTGGTTCCTGCCGCGCCGACTGCTGGACCATTTGTGGGTCTTCGGGCACCAGGTTTTCCGTGGAAGAAGAAGAAAGCAGCGTGCTGGCAGTGGGGTTGGATGGTCCCGCGCTCCCTGTGGCCTGGGGCTGGATGGCCAGCAGGTTCATGTTCTCGCTCGGGTTGCCATAGCGCAGCTCCTGGATCAACCGCTGTAACACAGTGCCAGGGGCAACGTCCTCCGAACCTCTCATTTCCACCTCTGAAACCTGGAGGAAGCTCGGGGGGTGGAAGTTGCAAGGGGGGTCTTCAGCTGAAGCAAGAGAAAAGATGGCAGGCAGAGAAAGAAAAGAGACACACAAAAAAGGGAAAGGTTGGATTATTTTGAATGAGGAAGACGGAGAAATCCTGCATGGCCTTTTCCTCCATCAATTATCCTACTGCCAACCTGAGTTCATAACTCAGCCAAATGTCAGGTGCAGCGTTAGAAATTCAGATATACAGTGGTACCTCGGGATGCGAATGGGATCCGTTCCGGAGCCCTGTTTGCATCCAGAAGCAAACGTAACTAGTGATGGCACATCTGTGCACGCACGCGTCGCTTTTCGTCGCTTCCGCGCATGCGCATGGCGTCATTTTGAGCGTCTGCGCATGCGCGAGTGGCGAAACCCAGAAGTAATGCGCTCTGTTACTTCCGGGTTGCCGCGGAGCGCAACACGGACACGCTCAACATGAAGCATATTCAACCCAAGGTATGACTGTATAAGCTAAGTGCCAAATTGCTCCTTAAACCAGGGTTACAGTTGCCAAAATGGAATGCCTTGTTGTCATTTTGGGGCCAGACAGCTCTAAAGTCATATTTTTCAACACAACCTTTGGGCTCCTGAAATTCAGATGAAACAGAACGGATAGAAATCTACAGGATGTGTTGCAAGCGTGTGAAAACAGATCCAATGATCCCCAGTCATGCACCTCCAGATGTTGGAGACGTCAAGCGCCGTCCTGGCGCCTGGGCATCTTCACTTGGTCTCAAGTAGACGATAGCCAGCTGCAAAATGGGCCTGGTGAATTTCAATTGTTGATCAAGGAGTAAGGCCAGTACTAAACAGGGAGGTGCAAGGGAAGAGGGATGCAAGAGCATCATTTGACGGGGGTGCGGACTGATGAGACCTCTGTCCAGATGCTGCAGCTTGGTGGTTTAAATTTGGGCTGTGGTCTGGGGACTCCCCACCTCTGCTCTTCAGGGACCAAATTGCTTCTGATTAAACCTAAGTGCCCTCTCTGTCCTGCACCTGGGTCCCATTTCCCTTGTATAATGATCCACTTGCAAGGCTCAACGTCAACAAGGATCTGAAGAAAGCCATTTGTCCAAAAAAACAAAACAAACCAGTGTGAAACTCAATTGGCAAAAGCAGCTAGAAAGCAGGGTTTTTTACAAGCACCAAGAACTTACTTTCAGTATCGCTGACAAAGTCTATCATTAACGGTGAACCATCCCGCCTGCTGCCAAACAGCTGAGGATCCGTGTAAAGACAGCCAGTTTCTTCCAGTATCTGGGCAGGAGTACTGGAAGTGTAGCAAATGGATGGGAGGCCTATGAGAAAAGAAAAAGAAAAAAATATTTATCCATGAACTAGTCACGTGTTTTTTTTTAAATACCCCAACACTTTTCCTAAAGTAATTCACACTTGTGGTTTCTGAATCATGTTTAAGCGTTGTTTCACAGCCCCCAACAAAGACATCCGTTGTATACATACTTCTCAGTGAATCATTTCAGATGTCTGTCTACATAAAAGGCTGCATGCAGAAACACATTTTACTGCAAACAACACAACCTTGCCACAGAACTGTAAGAGGGAAGTCACAGAGCGGGTGAGCACCCAAGCCATAGTGGCAAGCGTTCAAAGACTTAATAGATGATAGAGAAATGGTCATTAATTTATTGGCAGCTCCCAGTATTTTCCAATTCTAAATTTTCAAGGAAAACTCACATCACTGGTCAGTGGTTGAGCTGCTCTAGAATTACAATGGAGTTTTTGAAGCCAAGTGACTCACTGCTCTTCTGATTGCTAATGGCTTAGTTCCCAAGCTATCACAGCCTTGGATTAGGACTTGGGTGGGCTTAGAATTTGAACTTTACGTCCACAAGTAACATATTAAAACTACATCATTATTACTGCAAGCAAGCAAAGTGCTTTTGGTTGGTTTCAGAATTTTTTGATCAAAACAGACATTGTGTCAATTCAGATGCAGTAGGAAACCAGGGTTTCCCATTACATGAACAAGTCTCAGGCTTATCCACAGCCTCCAACCTTCCCCTCTTTTGTGCCCACAAGGAGATCAGCAACTTCTGTTTTTAAACAATCCAGAGTATCTCAGTCTAGGGATCTGAGGAACCTGTGGCCCTTCAGTGTTGTTGGACTACAATTACCATAATCTCTTATCATTGGCCATGCTGGATGGGGCTGATGGGAGTTGGAGTCCAACATAACTCCAATCCCTTGTTTAAAATATGGTTCAGGACAAGCCAAGATGTAAAACCGTGATTTAATCTGGATTTGGTCTAACAAACCATAGCTCCCTGTACATTTGAACTCAAGGAACTGTGGTTTGCTTCAATGGAGAAGTGGAAGCTTCTGATCTCCTCACAGTAAGGTACGAGGAGAGGACGGAGGAGCATTCAAGTTTCCTATTATGTCCAAAATACCACACAGACATATATGATGCACATACACCTCTTACTGCAGTACAATTAGGTATCTAAGGTATGTTCTTGTTCATAAACTTTAAATCTGGACAACAGCCTGTAAAATAACATGCTGGACATTTATACTATCCAGAGGCCACTGTCACAAGAATAACTGATTATATGGATATATTGCCTGCATCTGCACAAGGAAATTTAATTTCCAGAAACTATTGTTTTGAATTAATATTGCCCATTCCCTGTTTTACATGCTATTTTAACTAATTTAACACTTTTTAAAAAGCATTAGTGAAAAAAGCCATTCACAGTGCCATTCATGAATGTGATCTTTGCTTTATTTTTTGGATATAAACTCTCTATTTCAGCAAGTTGACAATTTATATAAGAGAAAACACGCCCGATTTGTCTTACGACACCGTAATATTTAAATTCAGACTGCTGAATTTATGGCAGTCCCAGTGGAATATGTCCCTCTCTTGATTTCATTATCTACTGCAGTAACCATATAAGTTTAGAACCCTAGAATGAAATTGCACAGACAACATTCCTTGGTTTGTATGAAAGAGATAACAATGGCTTTGAAAGAGAGTTTTTAGCAGGGTGTTCTGGGAAGAAGGAATAAGAAAGACTGGGATCCATCTTGGGCAGGCTGGCTGAAGGCTGCACTGCTGTGGGGGACAAACCCCTCCTGCAATGAACATGCTGTAAGATCTGCACTCCCTGCAGGCAGACTGAAGGCATAAATAGGTGAATAAACCATATTTCTTAAAGCTATGACATTATCCGCCATGTCTCAGTTCTCCAAAGGACCCTGTAGTGAGTGCCTGGAACCCCCAGGAATCTTGCAGAACATGGGGGCGTCACATTACTTTTGTAACAATACATTTTGCTGAGAGTCAAAAAGCAATCAAGCCATGTAATCCAGTAGTCAAGTGAGCGATCAACTGATCACGGATTAAGCGAGTACAGCAAGCAAATCAGCCTGGAAACCCCTCACAAATCTGATTCTACTGACAAAAAATAAAAAATTGCAGCAGGAAAGCAGCTTATCTCAGTGGAGTCTGGGTGCGCAAACTATTGAAGTGGCACATTACATCTCACCAAAATGTATGTGTGCGTGAGCATGCACAGAATTTGGGATTCTTGTATCAGACGCAGAGTAGGAAATGAATACAAATGAGTTTCTTGCCTTCTAAGACTGCTTCCCTCTCCCTTCTCCCCAGTCTCTCAAATCGCAAAACCCCTCCCTTTTATTCTTTAATCATTTGATGAAAGGGGGCAAGAGTTTTATTATAGCATTGTTTCTTAAGCTGGGAATTATGGGGAAGGAGGCCAGCCTTAGCATCTGGAGAGACAGCCGTAAATCCAGCTCAAGCTGACTCACATCCTTTTAATCAGAATTGCACCCTGGATAGGAGAAGACGGCTCTCCTATGGCCTCGGGGCAGCTAACATTAACACGCCTTACTCTCCTAGACACAATGTAGGTGTTAGCTGGTTTGGAAACACACCACAGCTGAACAAAGAAGCAAGTTGGTTTGATGCAGCTGATCTCAGTATCTCATCCCTATGTATTCAGCCAAATCAACCAACTTCATCAAACTCAGATAAGCATGTTGGAAATATCTTACAAAAGCTATGTAGACTTGTAATGTAGGAATCATGGGCGAAGGCAGGATTTAGGTTGGGGGTGGGACCAAGCTATCTGGAATAATACGATATGGAATTAATACAACAATTAAAACAGTTAAAACAATAAAACCACAAGTTCAGTTCAGGGGAATGCTTGCCTAAACAGGTGAGCCTTCAAGGAGCCGGAAGAATGCCAACACAGATGGGGCCTCTCCTGTTTCAAGAGAGAAAGCATTCCACAACACTGGTGTCACCAGTGAAAATCCTGCCTCTATGTTACCACAAGACAATAATCATCAAGTCATGGCAAAACTAGCTGGGTTACATTGGCTGATCATGGTGCCCTTGAGAAAAGTTTCCCATCCCTTTGTAGCTGACTGCATCTTCCTATGATCTCTCTGGAGCAGGGGTAGGCAACCTAAGGCCTTTGGGCTGGATGCGGCCTAATCGCCTTCTCAATCCGGCCAGCAGACGGTCCGGGAATCAGCGTGTTTTTACATGAGTAGAATGTGTGCTTTTATTTCAAATGCATCTCTGGGTTATTTGTGGGGCATAAGAATTCGTTCATCTCCCCCCCTCAAAAAATATAGTCCTGCCCACCACATGGTCTGAGGGACAGTGGACCGGCCCACGGCTGGAAAAGGTTGCTGACCCCTGCTCTGGAGGGTTACTTGGCCCTGAACAAAGTCAGATGTAGTGATGGAGAGAGGAGGACATGGGAAACTTTATTTCCATGAGCTTCCTTATGCTAGCTAACCCCAAGCCACTATATGTAAAGGCACACATACAGACAACTAATTGTCCAAGCCATTTAGTGAGCCACTGCACCTAAATAACCTGCCATGTGTCCACCCCAGGTATGCTAAGTCTCCAGATGTGTCCCAGCCATAATCATAATCATAATAATTTATAATTTATACTTTATACCCTGCCCATCTGGCTGGGCTTCCCCAGCCACTCTGGGCGGCTTCCAACCAAATATTAAAATACAGTAATACATCAAACATTAAAAGCTTCCCTAAACAGGGATGCCTTCAGATGTCTTCTAAAAGTTTGCTGTTCTCTTTGACATCTGGTGGGAGGGCGTTCCACAGGGCGGGCGCCACTACTGAGAAGGCCTTCTGCCTGGTTCCCTGTAACTTGGCTTCTCGCAGTGAGGGAACTGCCAGAAGGCCCTCGGCGCTGGACCTCAGTGTCCAGGTAGAATGATGGGAATGGAGATGCTCCTTCAGATATACTGGACCGAGGCCATTTAGGGCTTTAAAGGTCAGCACCAACACTTTGAATTGTGCTCGGAAACGTACTGGGAGCCAATGTAGGTCTTTCAAGACCGGTGTTATGTGGTCTCGGCAGCCACTCCCAGTCACCAGTCTAGCTGCCACATTCTGGATTAGTTGTAGTTTCCGGGTCACTTTCAAAGGTAGCCCCACATAGACAGCATTGCAGTAGTCCAAGCGGGAGATAACCATAGCATGCACTACTCTGGCGAGGCAGTCCGTGGGCAGATAGGGTCTCAGCCTGCGTACCAGATGGAGCTGGTAGACAGCCGCCCTGGACACAGAACTGCCCTGTACCTCCATGGACAGCTGTGAGTCCAGAATGACTCCCAGGCTGCGCACCTGGTCCTTCAGGGGCACAGTTAGCCCATTCAGGACCAGGGAGTTCTCCACACCCGCCCGCCTCCTGTCCCCCAAAAACAGTACTTCCGTCTTGTCAGGATTCAACCTCAATCTGTTAGCTGCCATCCATCCTCCAACCACCTCCAGACACTCACACAGGACCTTCACCGCCTTCACTGGTTCTGATTTAAAAGAGAGGTAGAGCTGGGTATCATCTGCATATTGATGGTCACCCAGCCCAAACCCCCTGATGATCTCTCCCAGAGGCTGCATGTAGATGTTGAAAAGCATGGGGGAGAGGACAGAACCCTGAGGCACCCCACAAGTGAGAGCCCAGGGGTCTGAACACTCATCCCCCACCACCACTTTCTGAACACGGCCCAGGAGGAAGGAGCGGAACCACTGTATGACAGTGCCCCCAGCTCCCAACCCCTCTAGACGGTCCAGAAGGATGTTATGGTCGATTGTATCAAACGCCACTGAGAGATCCAGCAGAACTATGAAACAGCTCTCACCTTTGTCCCTAGCCCGCCAGAGATCATCGACCAGTGCGACCAAGGCAGTTTCAGTCCCATGATGAGGCCTGAATCCCAACTGGGATATATAGAAGGCTTGTCTCCCAAGGGCAGTAAGGCTGAAACATTCCTGGAATTCAATATATTTGTGACTGTGTTTTCCAATAAAAGGAAAAACAATGGGGTTGGGGAAAGACTTTGAAACTGCATGTTAGAATCCACATACATATCACTAGGGAACAAGTGCTCAGGGACATCTCACCAACGTAATACAATATTTTATACACCCAACAGATATCAGCAAACATTATCTTACACAAGCATCCATATTAAGCAATTTGGTGACTGTATCTGAATGCTGACGATCCTGATTTGCTTTGTAGACATTCATAAGCGAATGCTGAATATAATATTTATGCAACTGTCAACATTTATGTTGCACTTTTTCACACACAAAAATTTACACTGTCAACAATTTACATGTGAAATACTGACTGCTGTAGATTTTCAGCCATCCACTGAGGCAGGTCAGAAAGCCGATTTCTGGTCTCCTGGCTCTTTGTCATGCCAGAGAATGACCAAGAGATGAGAGAGGGTAATCTACCACATTGGAGCCGTTAAAAGGGCTGTGGAGAAGGATCCCCAGCACTCCAACAAAACCTGCAAGAAGTTGGGCAGACTAGGCCTTAGTTTGGGATAAACCAGGCACCCCCAAACCCACCCCTCCAGATGTGTTGGGACTACAACTCCCATCATCCCTAGCTAACAAGACCAGTGGTCAGGGATGATGGGAATTGTAGTCCCAAAATATCTGGAGGGCCGAGTTTGGGGTTGCCTGGGATAAATGGATGCCGTCTAGGCTGCAATTCAAGCCTGAAGAGAGTCAGCTGACATTAAAAGGCATCAAGACACAACAAGCCAAACTTGAGCAACTTGTCTTGAGTTCAAAGACTCTCCCCTATTTCTCTTGCTTCCTGACTGCTACCTCAGATGGTGGATCCTGGGCTGTCCACTTTGCCTTTGACCTGACAGCGGCTATTGGCCTCTCCAACCCTCTGCTGCTACCCCAGAGCCTTCTGCATGGCTCTCTGCGCCTGCCCCGTGACCCTTTGCTCCATAACTGCTTGATCTGGTGCCTGACTCCCAAGTCCCTCCCCATACCCATGTTCCTGGACTTTCCAATCCTTGTCCACACCTAAACCAAACCTGCCTCAGAGCTAGGCCAAGGCTGCAGAGCTAGGTCAGCTACAACCAACCCACTCTGAATTTTGGGCTCATTCTACACTTTTCTATGTCAAAATCTCACATGTGGTGAAATAAAAAAAATTAAGGTCTTTTAGATATAAAAAATAAATGTTCATAACTGCATATATAGGCCACATGTCTGGAACCCCACAGAAAAAGGCCTGAAACCATTTTGTCCCTCCCAAATTGACCTCAAATATTTCTCTGCAAGGTCGATGGAAAATGGAAAAGCCTTCCCATTGTCTTTTTGTTCACAAATCCTGTCTTAAGGGTATGTCTGTGTATGAATAGGGTGAGCCTGTGACCTGGCTCAGGAACTAAGTATTTATCATTACAAAAGACTGGCCAGGCTCCCCAAGTAATCCAATCAAGGGACCATTAACAGGTAATCTGCCAGACAGGAGATAAACAACGCACTCAGATTTCTGTTGTAGACCACCCTTTCTGTGATGTATGTATGATGTTTCTGGGGGTGGTCTTGGACTCCTGGGCGGGCAATTTAAAATGTCTATATAAGGGCGGGCACACCTTTGTTCTGGGTCCTCCTCCTTTCCTGCATGTGAAGGGAGCACCCTGTTGCAACAGATCAATAAAGATCAGGCTTACTAGCTGCTTTGCTTTTCTATATTCTCTGGTTGGCCTCTGTTATTTTCTCCAACCAGTGGAGAACCTACAAAGGACTCTATAAGGGCTCTTGTGTCCCCCATAAGAAAATAAGGGCTGATTTTTGTTTATTACAGAGGAATAACCTAGTTATGAGTAGCACGACACAAACAAGATTATAAATTACTATTCTGAATGTGTCCTTGTTCATTTCAGGAGCTAATTTTACTTTTTAAACAAACCCATTGTAGCATAAAACACAGAACGCTAACACGGAATCTACACTTTTTAAACCATACACACAGCTGGCTCATGTTCCAAGAAACAAGTATAAAAGCAATCTTTTGTAGTATTTCATTTCATCCACCCACACATCGGCTCAGATGGGCTTTTTGAGCCCGCACCCCTGCATAGTCTGGTGCAACATCACAACTACCAAATTAATCTTCTGAAGAAAGCAGAAGTGGCCAGTGGCCACCAGCTTAGATGGATTTGAAAGGGGATTAGACAAATTAATGAAGGGAAATGCTTCTGGGGCATGATTGAGACCCCCCCCCTTAAAAATAAAAAAAACCGTATAGAAATTCTAATACTAATACTAATACAGTGGTACCTCGGTTTACATACGCTTCAGGTTACATACGCTTCAGGTTACAGACTCCGCTAACCCAGAAACAGTGCTTCAGGTTAAGAACTTTGCTTCAGAATAAGAACAGAAATCGTGCGGCAGCAGCGGGAGGCCCCATTAGCTAAAGTGGTACCTCAGGTTAAGAACAGTTTCAGGTTAAGAACGGACCTACAGAACGTATTAAGTACTTAACCCGAGGTACCACTGTAATACTAACAATAATAATGTACTATTTTTAGGATCAGGGAGGGCATGCCTCTGAATATACCAACAACAGAGGAAATACAGCGGAAAAAAATATGAAGTATTTGTGTTAAAACAACATGAGGGCAATGGCTAACTGCCGCATGATCCTGACAGATGAAGGGCAGCCCAGAAATATAGTAAATAAACACCCCACACTGAACTGAATAGAACTTAGATTGCACTGTTAGTCAGGACCCAGCCCATCCATTTAAATAAACCCACCCTGCTTATTAATAAGGACGAATACTATAATCACTGTAGTCACCACTGCCAATCATTTCCATATCACTTTAGTGCGCAAAGTGTGCTAAAATGCTCTCTGCCTCATTCATCTGCACCAAACTAGATTTCTCTGTACTGAGCTGCAGCCTGAATCCTTTTAACCTCAGTTGCAGTTTCCAGCGAGAAAGAACCCTGGAAGTAAATAATGGAAGATAATCCCTCTTGTATGTTTGGCATTTAGAGCAGTCAACACAGACTCTGCCTGCTCTTTTCTCTCTCTCTTTTCAGGCTGTTTGCCAAGGAAAGACCTTTTTAGGATCATTTACTTAGAATTGTTCCTGCAATTAGCCAGCCCATTGTTAGCACCAGTGTGTGGTTTTTCTTATGCAAACCACACCATTCCCGCTTGCAGGAGTTTGTTTTTTTTAGAAAAAGCAATCCTAGCCATTCATATCTGACTCTTTGAAAGGGATTTGGTACCCGCTATTACAAAGCACATAGAAGCAACCTAAACTGTAGTGTGTTATACACAGAACGGTAATTACTGTAAATATCGTTATTTCTTATTATTATTATCTTGAGCTGAGAGAGTGGTTAAAACTCTGCTCTAAGAATATCAAGATCATCAATGGGAGAAAGAACAAATATTTCCTTTTTTACATGGTTCTGCTTGCTGAAGAACAAAATTTTGCAGAATTTGGAGGTGGGTTGGCTAGATGCAGGAGAGATTTAGGGTATATACAGCAGTCTGAGTTGGAGGGATAATAACGGTGTAAAAGCAGAAATGCCAGTATGGTAGAAGCATAGAGTTGAAAAGTTACCAGAGGGTCATCTAGACCAACCCCAGCGATGCAGGAATCTCATGACAGATGGCCAGCACAAACTATAAACTTCATTTTTAAACTGAGCACAGTACTATATATTTTTAATTAATGACCTGGTTTGCAATATACAATTTCTGTACACTCCCCTGCCCCTCTTAATTTTATTTATTTGGAAATAGCAAAACTGCCTAAGTAAATAAACTTAACTGAATCCACAGAAACCACATAGAGCCAGATGCCCTGTTGTTAGGACAAACATTACTATCTGATTGTATTATTATTTATTCAGAATAACCTGTTAGCCACCTTCACACAAACTCGGTGTACAAAAACATCCTAATTACTCCCCACGCCTAAAAACAAAAGAAACAAAACCTGTAGACAGGGAACAACAGAAACAGCACCAACCAACCAAGCTAGCTAGCTAGCTGTACTGAAGGCCAAATGACCGGAAACTTTATTTTTAACTCTTGCTGGAAAGTCAATAGAGAGGGAGAGCTATAACCTACAGAAGGAAGTTTGTTCCACAGCCTTGGTGCTACTGATATAAAGACCCTGCTCTTTGCCGCTATTGTGTCTCAGTTTCTCTCTCGCCCAAGTTGACTCCAGAGGGGGAGGGATTCAATTCCACACCAGAAATTTAAGTTTACACAACTGAAGCGAATTAAGGGGCTCTATCGCTCTGGTGCAACAAGGCCCGATATTCGTTTATTTCCAGTGGCGATTGTGAAATGCACTGAAAAGTGTGGAATCAATGATTAACATAAAGGATGAAATCAGAATAAACAAGCATTGTTGTGTAACCTCACCACAAACAAATCAGAATAAGGACTCAGTAACGACTAGGCGCGATGTAAGTTTTGTGCAAGCAAACCAGGATGTATGCTCAGAAAACAGATCCCTGTCCCCAGCCTCTCTCTCATGCGCGCGCACACACCTAATCAATTCTGGATTCGTAGAATTGTCAAGTTGGAAAGGACCCCAAAGGTTATTTTGCCCAACCACCTGCAATGCAGGAGTCTTCTGCCCAACATGGGGCTTGAACCTATAACCCTGAGATTAAGAGTGGCAGGAGAAACCCAGCCAAATGGGCAGGGGTATAAATAATAAATTATTATTATTACAGTGGTATGTCGGGTTAAGAACTTAATTCGTTCTGGAGGTCCGTTCTTAACCTGAAACTGTTCTTAACCTGAGGTACCACTTTAGCTAATGGGGCCTCCCGCTGCTGCCGCACGATTTCTGTTCTTATCCTGAAGCAAAGTTCTGAATCTGAGGTACTATTTCTTGGTTAGCAGAGTCTGTAATCTGAAGCGTCTGTAACCTGAAGCATCTGTAACCCAAGGTAAAAAGGTAAAGGTAAAGGGACCCCTGACCATTAGGTCCAGTCGTGACCGACTCTGGGGTTGCGCGCTCATCTCGCTCTATAGGCTGAGGGAGCCGGCGTTTGTCCGCAGACAGCTTCCGGGTCATGTGGCCAGCATGACTAAGCCGCTTCTGGAGAACCAGAGCAGCGCACGAAAACGCCGTTTACCTTCCTGCCAGAGTGGTACCTATTTCTCTACTTGCACTTTGACTGCATGATAATAACAGTAAGGTAAACGGCATTTCCGTGCGCTGATCTGGTTTGCCAGAAGCGGCTTAGTCATGCTGGCCACATGACCCGGAAGCTGTAGGCCGGCTCCCTCAGCCAATAAAGTGAGATGAGCGCCACAACCTTAGAGTCGGCCACGACTGGACCTAACAGTCAGGGGTCCCTTTACCTTTACCAACTTTGCTATCCCAGCCTGGTCACAGCCATTGTATATCAGGCAAGATGTTAAATAAAAGGCTGGATTATAGTCTCCACTTCCTCCAGGGAACACAGGTCCTCTTCCTTACAGCAACCCTGTGATGTAGATTAAGCTGAGTGATAGTGACTGGCCAAGGAAGGCCACCCAGTAATCTTTGCTGCTAACTAGAGATTTGGACCCAGGCCAAAGTCCCAATCCCACCCCCACAACCTGGTGCCTTTCAGATGTTGTTGGACCATAACTCCCAGCATGCCTCACCATGAGCCATGGTGTCAGGGGCTGATGGGAGCAGGAGACTGACTTAATCTGCAGGGCATGAGGTTGGAGGAAACTGATCTAGCCACTATACCAACTTGGTCTACCAACGGGCTTTTCTACAGAATCAGTGGTTTGAGGAGCACAGTGTCGTGGATGGTACAATGTACAAACCTTGTCCAAGAGCTGGGTTTTTTATCTCAGCTGTCAATATGTTTTGGAAATTAACCAAATCACACACACACACACACACACCTTGCATTACTGCAATATGGAGAAGATTATGATACCATTTTGAGACCAGTCCAGGGTCCACACAAAAGACATGTTTCGTTTTTGTAGCAATGTTTGTTGACTGAAAACTATGTGGTATTGGAAATATTTCCTGCTCTCTTCATACACTAAAAACAAACAAGTGAACGGAACTGGTAGAATCACATACCACCCTACAGGCAGAGTTGCTTCCTTGCCGGAATTGTACAGGCTCAGAAAGAAGTTTATCTTTTTAAACTTCTTGCCAGTATTGGGGCATCAGAATATTTATTTGGAGTGCTTATATGAGCCATAGGGCAGTTTACAACAAAACTAGACAAGATAAAAACTAAGCGTAACATCCACAAAATAACACAACCCTCAAATACATAACAAATCAACAACCATTTGCTAATAGCAGCAGCAACAAATCAATTAATTTATCCAGTTAGGTCTCTCCTCCTCCACCCAGCCGCCCAAAAAAGTGCACTTAACTGATCGCCTAAAGTTATATTAGGGTTGAGGCCGGGTGCACCTCGATACAAAAGGCTTTCTCCTGAACCCTCAACACCACACACTTCATCCCGCACAGGAATTACCAAGAGGGCATCATCTATTCATCTTAAGGCCAGGAGTAGGCCAGCAAGGAAGATGGCATGCTTGCAGAGAATTTGGGTCACAGGTGTTTTAGGATTTTAGGTGCCAAAGTTCCACCGAAACCAATTTTGTAGTCGAGACTCCTTAGCTGTTGCACACACAGCAGCATTTGCAGTGCGATGTGAATGCATGTGTCTCAGACCTATGAGGAGGCTTAGTGTTAGATCAGACTATTGATCCATCTAGGCTAGTAATTTTTTTCTACTCTGCCCAGCAGGACCTCTGTATGGTTTCAGGTAGAGGGTCTCTCCCACCACCGACTTGTACGTGATTGTTTTATAAGTTGAGATGCGCAGGATCAGACCTGGGATCTTCTGCAAGCCAAGCAAGTGCTCTGCCACAGAGCTATGGATCCTGCAATACTCCCCCTCCCATCCCCAGGTATTTCCCAGGTCTGCCAACTGAGCTCCTTTTTAAACTAAAGGTAAAGGGACCCCTGACCATTAGGTCCAGTCGTGGCCGACGCTGGGGTTGCGGCGCTCATCTCGCTTTATTGGCCAAGGGAGCCAGCGTACAGCTTCCGGGTCATGTGGCCAGCATGACTAAGCCTCTTCTGGTGAATCAGAGCAGCGCACCGAAACACCGTTTATCTTCCCGCCGGAGTGGTACCTATTTATCTACTTGCACTTTGACATGCTTTCGAAGTGCTAGGTTGGCAGGAGCAGGGACCGAGCAACGGGAGCTCACCCCGTCGTGGGGATTCAAACCGCCAACCTTCTGATCGGCAAGTCTAGGAAGGTCTGCATGCGAGGGATAACTGAGCAAGCACACCCAGCCTCCATCCCATCCACAATCGCAAAGAAGAGCTTCTAGAAAAGATGGTGCAAGACTCAGGTCCTCCTTTGCAGGCTTCCCACAGACATCTAGTTGGACACTGCGAAGACAGGAAGTGGACTAGATGGGCCTTGGCCTCATTCAGAAGCCATGTTCTTCACAGGTTCTTTTCAGGCTTGTGGGTCCCCGGCCTGGTTCACTTCAGAAACCAGGCACGCCACACAGTCATACATTTATAACTGCGTCCCTTGGAAAGGGTTGCCAAATCTTTTTAACAGACAGACAACATGATAGGGTGCCCAAGCAAATCCCAACATGGAAAATGCTTCTGCAGTGTGGACGGATGCCTGCTTGTTGGAAACCTCTTTGGGGGCCAAGAGCCTCTCCAGAGAAACAAAAGGTGGCAACCCCCTGACCTTGGATTCCCCCAACCCTCCAATCTGACAAGCCACCAGCTTTTCTTGAGCCTCAAAAGAGCGCTAAACCTGGCAATCATGGATCATCTCCCTAAAGGCAGAGCAAAGCCACCATATGACAGACCTATTTTGGAAACCACACATTGATACACGCTGTAACCGAGGGGGAAAGCTAAAGGAGCTTCCCAATGCTACAGCAACCTCCTGTCAAGCAATGAAAAACAGCCTGGCACGCTATGCCCTGCTTTTTCAAGAACACTCTCAATACACTATATGTCCTTCCTTCTTGCTATTTTCCTCCTGGCATCTACCCGCAGCACTGCTCTGCTGTAGGAAAATATCACGCTTATCGAAATCAGCTCTTTATTTTATGCAGGATATTTACAGGGCACTTGGTCGAAAAGCTCCCCAAGCAGGATACAAATAATTGCTGTGTACTTTTAAATTAGAGACAGCTCCTCTGCTCTGCTCATGCTCTCTCTCTCTCCCCGTGCTCTACTTTTTTCAATGCAGTCAGCTGAACTATGGAGCAGCCCGGATTAAACTTTACAGAAATCAGGACTTTCCCCCGGCCCTCTAAACGAAAAGCTTTCCTACCATATGTCCAAAAAGTTTTCCAGAGCACAACTAGCCCCTCTGGCTTTCCAGATCGCTATGAACATCCATGCCTAGGGAGTGGAGGGGGGTGGGGAGTCCTAAAATTGGCAGGCAACTCCGCACTTTCCCCTCTCCATCATCCCTGCTGAGGATGACGCGGTGGCTGCCCCGGGCTTTTCCTCTCTCTCTCTCTCCCGCACCGCGCACAGTTCCGTCATTACCTCTTTGGCTCCGAAGTTTCCCCGCAAGAGACCCCGCGAAGCGAGCGCGGCTCAGCTTCCCACTTCCAGCCCAGCCCAGGAAAAAGAAAAGAGAAGGAAGGGGAGGAGAGGAGAGAAGCAATGGGGAGAGGAGGGGTGTCTCTCCCCCCCTCCCCAAGCGCGCAAATGACAGGCTGCGTCCTTGCAAAGCGCCGTTTGCAGGCGCTCCGAAAAAGCAGCAAACAAACACGCACGAAATACTCCAAACAGCCCCTATTTCCCCGCGCCGGAATGCCAGGAATGTCAGCGGAGCTTTTTTACCTACTGCCCAAATCATCGCCGGCTTCTCTGGGTCCTAATGTTGGCCCATGTATTCGCCCCGCCGAGCGCGCTCTCTTGTCTGCCTCTTGCTTTCTCCGTCTCTCTCTGGGCAGATCTTCCTTCTTTTCCTTCGCCAAGCAAGTGCGGTCCCTTGGAAAGGCGGCCAAGGGGCTGGGATCGCCAGCGTAATTCTACCCGCTCCGCCGCCGCCAACCTACACGCTCCAGCAGGGAAGTCGCACATCGCCGCCGCGCGGCGCTTGCCAGGTCCTAGCGCGCGGAAACTCCACTTTCCGCCCGGGGAAAGTTCCTTTCTCGCCGGGTGGTGGGAAGGATATACCCTCCAGCATTTCTCTGATGCAAACAGGGGCGTCCAATCAATTATTATTATTATTATTATTATTATTATTATTATTATTATTATTATTATTATTTTACTCTGACTGGGTTACCCCAGCCACTCTGGGTGGCTTCCAACATATATAAAAAAATAATAAAACATTTAAAAGGACATACTCTCCAGCATTTCTCTGGTGCAAACAGGGGCGTCCAATCAATAATAATAATAATAATGCAAATAATAATAATTTTACTCTTTATACCCCCGCCCATCTGACTGGGTTGCCCCCAGCCACTCTGGGAAGCTTCCAACATATATAAAAAACATAATAAAACATTTAAAAACTTCCCTACACAGGGCTGTCTTCAGATGGCTCCGTGATGGAATAACTCCATGTTGTTGTTGTTGTTTAGTCGTGACCCCATGGACCAGAGCACGCCAGGCACTCCTGTCTTCCACTGCCTCCCGCAGTTTGGTCAAACTCATGCTGGTAACTTCAAGAACACTATCCAACCATCTCATCCTCTGTCATCCCCTTCTCCTTGTGCCCTCCATCTTTCCCAACATCAGGGTCTTTTCCAGGGAGTCTTCTCTTCTCATGAGGTGGCCAAAGTATTGGAGCCTCAGCTTCGGGATCTGTCCTTCCAGTGAGCACTCAGGGCTGATTCCCTTTATAACAGATACGTTTGATCTTCTTGCCGTCCACGGGACTCTCAAGAGTCTCCTCCAGCATTCAAAAGCATCAATTCTTTGGCGATCAGCCTTCTTTATGGTCCAGCTCTCACTTCCATACATCACTACTGGGAAAACCATAGCTTTAACTATACGGGCCTTTGTTGGCAAGGTGATGTCTCTGCTTTTTAAGATGTTATCTAGGTTTGTCATTCTCTGATGCAAATAGGGACATCCTATTCAATAATAATAATAATAATGCAAAAAATAATAATTTTACTCTTTATACCCACCCATCTGACTGGGTTGCCCCAGCCACTCTGGGCAGCTTCCAACATCTATAAAAAAATAATAAAACATTTAAAAACTTCCCTACACAGGGCTGCCTTCAGATGGCTCCGTGGTGGAGTAACTCCATACCCTCCAACATTTCTCCGATAAAAATAGGGACATCCTAAGGAAACAAGAGACATTCTAGGGCCAAACCAGAAACCGGGACGGCGTCTGTAAATTCGAGACTGTGCCGGGTGTTATGGAAATTAGGGGGGGCACATCTTTAAAGTTGTTAAATGTTACAAATATTATGCATAAATGTATCCTTTCGACTTGACAGCTCAGGGAAGTTACCTAGCTTTAACAATCATATAAAATCAACTCCTTTGCCAGTTTCCTCCATTTCAACACTATTTTGTGCTTGGAAAAACGACTCTTTTCCCTGCCACCTCCCCTAGCCAGTGAGGACATGTATACACACCTCCTACCCCAGGAAGTGCCCAGAGGTGACAATTGCTGAACTGACTGTTGGCCATGGAAAGCCTAATCCCATCACCAGACTTGCCAAGGGGTTCAGAGTGCAAAGGAAGTTCTATTGTACTTTGGTTGGTGGGGTTTCAGAGGTGTTTGCCTATGCTAATCTTATACCTGGGTCTTGCCCTGACATGTCTGCTTATGCTAATCTTGTACCAAGGACTTGTCTGGATGTTTGCCAAGGTTAAACTAGTGTAACCCCTGTCTACCCCTCCCCTTTGGTGACATGTCAGAGATGTAGCAATGATGTATCAATGATGCTGTACGAACTGTATTCTGGGATATGGTGGGAAAGTTTTAAAAGTCCTTGTCACCCCATCCTCAGGGTTCAATTCCTTTTTGAACCTGTTGCGCAATAAACTTTGATCTTCAGCTATTTGCTCCGGTTGGTGGCTGGAATCCTCCTTTGTTCCGCAGGGACCCACGGGCTCTGCCCGACGAGCTGGGTGACTGAGCAGCCTCACATCTAGATTTTTCCGTAACAGTGAAAAATAGGGACACTTGGAGGGTCTGGAAGCATTGTCTCTTGCGGGGTTTTGTGCAGGCTGCAGGAGGAGAGAGAGTCCTGGTGGTGGACTCTTATTATAGAGCTGGAAGGGACCACCAGGCAAAGGAGCCCAGGGTCCCTTTAGCGCCCCCCCATAAAATAATTGAGGGAGCCCCCCCCCAAAAAAGTTGATGGGCACTGCCATTCAAATGGTGACTGTGCACCATGTTATGTGATTGATTATGCAGGTATGGGCTTACTTCCCCTCCCTGCAATATTTTATTCAAGTTGGTACACCTGCAAGTAGGGACATGGGTGTAGCTAGGGGGCAGGGGGGCAGCTGCCCCCGCTAATCAATCAGTCAACCAACCAACCAACCAACCAACCAAACAAACAAATAAATAAATAAATAAATATAGAAATTATAGAAAGATGTTGATAGTTTTTTTCTGAGCACTCGGAGTCAAAATGTAGCAATAACTTAAAACAACTGTTGTTGAGACATTTCGTTCCAAATCTGCAAGACAGAGCCAGACAGAGGATGATGAGAGGTGGGCATCCTGCCCCCCCAAAAAAATCCTGCCTACACCCATGACCAGGGTCATCTAGTCCAACCCGCTGCAAGGCAGTAATCTTTTGCCCCAACACAGGGCTTGAATCCACAACCCTGAGATTCAGGGTCTCATGCTCTATTCTAGCAATGAGCAGAGGAAAAATGACTGCTGGGAGGACCACAGAAAGAAGAAAACCCGTTGTGCACCCCGGCAGCATAACAGGACGCCTTCATCTGCCTCAGCTGCAACAAAACATGTCTCTCCTGTATGAGTCTCTGCAGCCACAGCAGGCGCTGAAACCTTCCAACAGTTTGACTTTGGCCCCAAAGGTGCACTTCTCCAGTGACTCCAGAGACAGACAGATGTCCCAACCAACTCTACCACAGCCATACATTTAAAGCACATTTTCTCCCCAATAAGAATCTTGGGAGCTGTAGTTGACCCTTTGCAGAACTACAATTCCCAGCCCCCTTAACCAACTCCAGTTCCCAGAATTCTTGGTGGGTGGAGGGAAGCCAAATGTTTTAAATTTGCTTTAAACGTGTGATGTGGATGTAAGGTTACCCCTCACAGACCTACAATTCCTAGCACCCTTAACAGACTACAGTTCCCAATATTATTTTTTCTTGTGGGGGGGGATGTGCTTTAAACCCAGCAATATGCTCAGGCTTAGTCCTCATTAGGCTGTTTTAGGTTTGGTCATTGGAGGTTTTCAAGCAGAGGATGCAATGCAGGGAGTTGGATTAGATCACCCTTCAAGTCGCTTCGAACTCCACAATTCTATGATTCTACACATATATACAACCTGAATCTATGATGGAGCGGTTCACAGTATTAATACTTCAATACTCCATAGCTGCAGCCTTGGATTCAAACAGAAATCAAGCATCTCTCTGACTCTCTCCAGCTTCCCAGTCTGCAGCTTTTCTTCCAGTTTCTAGCTCACATCCCTTCACTCTCAGCTCTCAACTCTGCCATTGTCCTTCTAACTACCTGCAAGTTGAGGCAGGGGCCTCTGTTGTTGTTTAGTCATTTAGTCGTGTCCGACTCTTTGTGACCCCATGGACCAGAGCACGCCAGGCACTTCTGTCTTCCACTGCCTCCCACAGCTTGGTCAACCTCATGCTGGTAGCTTCGAGAACACTGTCCAGCCATCTCGTCCTCTGTCGTCCCCTTCTCCGTGTGCCCTCCATCTTTCCCAACATCAGGGTCTTTTCCAGGGAGTCTTCTCTTCTCATGAGGTGGCCAAAGTATTGGAGCCTCAGCTTCCTTCCAGTGAGCACTCAGGGCTGATTTCCTTAAGAATGGATAGGTTTGATCTTCTTGCAGTCCATGGGACTCTCAAGAGTCTCCTCCAGTACCATAATTCAAAAGCATCAATTCTTCGGCGATCAGCCTTCTTTATGGTCCAGCTCTCACTTCCATACATCACTACTGGGAAAACCATAGCTTTAACTATACGGACCTTTGTTGGCAAGGTGATGTCTCTGCTTTTTAAGATGCTGTCTAGGTTTGTCATTGCTTTTCTCCCAAGAAGCAGCCATCTTTTAATTTCGTGGCTGCTGTCACCATCTGCAGTGATCATGGAGCCCAAGATAGTAAAATCTCTCACTGCCTCCATTTCTTCCCCTTCTATTTGCCAGGAGGTGATCTTGCACAGAGCCCTTTCCTTCGTTCCCTTAATGGCCCATCACCCAGGCTATTACCTCACAAAGAAGCTAGCCTGGCTAGTCCAAGAATTAGAAGAGGGCCCAAGCATTCAGACTAACCTCCCCCCACGCATGACAATACTTTCAAGAATATATTTGAAAAAGAGCAATGTTTTGTAACTTTATTTGTTACAGGGTGTTTTTTTATTCATTCATTCATTCATTCATTCATTCATTCATTCAAATGAATGGAAACAGCACTGCTGATCCAAAAACTCAAAAACAGTTTGAAACACAATCTTCTACCCAAGCACTACCTAATGATAGGACTGGCTTTGCACATTGCATCCTCAGAGGGGCCCTTGCAATATAAAATCTCTCCGTCAGTACATACCCTCCCTACCCTAATTAATGATGAACATTTTGCTAGCTACATTTATAGTTAGAGGGTGGCATCAAAAGAGTCACTTACCATCCTTTTCACCCCATCACGGGTCTAGCGAAAGAGTGCTGCTTATTCCCAACTCATCACAAACCTCATTTCCCCGTCCCCGAGAAACACAGCTCGCCGCAGCACATCTCTCGGCAAAAGTAATCTGCCGGCTGAAATTGCATCACGTT